GCCAAGGTGGAACGGCTCCTGCAACACACAATGCAATGCTGAGCTGTTGAGCTAAACTAAAACCTATTAGAGAAACAACACACCATGTGAGAAGAGCAAAAAATTAAAATTAAAAATAGATAAGTCAGAACATACAGTCAAGACAAAAGAAATATTGTTCTCACTGTCAAAAAGATAAAAATTAAAGATTCAAAAGCTTGTATGCCCAATTTAAAGCTGCCATTTTTGTATGGGTTAATCAGCCTCTGTGCAGGAATGTAAACTTTTCTTTATGGCATTGCTTCAGATTAATGAGGTTCACAGAAATTTGTAGATAAACAACTCTGTTGCAGAATTTCATTCATGTTGAGACATTTCAACACCAACTATTTGTTGCTAAAGTTCTCCTGCTTTGTTTGGGATAATTATTCTGTTGATGGCCCGATTTTAGCCAAGCTACAGCCATCATACACTAGAATAGAATTTAAAGGGAAAATAGAGGAAATTGTGGTCAAATATAAGGTCTATATCTCTATTCTTCCAGAATTGTGCTTGACTGCAATGTGTAGAGACAGATCTCTGGAGTCAGTCACTGTGAAGTCAGCAAAAGAATATGAGTAACAAAATAATTAACTAGTAGTTACCTGTATGCACATTTCCACTGCTTGATGAATCCTGCAAAAGAGCAAAAAAGACTGACTTTTGAATTGCACCAAATAAGTGAAAAAAGTAATACAAACATATTTGCGTTCAAAGTTTTATAAAAAAGCTGTGAGTTTACCTGATAACCAATAAAAGTCAGGCTTTGTCCTGCAAGTGTCCAGGGCGCCTCAATAATCGGGTCAAACTTGCTCCCAACCTGCTGCTCCGACACTTGAGACTGAAACTGAGAACTGGTTCCCAGACAAGACGATGAGCCCCAAACAGAAACATCACTCATTATGAAATTAATAACATAAAATGCTTTATTGTTTCATGTCAACAAAGCTTTACCTGACAGAAACCTCCACCGATGGATCGGTGCTGCTGGGTCCATTTGAGAACTCCCACTCTTCATTGGGCTGATTTTGATTCAGGAAAAGCCAACATGGGTTCACAGGGGATATCTTACAGCTAATAATGCTTCACTTCAGTTTTCTGTGATCATTAAACAATTTTGAGCCACATATATTTGAATAAACCATCGACTAATACCTTTTTTATATCTACAGTGTATAGTTAACTGTCAAAGGGTGAAAAAATCTAAAACAAAAATAAAATTCAACCCAAACATAAAATATGCAACAAGGTGAAAAGGTTGAATTAAAAAAAAGAGGAAAAAATAATTAAAGCATAGAATTTTGCACGCGTGGTGATAGGAAAGTGGTAGAAGGTACAGTGAAGAAAGTTTAATAGTTATTGAAAATATTTGTGCAAAGATTTATGAGAAATGATAAGTAATTTTTAGAGGGAATATCTTTGAAGCTGCTTTAAATATTTAAACTAATTATTATTTATTACAATTATTTCATGATTTGTTCAGATGAATTAAAGTATATAGTCAAGTTATTAAATAAAATACTTGACCCATTTATTTGAATTTCTTTCAATTTTTTCTTGAAACTGTTCAACTTCATAACCGTTTTTGCTTTTTAATCTTTTTTTTTCTGTCCTGCAAGTTCCACTCAACATTTCATTCCATATCATGTTGATCAGTTGGTAAATTACTCTGCAACATCATTACACCTCTCAACTTGACTTTCCAAATAGCTTTTAGTTTATTACAACTTGCATTAGTTAAAATCCTAAATAGTTAAATCTGTGTCACCCAATCTCATAAATAATCTCTGGGTGAATGTTGTTTATCTCTTATGATGACTAAACATTTAGCTGGAAAATAAGGGGATTTTCCTTTTTACATAGAAAAAAAATCACCCAATCCCACAGTGATGGATACTGCCACTGCATCTTTGGAAAACAAACCTCTAAAAGACACTGGAAAACCTCCTGGCGGTGCTTTTCCTGGGCCCGGATAACATCAGCTTGCTGCACTCATGGGAAGATAAGCAGGAAAACAATACTGTTCGTTAGCATTCACTGCACACTCTCACGCCTCATTGCCTATCAACATAGTCCAGACTGAAATAACTTTAGCGCATAAGTTAACTCAAGAAAGACAAATTTAAAAAGAAACTGTGCAAATGAAATTATGTGAGCACACTGCTGATGTTTTTTGGTTTAATCTCAAGAAAGAAAACAAAAGTACAGCTCAAAATGTTTTTTCATTACCTGCTTAATATACTCGTCTTCCTTTTCCACAAAGGTCTCCAAAACTTTTGCCACTTCAGACTTAAACCTAGAAGGAACCAAACAATGTAATTGATTTTAACTGATTTTAAATCCATATTTCTTTCACACAACCTTGTCGTCTTACCTTTCAGTTTCTTCCTCTGTGATTAAGACTCTATCTCTAAGCTTGGGGTCAGCCTTGTTGTCCCACCAAAACTTATAAGTACTGTTTCTGTGTTCTCGTCTGGAATGAAAAGTATTTGAGATTTTTAATACCCAGTGTTTCGACTTAACAATTTGTTATCCCCAGATAACAGACCAAGTTACAGTTTAAAATGACATGTATCCTGATTTCTACATTTGAAAAAAGTTAATTAAGTCCTCTACATGCATTTTAAATGTTAATTTTCTCCAATATAAACTTCAAAATGCTAAAAATGTTTAAATATTTGGGCAGACTAAAATTCTATTTGATCTTTTACAAAATAGAAAATCTGTAGAAAAGACAGAGGAAAAGAACAAATGAATTTAAATACAAAAGTTAACCATAAAAGACATACGTGGCCATGTGCTCCAATAAGCCTCCATACATCACAGTCATGTTGTCATCTGTGACGTTCCGCTCAACTTCAAGGCCACAGCAGTAGCACCAGAACTTCTGCTTGTGCTGAGTGCAATCAAACTTTTCCACTTGGGGTCTTTTAAGGGTTCGTCGAGCTTCTTTGACCTGACAGACAGCCATCATGAGACAGTCATGGAACAGAAAGAAATTAAGATTACTGTCAAAAAAACAACAAGCTAATTCATTTATTGAAAACTGAGGAATTTTAAAAGTGTTTAATTGGTACAGAGCACTGATTAAAGCCAAAATGCCTTTTTCACTGACGGCTTAAATCAGAACACAAAACGGTAAATAGGTGGTCAAAGTTACGTTTGTAATGGGTTGAATTATGAAAAAGAAAAAAAAAATCATATTTTGATTACTTTGAGAGTTTTATTTTTCAAAACTCAACATATTTGATTTGATTGGAAATGTAGTGCAGCAAAAATATTTATTATGAAAATATAATGATTTAGATTTTTTAAGCTCTAAACTTAAGTCCAAAATAATATTAGGACTTTAGACCAATTAGGAACTTAAAACCAAGAAACAATCCATTATATAGCAAATAATTATCTCATTATGAAGAGTATATGTTATCCATTGACAACACAAATAAATCACATGCCATTATTACACTGTTAATATCAGAGTAAATGCTACTGGTAAAGAAAGCATGGTATTTTTCAAATAAAGAGTGAAACTTATAGTTTAAACAAAGAGTCTATTGGACATTTATTTCTGTTTAGAGATCTGAGGTTCTGCAACAGCTGTAAACTACAATCATCCAAAAGACTATGAATTATTGAAATAACCCCAGTGTTAAAGATAGGAGTGGATGTAGCTCCATTGTAATTATAGTTTACTGTGTTGAATGTCATGACACATTTGGGGACGACTGTTAAATAACAGCTTAAACATGTGCAGAAGAAAGGGAAGACAATAAACAATCCCACGGTTAGCTGCTAATGATGTTAGCAGTAACATCATTAGCAACTGGTCTGGCATGTCAAGAGCATTATTATTGTCGTATTCGGTGATGCAAAAGGATAGAAAAACACACAACACATTGAAAACAACATTTTTGCACAAACTGTGCTAATTTAAGCTCCTCACCTTTTCAGTAAACTTAAGCAGAACGACCCGGAGCCTGCTTTGGTGATTTTTTCCAAAGATGTGTTTCTTCTTCCCGCAGAATGTTGTCTGGTTACATATAGCGCAATAATATGCACCCATTTAGTCCCTGTGTAATAATCCCAGCAATTATTGAAAGTTAGAGTCATAAACCACCTGAATGTATTGTTTATTTCATATTGACTCTCGGAATACCCTGCGGTTTGACTTCTTCGTTCGTTGTTGACGGTTGGCAAACCACCTCACATGTAAATTTACTGCCACCTGCTGGACTTTTGAAAATTACATTTCATTGGTGACCCAGAAAAGGTCGCAATGAAGTATTTTCTAACAATAATCTTAAATTTTACTTTTAAAGGGTATTTTTAGAGTATTTAGGGACTTTAATAAGACAATCCATGCATTTCTCATAAATCTAATATTCTGGTAACACACTGTAAACATCATACTTGATTCAAATCCACTCGCAAGAGTTTCTTTTTGTTTTTATCTAGTTTATAATGTATCGATTTTTCTGATAAAATACTGTTTCATTATATTTCTTTTATTATTTAACTATTAACTCTGTGGCCTGCAAGCTTTTGAACATTGTACAGCCTGCCATGTCTCATAAAATATCTCCTGTATATACCAGGAGTATATACTCAATTTGGTGCATTTCTTATTTAAAGAGACTGACTGATTTGGAATCCTGCTGAATTATATTATAAATTAGTTCAAGTTTCCTCATTGCACTGAATATCAAGTGTCTTTACTCATGTTTAGGTTTTAAATTGTTTTAAGTTATAAGATACTTTTTAGTTTTTACTTTTTTGTAGATTTTTTTTTTCTGGCAAGAGAAATTTGCGCCTCTTGACTCCTTTTAAAATTAAGCAATGTCCCCCTCTAGTGGTCTGAATCAGTTTAGCCATAAATACGTTGCACTTCCTGGTCCTTTCCCAGAGTGTCCCTGTGAAAATTATGCTCGTGTTTCTTTTAGCCCACATTTATTTACTGTGAAGGTTTTAATGGGATAAAACCAGGCGGGTTGTCATGCTCCGCAGTTTGTGGGCTGTGTTATTGGTTTGAATTATAGAGGTGGGAAAGCATTGCATTTTAAAAACCGAGGATGCTTCTCATTTTGTGACACGGAACTAACTGCTGACAGCTCGCCTCCGTTTCCTGCCTCCAGCTTTGGTTTTACTTTCACTCTTGACAAACTGCGAGGAGAAGGCAAACGGTAAGGTGGAAGAATATTACATTTTTAAATATAATATAGATCAATATTGAAACTGTAAGATCATACTGGTTCTTGCTTTGTGTGAAATATGTATTCTTCTAGTTGTTTTGCGTCTACAAATGAATGAAGGTTTTTGTAAAATCGAAACTGTTGGGCTCATGTCTTCCCTCCTATTGTCCGTGAATGTGTTACAATGATTTGATTAAACTTCTCAACTGTGGTAATTTACTTTGTGAAATATTTATGAATCTAAACTAAATTCTGCATGTTTGCTCTTTTTAATAATATTCCAGGTGAAAGGATTTCCTGCTGTCCTTGCCACCATGTTTCCCCTCCTGCTGGTGCTCTTTGTTTCTAGTCATCCCTCATCTGGAGCTCAAATCCCAAATCAAGCCAAAGAGCTTCCTGTAGCCACCAATGGTGAACCCTTCCCTTGGGACCGCATGAGGCTTCCTGTAACCATCAGCCCCTTGCACTATGACTTGACCATACACCCAAACCTCACCTCCCTGGACTTCACTGGGGTGGTTCGCATCAGTCTGGATGTGAAAGAAGACACCAGCATCGTTATCCTCCATGCCAAGCAAATGCACATATCCAACGTGGTTCTCCTGGCTCCTGAGGGCGTCCGGCCTCTACGGGTGCTGGAGTACCCTCGATTCCACCAGCTTGCTTTGCTGTCTGAATCAGTTCTGACCAAGGGCAGAAAGTATGAGGTCCAGATGGAGTTTGCTGCAAACTTATCTGACAGCTTTCATGGTTTCTACAAAGGCAGCTACCGTACGAGCAGCGGGGAGGTCCGGTAAGGTCACAAAATATGATCTTCAACCATTACTGACACTTCCAGTTGGCTCTACACAGTCTTTGAATAAAACTCTGAAATTTAAAATAAAAAGGTTGTGTATATTTTACCCGTCTATCTCTCAGGGCCATAGCATCGACGCAGTTTGAGGCGACCTTCGCTCGTGGAGCCTTCCCCTGTTTTGATGAGCCTGCATTCAAAGCCAACTTCACCATACGAATCATCCGTGAGCCACGGCACATTGCCATTTCCAACATGCCCAAGGTGAGTATGAACATATCAGAGAAGAAGTGACAAGAAAATTTTTTATTTTTTTTTAATCTTTAAGAAGTCTAATTTTCTGTTTTCCGTAAGCAACATAGGCAAGACACAAAGACAAGAGCAACATATACTTATTAATTTTGACTATATGCACAGTGCAACATGTAATGGTAAACTATCACTGCACTTCACACTGATCACACCTTCCCCACTGAGATATGTGACAAAATCATAGTGTAGGCATGCTTCAGCAGTAACAGTGAAGTTTTTCAGAGTTAACTGGAAGATTGATGGAGTTGAGTAACCGTCTACGCCGAGTCTTGACATTGGGGATGGAGGACCAAATCCAAATGCTTGTCACACTTTCCAGATTTTTACTTATTAAAAATGTATTGCTAAGTTAGAATGGTTACAAGAAAAATCCATGACATTTTGTGTCTAACATGACCAACTGTAAAATAAAAGCAGAGATTTTTTTTCTGTTCGCAGGTTAAAACAGTGGAGTTGCCAGGCGGTTTGCTTGAGGATCACTTCGACACAACCGTAAAGATGAGCACGTACCTGGTGGCCTACATCGTCTCCGACTTCCTGTCTGTGAGCAAAACAACTAAGCATGGAGTTAAGGTGAGACTTCATTCATGGTGCTGGTCAAGTGGTTTCATATTTTATTGCACTCATAAACAGTTTTTTTAATAATTCGTTTTACTTTGATTGCCTTCAGATCTCTGTCTATGCTGTACCAGAGAAGATCGATCAGACGGCCTTTGCTTTGGATGCTGCAGTGAAGTTGTTAGACTTCTATGATGATTTCTTTGATATCCCATATCCACTTCCCAAACAGGGTTAGGGAAAACACATTGTACATTATTTGATCTCTGGTGCATGTCAGCTGACTCTAGGATGAATCCATCTTTAGAATGTGCCCATGCTGCCAGGAAGCATTATAAATGTTAAAACTAAGTTAGATAGAATTAAGCATCAATTTGTCAGCAGGGGAACATTCCACATTTGATTCCTGCTTTATGTGGTTCCCTGCAGACCTTGCTGCTATCCCGGACTTCCAGTCAGGAGCAATGGAGAACTGGGGTCTGACCACCTACAGAGAGACTGGCCTTCTCTTTGATCCTGACCGGTCCTCTGCCTCTGACAAACTGGGCATCACCAAGGTCATTGCCCATGAGCTTGCTCATCAGGTGTGTGTTAACTTTGAGTCTTTATTGCTCCTCAAGAGGTTACTCGTGAATTAATCCAATTTTAACCTTTTCACTGATTTATCCAGTGGTTTGGAAACCTGGTGACAATGGAGTGGTGGAATGACTTGTGGCTAAATGAGGGTTTCGCTAAGTTCATGGAGTTTGTTTCCCTCGACATCACCTACCCAGAGCTTCATGTGGTGAGATCCCAACTTAGAAAACTTATTGTATCTTTTACCTTCTTCTGTTTCTGTTTCTTCAAGTTTAATTTGAACTTTCTCCATGCTGTCTTTATCTTAGGATGACTTCTTCTTGGGAAAGTGTTTTGAGGCGATGGAGGTAGATTCTCTGAGCTCGTCTCATCCAGTTTCTACACCAGTGGAAAACCCCACACAGATCCAGGAGATGTTTGATGATGTGTCTTATGACAAGGTCAGTGGTGTATTAAGCATTAAATATTGTGGATTGTGATTATACAATGTGCTAGAACTTTATTAGTGAAGATCTAGACAAATCCGCAGATTTATTTATTATTATTGTTTTAACCTAACAGTTAAGTTTGTTGATTTAACTGCCTCAAATTTAACTTGATCAGTGAATGCTTTAATGAGGTAAGAGGACTCTTTCAAATGGAAACTGCATCTTCAATGATGTGTCAAGACATGTCTGAGACAAGGCTGTGAGAGAAAAAAAAACTTTCAGAATAAGCAGGTTGAAAGTAGTATTGCAGAGTTACTTTGTTTTATCTTTTTGAGATTTCCACCCTTGTCTGTTATGTTTGTCTTGGAAAAGGCTGATGGTATTACGGAAATCTCAGCATTCAGGAAAGGATTCACATTTACTAGAATCTACATGCTGTTGTTTTTGTAATGCTTGCTAACCATGTCAAACCCAAATATAAGATGCTATACAGCCAGTTTAAATTTCATCTCTGTAATTATTTGTCTTTGTTTTAAAAAGTATCAATGATCCTCCATTATGTTGTCTTCTAAATATGTCCTGGATGGTCAAATAATTGCAAAAACCAGAGATCAGAAATATGCCACATAACTTCAGTCAATACATCTCTAATTTAAGGACATGTAAAATGACTTAACTTGACATTATACACATTGAATGGTTTATTTTCTTGCTAACTGTGTTTGTGCTTGTATGTTTTCAGGGGGCATGTATCCTGAACATGCTGCGGGACTTCCTGAGTCCTGAAGCTTTTGAGATCGGTATCATCCGATACCTGAAGCGCTTCAGCTACCAGAACACTGTGAACAGCCACCTGTGGGAGAGTCTGACTGATGTGAGTTAACATCAGATCCTGACTGTTTCTCATCTGAAATTAATCTCTAAGTGAACTTTATTACTATGTAAATACCACATTAAAATTTGGCATCAACCAGTGGATGAGTGGAACACTCTAGCATTAGTTGTCATTCTTCATGCAGTCTGAGAAATGTCTTTTTAATTAATTTTTTCTTCTTGCTGTTATTTTGACATTGTCTTTTCTGATGTCTGTTTTTATTCTCTGTTAAATTTCCACCAGCTCTGCAGCTCAGATGCTCTGGATGAAGGTCGACTGAAACACACAGAATTCTGCTCTAAACGCAAACTCCAGTCTGGATCCTCTGTGAGTTTTGCTGTTTGGTTCTACAGAATATAACCACCATTACTGGTTTTCCAGCTAAAGATGTTCAGAATGCCTCAAATTGGTTAATATTTAATTGCAGATGCTTATTCTCATTCAGAAAATTTGGAAAACATTTACTCTGTTGGGGAACCGGGTTGAGAAATCACGTGGTTTTTCATAATAACATTCATATCAGATCGAAATACTTGGCTCTCTCATCAAGCTTTATTTCTCATAACTCCAGTTATTATAAATATTTTAAGTACAGATTTTAATGTAAATATAAGAAGTACGTTGTGAAGGTTTTTTTTTTTTTTAAGCATTCTTATGTCACTTCACAAAAATACTGTGACTGGTAGAGTTGTATTAAAGAATTGAAGTAATTCATTTGTGGTCACCCATATTTAGAAGTGGTACTCTGATGATGAGCTTGATGTCAAGACTATCATGGACACCTGGACACTGCAGGAGGGCTTCCCACTGGTCACAGTAGAGGTCAAAGGTCGGGAGGTCAGACTCAGTCAGGAGCGTTTCCTGAGGACAGATGATCCCTCGCTCACTGAAGGGTAATGCACATAAAACACATAAATATACATTATTACAGTTCTTTAAATGATGGTTTGACACTTTTATATTTTATTAAATCCTCAGAGTTCTGGTTCTTTATGTGATGGTTCTTGTTTTATGTGGCAGATTCCTGTGGCAGATTCCACTAACGTACATGACCAGTGCTTCCAACACAGTTCATCGTTTCCTTCTCAAGACAAAGACCGGTGAGGTTTAAATTTATTCACATCATCCATGTGCAAAAGCTTCATATCAGTTAAATTGTGGTTGTGCTCAATGCCATGTACATAGATGTGCTCTACCTGCCAGAGGAAGTGGACTGGGTGAAGTTTAATGTGAACATGAGTGGCTATTACATGGTCCACTATGCTGGTGAAGGTTGGAACTCCATCATCAAACTACTGCAGTACAACCACACGGCTCTCTCTGGGAACGACCGGGCCAGTCTCATCCAGAACGTCTTCCAGCTGGTCAGGTCTGTCTGACTCTGGAACAATTTAGTGTGGTGTTAGAATATTTGGGTTTAGTAATGCAAAGCAAAAATTTGTTATATTTTAATCATGCATACAATTAAGATAAAGAACGTAAACTTATTTGTGAAATACAACAAAACAATTGTAGACTTGTGAATCCATTCAGTGGGAATGTATAAACCTCATTCTCCTGTGCGTGTTTCAGTGTTGGGAAGGTGAGGCTGGATACGGCCCTGGATCTGTCTCTTTATCTCTCCAAAGAGACTCAGATCATGGCTGTGACCCAGGGCTTCGGAGAGCTTGTGCCTCTTTACAAACTGATGGAGAAGAGAGACATGACAGTTCTGGAAAATCAGATGAAAGTAAGACGACTTTTATAATATGCCTGGTACCAAACGTATTTTTGGTTCACCTTGAGTAAAAAACAATTGCATAAAATGTTGAGTTATAATTAAAGGACCCTTTTGCACCAGACTAAGACCACACCATGACACTAAAAATCAGCTAGTCCTCTCAAAAACCATCTGGTCTTCTAAGGTGTACCAAGAATGCAGTGCATGCCCTACAGTGAATGAGCTCCTCAATGTGAAGGAGTGATAGCAGTGGTTTCTTATCCATGACATGTGGCCCACTGCAAATGCACAGGTTGATCACCAGAGAATTTAAAGGAGCGGCCACGCTGGCCTCCTGCCAGGTCTTTGACACCACTGACATCACTCTAAGTAACCTAATTTTTTGTAACCTTTGGCATTTGGATGCCTTGGGTACTATGATTCACCAATCTATCTACAACAAAACGACCCAGTAGCCGAAGAAACAATTCACAATTAAACAATAGGGACCTTATACATGGAGATTGATATGTGCATAACACCCTGTTAAGTAAAATTTCAAGTAAGGGAAATGCACACACACCTCCAAACTGTGCATACATTCCTGCCACTGCGAGACAGGGGGATTTTGAGTGTTTCTGGCTGCTTATAAAATGTGAAATGTATTCATCATTATATCAAAAAGAAGCTCTGGCATCGTATTCCGAAGAAAAAAACGCAAGAAACATCACATAGGGTTCTTAAAATAATTAAGCCATTGCTGTAGACAAGCTAGTTAAAATAAATATATTTTGAATATAGTAAAAAATAAACTTTAGACTTAAAAAAACATCCAGATTTTGGATTCATAAGCACAGTTATTCCTGGCTATGGCCAGGTATTACACATAATGACATGCTCAGCTGTGTGAAGCATTAAAAAAAGCACAATGAGAAAATGCTTTCAACTGCATCTGATAGACTGGTGAATATATTGATGATGTGTTCCCCTAAAGCACAGGTGTCAAACTCCAGGCCTGGAGGGCCACTGCCCTGCAACTTGTAGATGTGCCTCTGCTGCACCACACTTGAATAGAATAATTATGTCATTAGCAAGGATCTGGAGAACTTTTCTACTCAAGAGGGAGGTAATTAAGCCATTTCATTCCAGCGTTTTTTGTACCTGTGGCACATCTAAAAACTGCAGGATAGCGGCCCTTGAGGTCTGGAGTTTAACACCTGTGCCTTAAAGCAAGTCTGAAACTGATGGTCGAGGTGCAAAAACCACAGCTTTATATTTGGAATTTATGCAGATTTTGAGGAAATCATCCCAGAGCAGTGAAGGTACTTGTATCAATATATTAACCACACAAGCAACTACTGATGTACTTGGCTATCCATTGTTTTGGATGGGCGAGAAAGGAGTATGAAAAAAGCAGCAGAAAATCATTATGTTGGACAGACACCAACTTTCCTCTGCAAATCTGTCACACAAATATTAGGTTTTCCATATTTGCAGTGATCCTGGAGATTATAGTCTTAATCCGGTGTGAGCATAACCTATCAGACTCCATGGCACATTGGCATTTCACACTTCGTTTGTTGTGCTTCAGGGTTACATTGTGGAGCTTTTCCGGGATCTGATTGATCGTCAAGAATGGAGTGACTCCGGTTCGGTGTCTGAGCGAGTGTTAAGGAGCTACCTGCTGCTATTTGCTTGCGTCAGGAACCATCCTCCGTGTGTAGCCAAAGCCACCAAGCTCTTTAACCAGTGGAAGGATTCAGATGGCACCATGAGGTCAGGTTTCAGCTTCAGAATAATTAAGCACTTGAAGGGAAAGAATTAACAATGTTTTAAATAATAAAATCCATCCCTTTTCTCACAGCCTCCCTGTTGACATCACTATGGCTGTGTTTGTGATTGGAGCACGGACACCAGAGGGGTGGGACTTCCTCTTTGAGAAGTACCGCACTTCTTTGCAGATGTCCGTCAAGAGCCGCATAAAGTCTGCCATGACCGTCACCTATCTGAAGGACAAGCTCAAGTGGTGAGCAGCAGTTAATTTTTGTTAAAACAGAAGAAGAATTTACACCACTATTCTTCAAATCTTTTCCTTGTTTTCCATCTGAAGGATGATGGAGCAGAGTTTAATAGGAGAGGTGATGAAGACCCAGGACCTCCCAGATGTGGTCGTCTCTGTTGGAAGGAATCCTCATGGTTACAAACTGGCCTGGGACTTTCTCCGAGCCAACTGGCACACAATGATCAAGAAGTCAGAGCACTTTACTCTTCACTACACATGACTTTAAATAATAATAATAATGAAAAAAAAAACAGAAATAAGTAGTTGCCTTTATCATGAGATTGAATTTGTGACTAAATTTTTCTGAATTTGTTTTATTCTTGTTGTATATTTATACCTTTTGTCTAAACAGTCATGTTGGTATAAACAAATTAAATTGTACTGCATTTTTATTAACATTGCTTTTACTGCTGGTTAATTTAAATAGAGCTTCTAAATTTTGATAATGACTGCATGTAATTACCTTTTTAAACAGGTTTGACCTTGGCTCTCACTCTGTATCATACATGGTGCTTGGTGTGACCAACCAATACTCTACCAGGGAGATGCTCCAGGAGGTAAATATTTGTTTCAGTTTATTTTTTAAAAAACATATATTTAAGTTTTTATGTCAAGGTTTTTTGCTTCTTTTTTTTTAAATAATGAGAGGAAAGTTTGTATTTTTAGAAACATGATTTTACTGTAAGTCTTTCACCTGTTCCTTTCACTTAGATACGGAGCTTCTTCGACTCGCTGACAGAGGAAACTGGGTCAAAAATGAGGTGCATCCAGCAGACCTACGAGACCATTGAGGATAACATCCGCTGGACAGACGCCAACTTTCCTCTGCTAGAAGCTTGGCTGAACAAGCACCAACACAGACCACCTCATGAAGACTTATAGAGCTAGGGGAGTAGTTTTTGTTTTTACTCCACTGTTCAAGCAGATTCTGGTTTCTCTTTCCAGAGGTGAAACCAAATTAGATTTTTTATTAAGATTTTATGGAGCTCGGTTGGTTCTTCAAACCTTCACCAACAGATCCTGACTGGAGCTCTTTCTTTATCTGGATTTGTAAAGAGCAGCCCAGATTAAGGAGCAGACGAAAGGCGCTTTTCTACTGGAAAGTTGTGCACAACCAGTTTGTTGACATAAAATCAACTTTATGTCAGTCACAAACTCTAAACATTTTGCACTAAAACACTGACAAAAATCTTTATTTTTGAAAATGTGATTAGTGTAATTAAATCTACTAAGATGTTTTTTTCTTCTTTCTCAAATCATGCTACTTATTGTTTTAAGCTTCTCTACAGTACATCTAAAAATGTACAAGTAGTATTTAATTCCAGACCCACCAAATATAAAGTTATTTACATTGAGGAAGAAAAATGTTTCTTAAAATATTCACCATACTTAAGAAAAAACTGTTTATAACTTAACAATTAAAGGTACTTTGTTCAGAGCTGTAAACACTGTGCCTGAATATTTCTTCTCTGCGTTGCCTGAATTGATTTTGAGTGTGTGTTTTGGTGTATAAGTGTGAGCTTATGTCAGGTGTGTGGTGAAATTTGTTTTTAACTGCTGTGAAGTTGTGATTTTGTAAAATAAATCTGGACTGAAGATGCATTTTTCCAGAGAACTGTAAGAAATATGCTGTTCAACAAATTCTTTATTGTAAGGTATTTTACTACCAGATAGTTTTTCACTAGTAGCCCAACACAAAAGAGAAGTGAAAAGGATGAAGATTGTATATGATTTTTTAGGGGAGATTCAAATAATGCTTTTTTTTTTTTTTTTTTATTGTGTAAACAGAATGGGGAAAATAAATGACAGTTTATGAGTTCTTTTTTTGTTTTGAAAGTGGGAATAGGTGAAGATCCTCTTGGCAGTACTTGTCAAATGTGTTGTAGACATGCTCTCATTTATGAGAAAGTCAGTGACGTTCACGTCACTTCGGCTTCATAATGTTCTTATTTTGTTTTGTCGGGTGGAAAAAATGTTTATTGAAAGAAATTTGGGGAAAAAATAAAGTTTGTTTCATCTTTGGTTGTCCTTTGCGCTGTCCTCCATTCATTTCAATTTAGTTTACATATATTCGTTATGTCTGGACTTTGACTATGCCAATCAAATACAAATATGGTTTGATGTAAACTGTCTTATTGCTGTATTCTATACTTTCTGATGGAAGATGAGCCTCTATCTGAGCATCAAGTTCCTTTTTGCCTGAATGTTTCCATGAATGTAGCATCATCCATCTTCCCATCATCCTTCACTGCTAAAGGGAATTATTTTGAACTTCTTTCAACAATTTCTTCAAGCCAGGTTTAGGGAAAAAAAAGAATGATTTTCTTCCAATATGTTCTTTTATGTAAACTGTGGGTCTCTCAGCCCGGAGCTACCATGAGCCTTAAATCTGCGACATGTCCTTGACAAGCCAACCTCTCAATACTTGGCCTGTCTACTTTGGTTGATATTCATATCTTAGGAGGTTTGCAGCTGTGGCACAATCTTTACAGTCTTTAGATAGTAAGGTATATATATTGTTTTACAACCTGATCTCATCTTAAATTTCTCTGTAAAAAATTGAGAGCCATGCATCTTTTTCCTTCCACCACTCAGGGACGTCCACAATTAGTTTTCCACATAAAACCACAATAAAAAGTATATTGAATGTAAGGCACAGTAACTATGGAGATGGCCCAGCCTTTTCTGAACTATTTTATCTAATTGAAAGCCATGAACCATGATTAACCTGCAGCCGAAGAGCAAAGAGCTCTTTTATTATTAGTAATTACTTAAACTTTGTATGTTCTCTTCCAGACAGCTACATGGATGCAACCTTTGTATCTTTGCACTTTTCCCAGATGTGAGACAGTTTACTGGTCTGTGAGATCAATCTGTAGTCATTACATTTTTTATGCCGGTCACTTGTGCACATTTGCGCTCTTCACTGCTCTTTTGATTTGCTTTTCTTTCGGACTGCTGCTCTGATTATAATGATTTAATGTCCTCTGCAGCTCAGAGAAGAACAAACAAACACGGGAGGAAAGATGTGATTCCTATCACTGCTGGGTGTGCTTGGCTCATGCAAACACTGTACTTGTATGTAAAAAAAAAAAAAAAGACTGAATTTTTATTTGCATTCTTAACAACAATGCCCTCTCAAGGATGTTTTTTTTCTTTTGCAACCTTTTAGCAGTGGTGTAATATGGTGCTCTGAGAAATTATTTGCCCCATTTGTTCCAGATAATCAAACTAATTGTAATGTCAGACAAACATAACCTGATGAAATGGAAAAAAAATTTCACATTGCTTTGTTGTTGCAGGACCTGAACGACTGCATGACTTGCCGACTGATGGAACCATGAATTATTCTCACTTGAAGAAAATTCTGAAATCTATAAAGCCCAGCTCTGGTTGATTCAGACATGCTTAAATATTTTGGGAATTATTGGTGAAGGTCCGTACTTAAATCTGTGGCATGACCTTAAAATTTCACCACAGTAATATAAAACTCTCATTGTCTGCTACTGCAAGGACTTTGCAACCGTTTAATGAATGGTAGTGCCACTTCAGGTTGGAGGATAATGACTTGAGATGAATTTGGATTTGGATTCTTTGCAATAAATAAAATAATTTATTTCATTTAGTTTTTTTATTAATAAACTTTAATTTACTCAGGTTTCTGTCATTTAAAGAAAGTCTAAATTTCAGACTCTCTTTATGACTTTGTACTTCAGGTTTATTTTAACTGAGTTTAGCATCAGTGTGATTTCCATAAATAACTCAAACCTTGTCCATTTTCAAAAGGTAGTTGTTTGCTGTGAGAGATACAGAATGAAACAACTGTGTATTTGTGGGTCAGATAATGACTTTTTGTGAACACAGAGGGAACATAAAATGTTGGCGCTGAGGACTTAAACTGTGTGGAGGGAAGCTGTTATCCTGAACTCTTTCTAAACTACTTTAGCAATCAGTTTGTGCGGAAAAGCACGGCTGTTCCTTTAAATCTCGTAACACTGCCATAAATTCTCACGAGGAACCATTTGTCACAGAGTAATAAAACACAACGTCAGTCTCACACAGGTCACACATAATGTGTGCATGTTTTACATGATAATCTATATTTAGGCCTTTGGTGAGGCTTTTGGTGGTTGACCAGCTGAGGAGAGTGATTTCTGAATGCATTTTAGTGGGAGATAAACGTTGTGGGCTTTGCCCTTGCTCTCATGCATGAGCACACGCAGCACATGCACGCACACACCCGCACCCACGCTCTCTAACCCCTGGTCATCACACCCACAATAAAAACTGCACTCTGCTCCAGTAATTTTGTCCTTTCAGCTCCACACCTGGGAAAGACACGTCAAGTAAAGGTAAGATCCTGTACCTCTACCTCACCTTTTTTGCCGCTTTTTTAAAACTCAAAATGTCTTTCATAAGAAGAATTTGATCGATTTAATCTGAATTTTTCAAATGGTCCGTGTCATAGAAGTCTGTTTGTTTAGTGAGTATTTACTGACTTTGCTGCGGTTTCTATGTGCTCAATGATCCGGCGCTGGGAGTTTTGACCTCACCTGTCCTTTATTTGATTTTGTTTCTGTTTTGTATGCCCACTTTTGTTCAATGCATTCTCAGTTTGTTAAAATTGAGTTTTTCTCAAAATGTAATAACTTGTAGAAACCAGTGATATTGGTGTTGGCCTCTAACTAAAGTTTGTCTTTGTGTTTTTTTCTGTCTGCCATTTTTTGAAGTTGTCAAGAAAAGTAAAGTTTAGTCAAAATCTGTCATAATCACAAAGCTGTCACAATACTGAGCTGATAAAATCTAATTTGAAAACAAGGTATTTTTATTGGCTAAAAAAGACTCTATCATACATTTGAGTGACAACTAAAATCAGAATTTTTGCTTTGCAAAGTTCGCAAAGCAAAAATTCTTCATTAGGTTTTTCTCAGCTGTCACATCTCACCTCCTACAGATAAATGAGATTTTAATTCAAGGTGGTGCTTAGTGAAGTGGAACAATAATAATAATAATAATAATAATAATAATAATAATAATAATAATAATAATAATAATAATAATAATAATAATAATAATAATAATAATAATAATAATAAAATAACAAAAATTGTGGTGGTGTAAATTTGTATTCAGTTGCCCATAGTAAAAAAAAAATTGTAGTAGCCCTTTTACAGTATATTTCTACCAGCTTTGCACACCTAGACATTGAGAAAATGAAAACTGCTAGAATCTCTACTGAAAGAAAGCATTGCTATTCTTGCCACTCTTTCTTAAAGGCCAGATTTTTTGAGTTTCTATCAGCAGACTGTCCCATCAGAGCTGTGGATCTCTGCAGATCTTTCAAAGTTACTTTAGCTCTCCTTGATTCCCCTGTCAGATTAAGATAATGGCCCTTTTCATTCTCTGTGATATATTTGATATTTTGGGATATAGTTCTCCAAACTAATGATGATAATGTTTTCTTCTTCGATTGTTCTCTTAAAAGAAAAACTGAGACAGAACAACCATATTTATACTGAGATTAAACCACTCTGAGATAGATTCGATTCACTGATTGTGTGAACGGAATGAGTGCAAATAACTGCATGCAAAAATTGAAAAACAAACAAAAAGAAACAACGTAGACTTTTCAACTACATCAATAGTTTGGATTCTGTCTCCTTGACACTACCTTGACCTCCTTTCAAGTTATTATGTCAGTTTTCTCAGTGCAGACATGGAACTTGCAGGAATACAGTGATGACAAACTCTTATCATCATTGTATTTTTGCGTAATACCAGCCAGAGCCGCCATATTAAATAACTGCTACCAGTTTGCGGTCACCACAGGGCGGGCTGTTTCTACGTCAGCCATATCTTTACAGTATCGATGGGCAGTAAAACCCTCTTGCATCAGTGTGTCGAGGACAAAACATTTATGGGTTTGTGAGTACAAAGTGTGATTTTATTGATGTCGGCGGAAGATGAAGATCTGCTCTGTATAGAGAAATCTGTGGCTGGTTGTCAGTGTTATGAAATCACTTCATTGTGTCATTTGCAATAAAATGTATGAAATCATGTTTGCTCTTTAGGTTCATTCTGTTGTCGGTGGCTCCATTTCCATTCTGATCCATCCTGTGAGATCCTCCCACCCACAGAATGACGGACTCCTTTCCTTATCTAGAGTAAGAATCATGTCCATTCATCTCTACTTTGGGTTGCTTGTACAAAAAACAGGCATTTCGCACATAAATGTCAGAATAATCATAGGCTCATAAAGACTGACTTGAACCACTCTTTTTTAAGAGTTGAAACATTGTAGAAAAAGAGTCAAATGAATGACTGAGAGCCCCAAAATTATATTACTGCCTTGCAATGAATGTCATCATCAATTGTAAATGTGAACTAAATATCTACAAATCTGAGCCGTTTTCAAATGAGTGAGGGAAGAGAACAATAGCTGTTATCAAAATTATTCCCCAGTCATGATCTTCTGTTTCTTTTGCTCGTTTCTTCATCTTTTTCTTAAGTGTCTTCCTGGGCTTCCTGGGGTTTGGTCTTTCCATCCTGTTCTGCACCAGCTTCTGCAGATCGTGCGCCCGTATGAGAGAGGAGCAGATAGAGAGGGAAGCACAACTTCGCAGCGAGCAGAGGAGCCAGATGCGCTCCATATACTTCATCCCCTTCCCTCGAAATAACTCACGGCGGGACAGTGACGAGAGCGACGAGGTCACTCCACCAAGATACAGTACCACCATCCGCTATGAGCCCCCGCCATCTTATAATGAGGTGATTCTAACAATTCATTAGTTAATGACATGCTTTGACTGCAAATGCCAACTTTGTTTGATTCGTTTCAAGATTTAATTTGTAATTCTTTGGTGTAATTCTTTGGTTTTCTTTATTGTTTCATGTTTCAGTTGGAAATTAAACCAGATGATCTCCCACCTCCTTACACAGAACAAAATATTTCAGACTTTTTAATCACACAACCACCAACTCATACAACCGTGGACATAGATAACACTGGCAACAGACCAGGGCAGCATCTTGTGGGGGAGCAGCTTGGGCATCCCCTGCCTCCACCAGCCCCGCCACTTCCGAGTAATCTTGTTTCTTCTCCTTGAATTAACATTCAGAATCGGAATGTCAATAGATACTCGCTGCCAAGCCCCCAAGTCAACAACCTCAAAGTGGGTTTGGAGTGTGCAGGAAGGTTATTTCTCCCAGGGCGTCAAACAAGCTCAGACCACCTCTGCATGGACAGAGTAAGACAGAAGCTTCACCCCGATGATCATGGACGATCCTGTGCTGCCTTCCTACAGCTTATGCTGTTTGCGTTTTTGTTTTTGTGTGTGTGTGTCATTGTGAGACATTTACCTTATTATTTTAAATTTATTTAATAAAGTAACAGCCCAGCGCTCTGCAGGAAAACTATAAGTATCGATGGAGTTCATGATCTTTTCAAGACTTTGTTTCAGTTTGGGCCAAAGAGTGTTTCTTCCTGCAACCAAAAGCCTGTTTTCCCAAACTGCCACACTTCTTGTTGGCATTGTGATGTTTTAATGATAGATTTTGAACAAAAATATTTTTTTCAGTTTGCTTGTATGTAACAAGTCATGAACTGAAAATTATGTCATTTGCTTTTCACGAGTGAAATGTTCATCCATCTGGTTCAATTCACAAATATGTGCACAGATAATTTAAGCTACATTGCTTGGCATTAATTTAATTTTATCCTGGTGGTATGCAAGTGCAGCTTCAAAAGGAGACACTATGCCTTGCAGATAAATCTTCAACTTCTGTCCATTGGATGAATGGATTAAGTGACGTGGAAATGGGTTTGAAATGGTTTTTGAACTATGTGACAAATTAGATTTGAAAATGGTTGGTGTGTATTTCTATTCAGTCAAGCTGAGATGATTCTTTGCAGAACCATCTTTTGCTAATATTACAGCTGTTGGTCTTTCTGATTTCCAGCTTGGCATACCTGAAGACATTTTTGCCCATAATCTGACTGAGTGCAAATATCAGTTTTTCCACATATTTTCTATTGTATTCAGGTTGTGGACTTAGATTAGGGCATTCTGCCTCTTTACTGTGATAAAATCCCACACATAAAATTTAACTACAAATTAAGGACATTTTTGTGTCAAAGGGGGCAGTGCATGCCATTGCTACTTATAAAAAAATGTAAAGGAATTGTTGTTCTTTATCATTCTTATTTATGAACAACTTTATCCTGGTCTGTCATGTACAACCCCAATGTAATGTTAAACTTTCTAGTTTAAGCTGAAAAAAGTGTGAAAAAGTCCTGAAGTAAAACACGCTGTTTCTGTGTTTAAGTTCTTTACATATTGCTTCAAGGATTGTATGGCAAAAAGTTCACCATGGGATAAAAATATAAGTAATATTTATTGTAGCTGGTCTACTTAAATCCTCTAATGCACAGAGGACAGATTTTTGTCTATTATAAAAACAATTTCCATAAGATAACAGTTGCAAATCCTTCAGTATTTCCGATGTCTTTTTTCTGTGTGAATCAATTGTAATTGCAATGTTGCCATGTAAACTCCTCATCAGCATTTAAAAATATAGTATTGTAAATACATACACATCTTTATTTTGCTTTTGTACAATGAAATACATGTTGATGTTTTGTATGTGTAGCTTTTGTTTTACTCAGAAAAATTCCCTATCTTTTCAAAGGTGAGTGATGTTACCTGGAGCTCCACTAAAAACCAGAACATATTGAATGAATTAAATTTGAAGGAACTTCTTATTTTCTATTCAAATTACAAGAAAAGGTAAGTAGTTTTGTTTTTTGAGGTTTGTTAAGCTTTAAAATGTTAAAGTGGTTTGGACTGCAGCATTGTGTGTAGGCACTTTTAAATGCATTTGTTATTTTAAAGAAATCACTGTAATATGGCCAGTTCTCTTCAAAAGGAACTTCACATGGCTGCCAGAACTGTAGTCCAGGGCCTAAAATGTTCAGGCAAGAAAAGAGTTTAAAAAGTGAGTGTAATTGAACTCCCTCCTCATTTCAAGATTTCTAGATACGAAAAATGTGGAGGTTGAAGTTGTTTGGTTCAAACTGGACACCAGATGGCAGTACATGCACATATAAACCTTTTTTTTAATTGAATCACTTCATTGACAGCAAAAATAAAAGTTTAACATTCTCTCTTTGTTAAAATCATCAGCTTTCTAAAAACACATTTCAGGCAGCTCTCTATTTCATACAATTTACACCTGCTTTTCTCAACAATCCTCATTTGAAATCTGTCACTATATGACAATATTATCTCTTGATAGTTAAGCACAGACCTCTATGATAAGCAAAAATATAGCTTTTGCATTTAAATTGTTTTTATGGCTGCTGTGAGTCACCCTCTGCACAGGGAACATGATCCTAACAGAAACTCGTGATCAAACTAAACCCGGCCTTGTATGGACATTTGGTTCCGTACTATTAAGCGTTTATTGCTGAAACGTCCCAGAGGTTATCAGGAGGAAAATGTGATTCAGAAAGGTGATAGTATGGAGGCTGCCGCAGCAACTTGGTTGAAAATTGTGTTAAACTTAGATCATCTGGGATCATCTATGTCATGCAATATGTAAATTGCATGACATATTTTGATTTTGTAATCTGCTTGAATAACGGGGGTTGAAAGTTCAAATAAACCACTCAAATGAACCACATTCAATAATCTGTATAGTACATTAGTACATCAAATGAGCTAAAGAGCAGAATTTTATCTACAGCACCCTCCACATTTATTTGAATCCCTGGGAAAGATGAATAAAAATCTAGCAGAAGAATTGATGTAGGAACACCACAATGAAAAGCAAAAAAAAGTGAACAGCAGGAGAGGAAGAGGGTTTAGTTTTTGGCAGCATTATCTCAGCCAGTGCCAAACAAAACACCACAGCAGATGTAGCTACTGTGGAGTGAAAAAAAAAACTTACAGAAAATATATACTTAACAGTTGAATTAACAACAAATATTGCAAATTTGAGAGTAGTAGTAGGAGAAAGTAGAAGAGTGAGGAAAAGTAATGATTTTCTTCTCTAGCAGGCTAAGCTTTGCAGCATATCTACAGAAACAGCTCAGGATAATCTAACCCCTCACAATGAGGCATGAGAGAAGCAGAGCATTGCATCCTCTCCCACCGGATCAGGCCTCTACCTTCCACTACTCCCCCACCAACTACCAGGCAAACATTCCTCTGTTTTTAACCATGAGCTTTATTAGAAAGGAACGCCGTAAGGCTGATTTTAAAAATTCAAAACTGTCTCCACAGGAGAGGAGCCTGATAACTACAAGGTTCATGGCATGGAAACAAGATCCTTACCCTGTAATAATTTGTTAATTTTATTTATAACCCAATTTTAGAGTAAATCAGCCTGTATTGATTTAACCAATTAAACCTTGTAACACTATTTGGAGTGGGTTGGGTAACAGACTGGTTTTATATGTATGGTAAAAAAAATTACAACGGAAAAGTTCAAGTAAAAGTACTTTATTTGAATAAGATTTTATGAGATAGATAGAGGGGGCATAGGTTAAAAAATGTTTTACAATTAAGGTGTGTATTGACCCCCTCAGAGGTTCGCTACAAAATATTAGTGAACAAACAGAATCATGAAGACCAAAGAACACAGCAGGAAGTTCAGAAAAGGCTGTGAAGAAGTCTAAAGCAGCGGTTATTTATTAAGTATTACCACAATGCCTTAAATACCTCAGAAAGAGATTTTTCAGTTACATAAACTGACAGACCAGGAGAGCCTTAGAGAAAAAAAATAAAGAGGCCCATTGGAAACTCTGGAGGATTTGCAGGGATCCACAGCTCAGGTGGGAGGGCTACTCCAAATTCGGTCTTCAAGCAAAGACAAGATCTTTGACTTGTTGAAAAAAATCTGAAATCCATGTTACATGGAGTTTACCACATACCCTCAAGGAGGCACTGCAAACACATGGAAGAAAGACAAACTTCAGATGTTATTTGTAAAACATTCAGGACATCTTGCATGGTTTTCCCTCAACTCTATACATAAATAAACTTCCCCAAGTTTTTAGGCTTTTAAGTCACAAAATCTGAAAACAATCAAACTGTTCAGCACGTAGGACATTAAAAATTATTTAATGGTGTAAAATTAACATTTTAGGAAGATACACATCAAAAACAACGTTTGAAATTAATTTCTTTTTTAAGGTAGAGAAGTCTCGCTGAGTCCCTAACATATTCTCATTCAGATGGCCTGACCTTCACATGTTGGATCCTGGAACAGATTGAAAGGCAGAAATAAGCCTGAGGCCGAGTTGACAAACAGAAGACAGGAAAATATAAAAAGGAATGAATGGGATTTGACTTTTGTCTGTATACAGCGTGTGCAATTATAGAGGAGAAGAGGTCAAGAGAGTTTCTGAAAATATTCAGGGAGTATTATGTTTAAGTGTGTTAATCTGTCCTTTGTCAACTGGTGGAGCAGCAAACTTTGGTTAATGATATTAATACCTGGTTTTACTCCAGAAGATGACGTGCTCAGCAAGCCTTTCACTGCTCTGTGATATTTGTCTGGCTCGTATCACAAAGGGCTTGTGACTCTTTACACATGCATGCATGTGTAGATAGCTACTGTGCCACTAATAAAAAAAAATTATAAACATTAAAATAATGAGCTGTGGAAGTGGAGTTGATTCATATCATCTTGCTGTTAAACTTCCTTGTAGATGATAAAATATTGAGTAATAGTTGGCTCTTTTCATAGACACAGTGTATTTGCATCATTTTTAAATTAATATTTCCAAGAGGAACATAATACAAGCTACAATTAAAGGAACAAATGACACAGAAAAGCATAATCAAGAGATATATTCCTACTCATTAGTGGGACTAAACTGTGTTGTTACTGCTCCCAAATAAAAAGATATTCATTTAGGAGATTATTTAAAGTATGCACAACTTTATGCAACTCCATGATGTAAAATGTCAATAAAATACATTGAAATATCATTTCACTAGACTTATGCATAAATGAAAAGATAAATCATTCAGCATCGGCCCTGCCAGCACATATATTTTATGATCTATCTACTAACGAACAAGACAAGATTCATGCAAATTTCTGAACTAAAGCACTCACTAGTGACATGTTTATATTATGATTTTGTAAATTACCATCACAAATTATCATAAACAGTTAAGTTTTAGAAGTACATTAAACTTTTATTGCTATAGCACTGTATTTAACCGTTGTTAAAGCTTTTTGTTGTGCTTCTCTTCTGTTTTAGCTGTTTGATTTTGTAGTATTTAACCCTTTGGCCATGTAACCTGTCAAACCTGCTGAACTGATTCCTTTTCTCTATGCTTCATGTCAATGTGTGCTCACAAGACTGAGGAACAGGACTAAGCTAAGCCTTGTTGTAATACGCAGAAAGCTTTGTAGACTTTGAATACTTTAAAAAAAGGAAAAACTTCAGATTACTTGTCAAAGTTGACATCTCCTGAGTAAAATACAGCCAACAACAATGATTGATAATGTCCTAATAAAGAAAACAATCCACGTCAGCATTTTGAGGTGAACTGCAGACTGGTTACATTTGCATACTTTAAATGACAAGAAAACATTTAACTGTATTAAAAATATAAACTACAGGAAATAAATCTGTGTGAATCTGTAAAGGCCAGATATACATTTCTGAATCAATGAGAAAGAGGAAATCCACAAAAGCTTGGTGCATGTTTCAAAATATTGACTGAATTTGCATAGATAACATTTTATATATATGCACAACTTAAAGAAAAACTTAAAATATAATCCAGAATAATAGGACCAACTTTATTACAATCTTTGTAGTTGTAATAGAGAAAGCTAATAGAGAAAATAGACAGGGCAAAAAATGTCTTTATTCTTTAATTAGCCAGTGATCATAATGTTCATCCTGAACTGGAGTTTCAGGTTGGAATCACTGCACATAACTGATATCCATTCATTGACACTGAAGGAGAAAATTAAGTTTCAAACCCACAGGCAAAACTGCCACAAGGTATAAATGTCAAACGACTATGTCCAAAAACACCTGGGAAATAAAGAATCCACAAATGTATTGTTTACCTATGCTCTTGGTAAAAATGTGTAAAAAAACAAAAACAAAAAAAAACTTTCAGATAAAATAGCCTTCTATTGCAGTTGCGTAATGTCAGAGTGGAAATACGTTAATTTTATTAGGGATTGTTCTAATAATTGGGCACCCAGTATACCCTATAGTTTGATTAAAATTCAGATTTAGAATTTTTCTTAGAAAAAGATTACAACTGCAATACAAAATACTTTTATTTTAGGGTTTTTAAGTGAAAGCCAATAAATGTGGCCAACACAAAAGCATATTTATTTCATGTAATAAGCGTACATTCCCTGCTGCCCAAGACGTTTCCTGCTGCCCAAGACGTTTCAGACAATGGCTCCTCACAGCTTCTGCAGTGCAGGGGGCGAGTTTTCTCTCTTTGTGTTCCCAGCATCAAACAATGCCATCTATTCTTTTGCTTTATAATTTCAATCCATTCAAAACTCTGTTTGTAGTTGCACATTCTAATTTCCCCGGAGGAATGTGTTTAGTTAATGTCTTCTCACGATTTTGACTGAGTGTGGAAGTTTTTACGATCTGGCTGACAAAACATCAATGCAGCAGAAAACCTTAAATGTGAGCCAAGCCAGTAGACCTCTCTGTGTTTTGATGGAGCTCTTACATAACGTAACTCACCGTCCAAAATGTAGGCAGGTCGTCCAGCGCTCATCCAGCCATGTAACACAGCGGTGGAGCGCATGCGCGCGTCTTTTTGCTGTCGCTCTTTGTCTCGACACGCCCCCCTCCCATCTCCCATCCCAGTCCGCCTATAGGTTCGGTGCAAAGGTAAAAGGGGGGAAATAGGAGGCTTTACAGACATCCACATTACTCTCTCTCTCTGCCTGTTTCACTCCTTTCAGTCTCTTTTGAATTTTTCCAGCAGATCCAAAATGCCAAGCAAGAGGAAGAAGAACAAGCGTCGCATGAGGAGGGTGGTGAGTGATGACAGGCGCACTTTTTATTGTTAGCAAAACAGATTTACTCTGCATAGCGTTTCTTTATTTATTTATTTTTTCTCTTTAAATTTTTATTATAAGCAAATGAAAACACAAACAGTGCTGACTGTTTATTTTGAGATGAACATAGTGTTCAGGTTTAGCATAAAAATGCAGAAGGAAGGTAGAGGTGGGGGAAAAAAAATGTATGTGCTTAAATTTCACTGAACGAGAAAATAACCAAACTTAACCTAAGTAGATTTGATTTTTCAAAATCTGATAAAGCCATATTCAACCATTTTATTCAACCATTTTGTTTACTTCTTGGCATTTCCAAAGTCAAGAGAGAGATTAACATAATTCAGTTATTATTTATGTTATTTTATTTTACAAATAGACAGCACTCTCTAAAACACGTGAAAAAATAAATAGCAAAAAATAAAAAATAAAATAAATAAACCAACAAAGGACCCATATCTTTGTCTTAATATAAGTAACTCACTAATTTATACGGTTCCATCTTGTCTATTTCTCTTGTGTCTGGGGTGGAACTATTTTTGAACACGGAATGCTCAAAGGAAATGAGTGGGTGTGGCAGAGTGGAGATCTGTGTGAGTGAGAAAGTAACACAGAAGCTCCATTTTCGTCAAGGGCAAATTTTTTATTTGTAACCGTGAAAATCTTTTTATATGCAAACATTTAGCGTTGTCTTTTACATTCATCATTGTTCATTGTTATGAAAAATATTTGATAATTATGTAACCAAAGAAAATAACAACTCTGTATAATCTAAAGAAATGAGAGAAGACACTGTTATTATCCAAAGCAAGAGTTTTTGTATACATTAGTTTTTGGACTGGCATCCACTCTGCTGTTAACAACAAATTAAACAATTTATTAATTAAAGAAACTATCTCTTTTGGTATCATAACATTTTTTTCACTCATTTTTGCAGTTTGTCTTGTCTGTAATGTAACTATGAGGATATTTCTTTAACTAATTGCAAAGTTTCACACTTGATTTAGAAGCCTTTTAAATGTCAAATTGGATTTTTGGATTTTAGAGAAGCACTAATCTGTTTTGCTCACTCATAATTTCCCTTTGTTGTTTTCTTGGGAACTATTACCCCTAGGTAAGAAACCAATGTGTTGCATTTTCCGTCATAGAAGTAATTTGGATTCTATCGGAAAATGAAGAAATTCTAAGATTATCCTTATTTATGCTTCAAAACAGTCATAACTGACTGTTAATAAACCCCAAAAATGTACATGCTAATTTGTTGATGTTTGATTTACAGTTATTTGCTTTGGTTCATTTGAAGATTTGGATGAAAATATTTGTTTGCTTGTTTTTCATTAATTGACCTTGCCAATCACCAGTTAGAACCTGTGAAACCTGTCTACGAACAACAGACAAAGAATAACCTTTACAGTTCTAGGATGTGTTTTTAATTGTTATCAATGTGCATTCTCTCTGTTTAGTAAAATAATAAACCACAGATGTTTTACCAGGCTTTACAGCAGGTGAGACAACCCATGTACGACCTGTTGTTGCCCAAATGTGCCATCTTTAGCTGGAATCTGCTCCTCTCAGCACCACAGGGCTGGTTTTGGTGATGTGTTGACTGTAGGATTGGGCTGCAAAGGTTTTGCCAGGTTGAAATGTGCACAATCTCGCTGGTTTTCAGAGTCCATTATTGACACTTAGATAAAATGGTCTCCTTAAGTCATCTTCAGTTTTGTGTTATCGCTAATCACCTTAGAGAAATCAGAACCTGACTGATGTATATCTATTTCTGTTCTCTAAATTTGGTTCTTTATAAATTGTCTTTTTTCTGTTCCCAGTCCAAAGCGGGCTGCTGAATATCAAGCTTTGTCTGGACATCGGCAACAGAGGCCGTGTTTTGACGGTGGTCGGACGGACAGGACATACACCCCTCACACACACAGGCACTTTTGGCTTGCACCACTGGTCTAGCAATGCAGAGCTGGCTGTTGGCCTAACAAAAGCATTTTTGGGGAGTGATTATAACCTGATTATGAAGTGATTAGACCCACTGTCTGGCCCGCGGGGCACCCATCAGTGCTGCTGACTCGCACGGTTTCTCTTCCCGCTTCACCAAACCTGTCAGGACTGTTCTGATTCAACTAATTAGCTCCCATTATCTAACTAGCCTTGTTGGGTCCAGTCCCAGTTGCCCCCTCCCTCCAGTGGTCTGCCCTCCTAAAATCTCCACCAAAGCCTGAGGTGGTTTTGTCCAAAGCTGAAAAATATGTTGAACCTGGCAAGTATGGCATGTCTGGTATTTCTGTAGGTGCCAGGCTGAGCTACAGTTTGCCAATAATATCAAGCTTTTAAGGGCATTTAAAAGTAAAAACCAGTTAAAATTCCATAAGGTATTGTATCAGGCCTTATGTTTATCTGTCATTAGAAACACCTTGCAAAAACAGTAATACCACCTGAAAATGTTTTCCGTAAAATTACATTACAAATATAAACTTCACTGGGTTTTATCGGGATTATCTGTGATTCATAGTTGTGCTGTTGATAGGTTGCAGGTCCTCAGTATTTACTGTGAACCTCTTGGATGCTATTTTAGTGAATGCTTTATCATTATTAGAGTCATTTTAGATGGACAGTCATGTCTTGGTATATTTTCAGTTACACTCTTTCTATTTTCACTCAAATTATTGATAAAGGCTTCAAATAATTGTTTAGAAATTGTTTTATGACCTACTCTGTTTTAAATATGTACACATTTTCATTCCTAGCCTATTTGTTTCTATAATTTTGTTTCTTTATCACAATATTGTGATAAAGAAACAAATAATTATTAGTTCATCACCTAAAATCCCAGTGATGGATTGGATTTTGTGGTTGTAACATGACAAAATGTGAAATAGTTTAATAGTTAGTCAAGAATGTAAGAATAGTTATATAGCTAGATCATTATCAAATGCAGAAAAATGAATATATCTGTGGCAATAAAGATCAAAATTCATCTTAATACTCGTTCTGTATTGAGTCATTAGTGGTTAACATGCATGTATGTTTTTTTTTCTGTTTTTCTTGTTATAGCAAGCCCAGAGGAGAGCGCTTGAGGATCAGCATGCAGCCAATCCACCAATCAAAGCCAGCTCAGGGATTGCCATTAGTGCGCCCCCTACAGCAACTCCCAAAAAAGCAGCAAAAATTTCACCACCCACTCGAGAAAAGCGCCCACAGGTCATTCCCATTTCTGCCCCTGCAGTGGAACCTCCAAAATTTGAACCACAGCCTGTTGTGAAAGAAGAAGCAGCAGAGGCCTTTGTGGCTGAGGTAGCTGCATCAGATGATGGTGTGCTGTTGGAGCAGGCTACTGTGGAGGTGGAATCCAGAGTGGGGGATGAAGTTGAAGGTCCAGCTCGTGTCGCAAAAGAAGCACCAATTAAAAGTATTCCTCCAGCGGAACCCTCTACGGTTGAAGATGATCTGACGAAGGAGGCTGAAGTTCCTGTTCCTGAAACAAAGCCCGTCTCTGAGGTAATTCAATAATTTCTTTTTCATTTACAAGTTCTGAAGGAATGGTTTGATTTGCACATAACTACAAATGTAGAGCAGTTGTATTAATTGAAGTGATTCAATTTGCAAGAAACATTTACATCTAGAGGAGACTCTCTTAGGATGTGCTACAGGCAGTTACTGGAGCATCCAACAGAGCATAAAGATGTTTTAGAAAGCATTAGCAGCACCTGACAGTTTGATAAGAAATTGTTTTTGAGTGTTGTGTGCCTGGTGGTTGGTATCAAAATGTAATTAATAGTAGCCAAATTTTGGAACCAGTCGAGACAGATGTGCATTCACATTTTTGCCACCCTTCCTGTGCGGTGACCTTAACTGCCAGATAGTTTGTGTTAACACATAGACAGGTAGATGATGGAGGCTGTGAAGCAGGGAGAACAACATGTTCCATTTAGGAAACATGGGGAAAATAAAGGAGAAGTTTGCAGCCTGCAGCAGTGAACGGTGTTTTCACCGTTTAATATGGAGGATCAGTGACTTTAAAATAATTCTTTATATGAGAGAATGAGAGACAGATGCATACTTTGCCTTTTGACATATTGACAAGAAGGATGTGATGAAGTTTTATTTTTACCCACTTGCAGGAAGCGAATTCTGGATTTATCTGCAGGTTTTCTATAAAAATATAAATCACTAATCATACTGGATACAGTAAACTTTTGTGTTTCCTCTGTCATCTTGTAAAATGAGCTTTTGCAGAGTTTAAGCATTTTAAATACATCCTTCTTTGTCACTGCCAATTTTGTTTCTGCTATTTAATTTTGAATCATAATATTCTTTGTGTTCAAAGCTGATATTTACCTCACTATGGCTGCAAACTTTGTTTGAGCTTTCTTTTCTTTTCTGTTTTGCTGTATCGAAGCAGCCTGCTCATCTTCTAACCTCTGATGTCAGCAGAACTGCTGCTTGCTGATTAGATTTTATTTGCTGAACCATTTTCTGTAAACCCAAGAGATTAGTGAAATCCCTTTCCTTTCCCATTCCAATGTTAAATTTAGGCTTCAGGAAGTAGTAGTCGCAGGATGTATTTGTGATTGGTGATTTGCTATTTGTGTCAACAAGATGGAGATCCTAATGACATAGCCAGTAATAACTTATTTTTGGAATGGAAAAACTTTGCAAGCTTGTTGAAATTGCCACCTGCAATAGTGTATGGATAGGTAAACCTATAGCAGAACTAAAGTAGAATCTTTACTTCTTTCAATACAACAAAACAATCAGTCTTCTGATTGACCACTTTGATTGGTTCCTGTCTGAGCAATTTAAGATTATTTAAAAATCTCAAACTCAATGTTAACATGCAGAAGGCAGATGCTTCAAATACAGATGCTACTTTGTGTCTTGACAAACAGCACAAAGATGAATCACAAATTCAAATGATTTCTACAGACATTATTTTCAACAAATGTACTAATAAGACAAAAATCATCTTTCCAATTACATAAGTTTTCACAGTTTCTGAGATTTTCAAACTCTATTTACAAAAACTTTATTAATTATAGATGGTCATGCCAATTTGACTTATTTTTTGGACATTGCATTGTTGGACAAACATATCCAGAGCTTTACCAAAGTTTACTCAGAGAACAAGCTTAATGCAGAATCGGTACAGACATAAATTGGTGAGACAAAACTGATTCTATGGAGAAGCCGCTGAGTTTCAGGTGAGCATGCATCTCTTCTTGATTAGACAAGAGTCGGGTGTTTCTGTTTGCTGAAGCCTGAAGCAGCTGAAGATGGAGCTTCTGCTTGAGCTGAACATTTTGTACCTCTTTTTTCTACCATGCTTCTGTTCGCCACTCCTCCCTAGTTTGGTCTCTCACTGCTATTCTCTATTTGCATGCATCCTTCACTCCCATATTCTGCAAGGTCATTTTTACATCTGTCTTGAAGTTAAAATAATTCTTCCCTCTCTTTTCAAACTTTGTCTAAAGCTACTCCTGACAGTTTCAGTTTGAGACAAATTTCACAGAGGCTGCATGTGTATCTACTGTAGATCAGAACATGGTGTTCTCTTTATCTTAACTGTGAGTTCATTTTTGCTTTTTAGGCCCTTTTGTTCTGAAGAAGGCCTTTACTTTCAGATTTAAATGATTTGATGAAAGCTGGTCTATGTAGATGACAACTTGGGGGATATTTCGTACAGTAAACTCGTCCTACATTTAGAAAAAGAACTGGCACAAGGTAACGCTAAATTATTTATCATCAGAGTATGAAGGTTTTCAATATTCATGAGCATCTCTCTGTGATTGCCAGTATGGCTCAGCACACTTGGCTGCACAGTGGATGCCGCCCCAGTGATCATTTAGGTGATGGCTATCAGGAAATTGAAAGGCCTGGCAGGCTTCTCTTCTCATGTGGCAATTTTTAGTTATTGCTCTCTGAAAAAAATGCCAGGTACCTCAGTGGGTTACATTCTCCAGACTGTGATTGGAATAAAAGTTGTCAACTATCCTGATGTTAAAAATGTCTCACATTCAAGTAAAAATGCAGAGAATTTAAGAACCTTTTGTTTATTTTTGTTCTTTGGAGGTCCGATGGGTTTCTGGAAGTAAAAAAAGTTAAATCTAAGGATTTCTAATTCCCTCTTAAGATCATTAATCATACAATTTTAGAACTTGGTTAGTCAATAATATAGTTTATAAAGAAAGATTAACTTGCTTAATATTTCTGATGAATGTAATTGTAGGTTTATTGTCATGATATGTGGCTGAGAGGTGGCTGAGGACCCAGGTTGGAATGAAGTAGTGATGTTTTAATGATCAAAAGAAACAAAAAATACAATAATCCAGGCAGCACAGATGAGCAAAAGGCTGATGCTCACAACTAGTAGCAACTGGAACAAATCAATAACTGATAGCAGACAAGACGACAGACTTGACTGACAACTAGACAGATTAGATAAGGATCCAACTAGGAACACAGGTGAGATTAAATAGGGTAATCAGGGAACGACACATCCCTGGGAACAATCAAGGGTAGACAGGACAACATGGAGACTCAATAGACACAGAAACCTAAAATAAACACACAGAGAGATTTGGATCGGAGGCTTTTTCTGATTTTAAATATTTTCAACAGGACTGTTTCTTAACCTGGTTTAAGGTCTTTGTAGTCCTGTCATATCGTTTATTGTAGTTTCTTGGGAGTTGGTGAGATTTGTGTTTTAACAAAGAGCAAAATGCACCTAAAATAAAAGTAGTAGTCTTGAAAGAAAAGAAGACAATTGATGGAAGAAGCAATTGATAAACAGATGTTCAAATGTGAGACCTAATTAAAGGTGATTCACAGGTTTAGTCTGGCAAACTTTGGGATGCACTTAACACATCCCTAAGGTGAAGACAGTAGCAACACTTGAAGTGCAGAAAAATAACTTTATTAGTGGACCAACCCGTTCAGTAAGTTGTGCCAGAAATGTTTTGGATTTCTGCATTTCACACTTTTAAACGTCTTAAAAATTTTACATTACATTATATCTAGATGATCATATGATCATGCAGAACGACGAATGAGGATAACATATGCTGTGAGATTATTAAAAGGAAAGAACTGAGTTGATGGCAAAGACAGTTTTAAAGATCTGACTTGAAAAATACCCAGGAGTGAAGAGAGGGAGTAACTGCTTGCAGTCATCCAGTTGGTTGCGAGATTTTCATGAAAGTCGTAGGACGTTCCTCCCCTTTTTCCAAACTGTTACACTGATCACACAAAGCATCTAAAGAAAATGTTCACTGGCTGTTTGCGTTAGTGCAGAACTGGGAGCCCAACTTTACAAGCTACTTCTGGCACGCATTTCCTGGTATGGCCACAGAAAACCTGATCAGGCTGTCACTGAGATATTTATTTTCTGTTAAATGCCTCAAGGCTGACAAAATGTCATTTTGAAGCTTGGGCACATTTTTAAAAGTCCAGTGTGTCCCTCCTAAAGCTTGACCTTTACATTTTTAGGCATGGGTAAGCTGCAGAGAATGAGGCAGTTTTATTGAACAACTTGACATGCTTGTTAAGAAGCACTCTTTATCTTCAGGTGTTCTTTTGTTTTGTTGACATAAGAACAACATTTTTAACCTCTTCTTCACAGGTTACAACCCCAGGCGAGGCTCCAGTGGTGGTTGCTGCAGAAGCTGAAGTAAATCTAACTTAAACTTTCATTTTTACCTAAAACACTTTGCTTTGCCCCTGACTGTAACTTAAATCAACCATATGTCTTCTTGTTTTAAGCCAGAGGCTGATTAGGCAGGTGAGCGTCTGAGTGAAGCAGGTTTTGAACCTTTAGACTGACGCCAACCTGAGGCCTTTTATAAATCAGCTCCTCCTAAAGAGCCACAAATTCTTAATGGTTTAAATACTGTGTTCTACTTTTTACATTTCATTGTTTGGCCTGATGCGTTTCCTTTTGTTTTAAGTAAACACTGTGAATCTTAAATCAGACAACCCTTGTAACAGCTAAAGTCATGCAAAAGACTCTTTGCTGCTTCCACGGGACTTTAGAGTGAAGGTTTCAACTGGGTGCTGCCTAAAGAAACTATTTTTAAATTTATTTTCAGTACATGTAAGGATCCTTTCAGGAGTAGGAGTTTTGGCAGTTCACTGCTCTGGAGCAAGCATTACCTAATACTATAAAAGAGCTGTGAAGGTAGTATAAATTCATTAAGTTTTTAGTTGGATCCTCCTGAGCACATACTCAATTGTTTTAAATTGTGTGTTTGTTCATCTGGGAATCTATTGATGAATTTATTCATATGTATAAAAGGTTAACTGAAAATATATTTTGTATTTCATATAGACAGAAGACAATGAAGACGCACAGACAGAAATGGGTCAGGTACGTTTTTTACGACCCGGACGTTCTGGTAGTGTAATGTAATCCACTTATCTCTATTAAGAAAAGTCAGTATTCCTAGGGACCCTTTTTGTCCTCTAGATTAATGTTGAATGTTTTGTGTTGTGATAACTTTGTAGACACAGGATGTCTGCGAGGCAGAAGAAGACACTGAGACCAAGGAGGAACTCGAAGTGTCCATAACTGAAGAAGTAACCATATCAGAGTCAGTAAAGGAACAGGCTGAAGAACCAGTGGGAGAAGATCTTACCAGTGACCAAAGTCCTGCTGAAGTAGGACATGCTGCAGAAAAAACTGAATCTGATACTGGACCAGAGGTGGAGGTTGTCATAGAAAGACTGGAGTCGGCAGAGCCACCTGAGGATGGGGAGGAAAAACTGGAAGACTCAGCTGCACTCAGTGTCCAATCTGTTGCAGCCATAGAGGTTAATAATTTTATGTAAATCTCATATAATATAATTAATTAACTGTGTAGTGTTTCTTTATGTCACTGTAACTATTTCCTCCAAGTCAACAATAGACGTCTCTGTATTTTGTCTGACTACATCAGGGTGCTCTTGGCCAACCTGTGGAAATCCCAGCAGTAAGAACCTTATCGTTTACTCCACTTTAAGAAACAACAATTTTATGTCACTATTAATAATTTCACTTTACTAAATGTAGTTGCTTTGTTAAATTGTAACATGGCAGCCTTTTTTCTCATCAGGTGTTAAATACGATCACTGAAGCTCCTTTGGATGAAGCTGACCCTCCTGTTGTTGAACATTCAGAGGTATAACCAAGAGTTTATTACTAGCACATGCCAAGAAAGGTTCATTTGATAGTAATTGTATTGTTTTTATGTCTGAGCTGCTAATTACAATATTAGCACAAAACTGTATGCATACCATCACATTCAAAGCAACAAAACCTGAAGAATCAGACTGCTACATAGAGACTGCCTCATTAAAATAATTAAATGCACTATTACCACACTTATGTTTTTGTTTATGTTTACTTACTGTTGTTTTTTAAATGATTTTTCAACTAACAAGTGTTAGATCATGGAAACACCATTTCATTTTGTTCTATTCTATTTGGGACAAATAGAATAGAACAATTGGTTGTGATCAATGAAATTACAACCAACTGGTTTTTGATTGCTGTATAGTTTTGAAGATGGGAAACATCTTCAAAACTCTTCTCATGTTTTCCTTCTGTCACTCAGGGATCTGCTGACCTGCTGCTCCAACAATTAGCGGATACTGAATCTGTGTCAACAGTGAAGGATGTTTCAACGTCTGCTGTTGTGCAGCAGGTGGGATTTGTACAAAATCCTCTTTACTTTATGCTTGTTGGTCATGAATAACTGGAATAATTTTACAATAGTAGTTCCTGAGTGCTATGTTTATAACAATATATTGGGAAAACTGCAGTTACAACCTTGTTTATTCTACTATTATTTACGATTTCAGCTACTCATGGTTTAATTTCTGGGGAGCTTCTTATTGTTTCTATAGCTGATAAAAATTGTAACAAATAAAAGCAAAGCAAAAAGAGTCTAAAAATCATCTAAAAGAAAAAAAAAGACAAATACAATGGGCTTCTTGCTCAGTAGATCCCTGCTTTTATGTAAAGGTTAATTTATCAGCTGGACATCTTGTAACCTGTTCCTTCTCCTTTTTTTCAAATGCAATTTTTTTTCCTTTTTGATATTCAGGAAGCTGAGGGAACAGGGGACACTTTCATCCCCCAAACAGAATCAACGGATGCTGCTCCTGCAGAACCTGAAACAGATTCTGCTGCTCCTGCAGGAGAGGTAGGCACTCTTACCAGTGACCTTTATATATATATATATATATATATATATATATATATATATATATATATATATATATATATATATATATATATATATATATATATATATATATATATATATATATATATATATATATATATTATATATATATATACACGTTACAATACTCTTAATCATTTGTTTCATAATGCAAGAAGAAAACAAATATTTGTTTTTTTTTTCCACACTTAAATGTTTCACATCATCTAACAATTTTATTTTGTTAGATAAGCAACAAATAACAATGTTTTACAAAAGAGAATTTTATTTATTAAGAAACAACAAATCTAATTAATGTGGCCCTACATAAAAGTACAATAACCCCACTTGTTAAATTTTTAATGATCTATGACTACTTACACTTATGATACACACACTGGTTAGATTAATGTCATAGCAGTAGAATTGAGAAATTACACAAACACAGCCAGACTTTAAACATGAAGAAGGGTAAAAAAAAAAACTCAGAAGGCAACACATTATGCCCCAATCAAAAAAAACATATAAGTCTCATTACACAAGCTACAAAACAAGTTAATGTGAAATTGTATCAGCACAATGACACAGCAGAAACAGCAGAAAGTGCACCTCTAAAAACAAGACAGTTTTGCAGTGGCCTTATCAAGATACCAATTTAATTCTCATAAGACACAGTGGCTTAAAACTATAAAATATGAATTAATTAAAATAATTTTGCAAAGAAAGATGGTCAATAGTTCCTCCACATCAATGCAGAAACCAGTAAAAATGGATCATTGGAGTTTAAAAAATTTAATCATAATTTAAGAAAGGTTTTTTTGTATTTACTCTTTCGAAAATAAAAGTTTGCTGATTGGAAACATTTAAGTGGAACAAAAACAGGACACATTTTTAAGAAGGTAAATATGAAGAATAAGTGTACATGGTCAAGTTCTCACTTTGTTCTTGGACTTCATGTTTCCTTTCTTTTCCAGATTGCTGCTGCCAACCAAAAGTGTCTGGATGTGTCGTCAGAAGAAGTGAAATCCGGAGGCTGTGATGTTCCATGTCAGGGACAGCTTCCTGTTGAGGCTGTGCAGCTTGGTGGAGCGGTAATCAAGTTTGTGCATAATTCTAGTTCATCCTTGCTAACAGTTCCTGGATACTTGAAAGTGCCACCTTCATCAGTTGTCATGTTGTACTGTTGCCATGTTGTCATGTAGCGTCATTTGGTAAATGATGATACTTTTAATGCAAAGTTGCTGTAAAGCTGCCTTGAAAGTCCATTAAAAGTGCCAACTTTGCATTATGTCTTAAATAATTACACTTTAATGCAAAGTTGGCCCTTTTAATTTACTTTATAGGCAAGTTTTAGAACAACTTTGCATTAAAAGTGTCATTATTTACAAATGACACTTCATGACAACATTCAGACATTCAAAAAGACTCCTTCTTGTTCATGACAGGCGTTTTGTCATGTTTATGACAGTGTCATGTCAGCCTTATGCACACAATGTCAAATAAAGAGTTACTGGTGATCCTAACTGATCTAATACAAAATCTGATTTCACTTCAGACAGTGTGGAAAAGGGTTTATGTCTTTTTCTGTATTTGTGTTTTACAGCATGCTCACCAAAATGTATTTATTCTCTATGTGTACAGGAGCTTTCAGTGGAAATAACACAGAATGGAAACATTGTTCCTGAGGTCTCCATGGAGGGTTAAAGCCAAGGCACACAGCTCAGAAAACCGTTTTCTATGTGTAAGACTCTAAAAGTATGAAATAAATCTTTTAAAACACCTTTCTGTCTTTATTTGTAGTTATTCACTAATGATGATGCTCCTGCAACTTTTGTCTCTTTCAGATTCCCGTTGGAAGACTCAAAGCTTTTTCCAGGGAGTCAAGCAGACCTTTTCATTTTTTAAGGCTTAAAGGCAGAACAGGCAGGAAATCGAAGTGGGCATCCACACTTTGAAGTGCCTTTTCCTGTCCTGTACTCTGCTGAAACAGCAAACCAGATGTGAACACGCAGAAACGGCTTCTCTCACGACAGCAGCTGAGACCTATGAAAAAAAAGCAAACATCTTTGGTTCTTTTAAATACTTTGCTATGCAACAAAATCACAAAAAAATGAGTTTGACTAATATTTCAGGAGAAGGTGCTGAAGGCACGACAATCAGCAAAAGAAATATTTTTGCATCTTCTGTCTCAGAATATCTTCCTCCACAGTGCATAGACTTTATGCATATCAGTAGACTTGTAGCATTGATAATTGAATCTGTAGTTTGTTTGTTGGACAGTGTTGTTTTTTTGAAAGTCACTCGTTTAGCTTACCACTCTCTTTAAACCTTCCAATAAAATTAAAACTGGGCTAATTTTGATCAAAAACATATTTTTTACATATTTGGCAAATGTGTGGAAAAAAAAGTAATGTTTTAAGATTTGTTCTTAACTGAAACATGACAATAGTCATGTTTCATGACTACATTTTGCTTTACCAAGGATTTGGTGAAGCACCATCTCCCACCACAATTTTTTGCAGTTGTTTACAGCAGGTTTTGTGGAGAGAAATTAATTTGGGTTCACACTAAACAAAGATGGCAAAATAATTGTTTTGCTCATATTCTTTAACAGAACCATAGTTCAAAAATTCATGAGTCCATTTCCTTTACTGTCTACCATTGTTCACTGTCTTGACAAAGTGCCACTGTTAATGTTACAAAGCTGCATTATAAAGAGCAAGCTTTGATATTGAACAGAATATTGAATATCAAAATTAATTTCATAATTCATTTTGTATACACCGAGTAATGCATACACGATTGTTAAAATGGGTACTTTCTGAGTTATTGTTGGGCTGTCTTGACTTGTGAAATAAAGTTATAACTCTGTGATTTGATGTTGGCTTGCTAGCTTAACCTCAACCATTTAAGAAGCACTTCTCTGCCTGAAAACATTGTATGGAACTCAGTGTCTTGTATGGAACTCAGTGTCTTCTACTCTCATCTGAAACTTTGATGTGCTGCTTTGTACGTTTTCTGTCCTACAAGAGGTCACCCAGACAAGAGTTACCAACAGATGAGATCCTGATATTTGGTGACAACTGTCCCCAAATCTTTTCCGCACCAAAAAGCACTCTTTACTTAAGAAAAGATAATTACACTGATACGTCATTGTTACCTGTGCAACTGGAGACACAAGCGATGTTTGCAGATTTTATGTACCAGTAAATACAAACGTGGAATGTGAATTTGAGGGCATATTTTTATTTTAAAAAAAGACAACGCATAAATGTCCCAGATCAAAAGATTTTTTAATTTTCTCTTTTTACATTTAAATTTACATTCATATAAGCATGATGTAATTTGGTACAGTAGACACTGAGTGTTTTTTTTTCTCTTTTTGGCCATTTTTCAGCTTTATGTTGTCAGAGTGTCAAAACAACAACAAAAATTGAATTTCAAGCATTAGTTATTCTTTTATTTAAGTTTGCAGGCCCTTTGTTTGGGGATTTTTTTTCTTCTCCATTTTCTTTTTACAAAATATTAGAAACAAAACAAAAGCAACACTTTCACCTCTGAATTTAAAGGGGAAAAAGTATTTGTGACATAAAAGGACTGAATACCCAAAAGTATAGTTACAGATCTAGAGAAATAACAGACAGGATATACATGTATAAAAGCACATTCATATTAATATGTGATGCTTTGGAATGAAAACAGCGGCATACTATGACCAAACAACAACTTTCTCATTTGAGTTCAATTCTTCCCATTCATTTGAATTTTCCACTTGTGCCATTATTATGTATAAGGAATACATCTTCCCCAAATGCTTCCATAAAACACTATAATAAATAAGAAATAGAGGAGATTTGATTGGTCCATGAGGTAAAATGTGAATGGAAAAATAGTTGGAAAGATTTCAGAAAATTAAAGAAAAAAAAAAGTGATAATCAACAAAAGAGCACGATGCCCTGTAAAGCTGCATTATTTATCAGCACACACACAAAAACATTCACGCAGTCCAGCCTGAGGATTATCAAGACAAACCCACAGCTGGAATCTTTACAAAGCCACTTCATGGATGATAATATTTCAATATTTACAAAGAAGGGATATTTTAACTAATAAACAGTGTAAATACAAAGAGTGAGAAAACAATCACCCCTCCGTATAAAACAATCACCTATAGACCATCACATTTTCTTTTCAATCCTTCAATTTTCTGAACTTTAGTTTTCTGTAAACTGTGTTAAAGATGGGTGGAGCGTGAATGATAAAAATGAATGATGATTACAGAGGAACTTAAAATCATGGACTGAGATGTCTGACACCAGGTACAATCACGCTGACAGCATCTTTCCTGTCGCTGCTACAAGAAAAAAAAGCACTTCAATGAAGAAAACTGCTCATTCAGACATCCCCGGCTAGAAATCGAAGATTTCCACCTGCTGTTGCTTAGAGGTTTGATGGAGGATAGCATGCAGTTTGCTACACAGTGTACACTGAGAAGGTGGAAGTCAAAGAGCACTTCAAAAAAAACTAAAGAAAAAAAACAAAAAAAGACTGCCTGACTGGATTAATGCAGTTTGAGGGCTGCATTTTTTTATTGTTAACTTTGATCTGCTGCAGCAATAACAGGTGTAAAGCAGCACAAGTAGTGTTCAACAGGTAAATTCTCTTGACTTACTGGCTCGAGAAAATTCAAGTTGTGACCCATATCAGAGCAGCAAAGGAATTTATAAAGTCTTTTTCAGTCATCTTTCAATTTCTGTTAGGAAACGTTAACATTTTTTGAAGAAGCAAGTCTCAACGTGACGAATGGCATTTTGCAAACTTTCAAGTCGGCTGCCATGCTTAACAATTTACAGCCATAATCACTTTTATTTGCCAGTAAACTACAAGACTGGCTGCAAACGTGCAAAGCACAAAGGAAAATTAGTACCACCAATAACCAAAATAGGTCAAAATTTTCTCAGTGTCGACCCCCAAATTAAACGACATCTTAAGTTTTTGGCCCAATTGTTAGTTATTCCCTCCTCCCAATGTTTGCAGCACCACTCAGGCAGTCACACAGGTAGGCAGTGAGTTTAAAAACCATCTCAATGTTTATTAAACCCTCTGTGTAAGAACAAGAAGTATTTTCATTACAGTGAGGCAAGAAGGTCTTTTCTTGTAGCTGTAGAAACACAAGAAAGTAAAGAAGGAAGAAGGGGAATTGTAGAGAGGACACCTCTCAGAGGCTCGGCACCCTTTATGGCCCAATGTGGGCTCAGCCCTGTCCAATCTGGCCCAGTCAAACCCTCGTTAGGTTGGGCCAAATCCAGCCCAGTGCACGTCTGGTCTGGTTTAGTCGTGGTCCAGGCCGGTGTTTCAGAAAAGCGCTTTGGATCCCTGGTTTTCAAACTCTGACCAGGCGTCATTCAGTTCCATGAAGATCATCTTGGCGTACTGTTCGTATGGCTGACCAGTGGCCTGCGTGGATAGAGGCAGCATTAATGACTGAAGATCTGAGCACCAGACTACAACATGAGCAGGATTTTGAAGCTGTACCTTATCTGGATGGACGACCAATGCTGCCTTCCTGTAGAATTTCTTGACCTGGTCAGGGGTCACGAGGTCAGCCATGCCCACAGGCTTCCAGCGTGTTTCCCCCTCCCACAATACTGTATGCAGAGTTGAAAGCAGCGCTCTGATGTTTCGCTCCTTCCCTTCGATCCATTCCAAAATCTGGAAAGTGGAATAGAAATGAAAACATCAATAATTCAGAGGTTTACTAGAGAACAAAGAGGATTACAAAAAAACTGAAGTGTAAAAACACACGGCCTAATTGGTCAGGCAGGGGAAAAAAAAAAAGATTAAAAAAAAGAGCATTGATCTGAGAAGAGTAATAACTCATAAGAACTCTGTAAGAGGAACAGAGAGTGACAGCTGTTATGAGCACTACATAAATCTGGTCTCTTTGCAGATAAAAGAAAGTTCTGCGCTATTATTGTACTGAATGGTCAAGTCAAAGCCCACACTTGAATTGAACCAAGAAATAAATAGTAGGATTAAAGACATGAAAACATGATGTAAAGCTCAAAAAAGACAATTTTACATCATGCGGTCATTTTAAACACATGTAGGGACCTTAAAAATTTGAGAACAAATTTAGGGAGTATAAATAATTTTGTGAGACATTATAAGCTTAAGAACATACAAAGTGTTCTTGACTTGCACATGTATGATATTCATCTTGTTACCTGTAACTTCAGGGGATCCATGTCTTTCGCTATCTCTTGCTTCCTCATTTCAGCGATGGTCCTTGGTCCCTTTTTATCAGGCTTGGAAGCAAAACCCTGAGTGGACAGAAGCTCCTCAAAATCATCCTCTTTTACCTTTGGTTTGGGGCCTACGGTAAAACAACAACACAGATTAAGGGCTAAATCTGAAACTCATCAATGAGAAGCATTTATGTAGCAGAAAAACCTCAAATCCTTTCCCCAGGCTTCGCTTACCAAATCCAGGCCCACGAACCCCTCTTTCCTCCCTCCCACCAATGACACTAGAGAAGTTGAGGTTGTAGTTGGGTTTAGAGGACTGTGTGCTTGGAGGCTGAGGCGCTGAAGATGCTTTAGGTGTTGGTCCAGGTCCAGACATCCACGGTTTGGTCTGCGCTGCAGCCGGTCTTCCTGACTTCCAGGCTTGGGCTTGAGGCTTCGCAGAGGAAGGGGTGGAGGAAGACGGCGTCTTTGTGCTAAATGAAGCCCCTGAAAAGTTACTACTTGAAGAGCCTGCAAGAAAAAAAACAAATATCACACTCACTTTGGGAAGTTAAGAGATTCAACCTGATGTTTTTCCAAAGGCGGTCACTGCTTGTTTAATCAACATGCAACAATGTAAAAGACAAAAACTCACCTGGTAAATTGGAACCCAGTGATCCAAGGTCTGCAAATGGATCAAAGGTCTGAGACTTGGCCTTCGACATGGATGACACACCAGAAGCTGCAATTACAGTTAGAATACGAGTCAGAGTCACATTTGGTAAAGCCATTAACAAACCTAATATATGCCACCAAAACAAACAACACAAGCATCATACAATTTAAGTAATATTCCTCTACCCACCTGTGTTGGTATAACTGGGTTTGGTTGTGTTAGTGGTGATGCCAGGTGTGGTCTTGGCTGCCCAGCTGTCCCACCCACCCAGCAGGTCTGGTTGGCTGGCTGAGGACGTCATCTTAGGTCCATCTTTCGTTAGCTTATCTGTGAAGACCAAACGTACTAAGATATAGCAGGAAGTTTCTTTGATATTGTTGAGTTGATAAATTTTAATATTCAACAAACTGACTGATATGTTATTTGACGAGAGCATCAAAAATGTCTGTATATTTGGGAATTATTTTTAATTACTATGTGCAATTAAATGGTGTATTGAAGAAGTATTTTTGAGTTTGTGGCGCTATCAATGTTGTGCCATGCAGTCACAGTCATAATATTACCTAATGATGAAGTAGTAAGTAGATTTTTTTGTGATCATTTACATTGCTTTTGCAATAGTAGCACAAAATAAGAATACATTTCTATTCAACCCCCATTTTGAACAAGTATTGATATGTCTTGAACACAAATCGCATGGGGGTTTTATGTCACTGACTGATACTGAGGCACCGAATTACAAAATAAAATAAAAAATACATGGCTTAACTTTTTTACAAAAACTGTCTGATAAAAGAAAAATAAAAAGATCTGCGCTGTGGGAAGGAGTTTATTAAACAGAAGCAGGTCCATGGTAACTTTGAGAGAGCTGCAGAGGTCCACAGCTCTTGGTCGAAATGACGATCAGTAGCAGAAATTTAACAAAACAAATTTATTCCCCAGTTCTTCATAGTTGTGCACTACTTTAGTCTTGACCCATCACTGAAAACCTCACTAAAATGCTGATGTTTTGAGGTTGTAACGTGACAAAATGTGAAAAAGTTAAAGCGGTATGAAAGTTCTGTTTGTTGTGAACTCACTGAGGTTGAAGAGGCTGGTGTTAGATGCAGGGGTGGTGGTACTGTGAGCAGAGCTAAATCCGCTGGTCGCTGAACTGTCAGAGCCCAACAAATCTCCAAACAGGTCAGGCCCAGAGGCCTGACGAGAAGAGCCCACGCTGGAACCAACGCCAGACCCGGACCCCATCCCGAATGGATCAAACAAGTCGCCCATGGCTGCAAAACATTCATAATCAGAAGAAAATCACATTAAAGTCAAAGAGAAAGTTTTGAAATATTGCATCCAGCACTAAAAGTCCCACTCCTCACGTTTTGAGTCAGGTGTGGCTCCACTGGTTGGCTCGCCAAAGAACAGATCTTCCTGCACTGCTCCTGTCTGACCAGCAGGGGGTGCAAACAAGTCATTGAGGAGGTCGCTGTTGCTGGAGGCAGCTTTCAGTCCGCCCTGGTTAGAAGCACCAGAGGAAACCGCAGATGAGGCAGGCGGTTCGGGGTCAGAGTTCAATCCCAGGAGGTCAGCGGTGTCGCTTTGAGCAGAGTCCTCAGGTGCTGGAGGGGGGGTCTGGTGAGAAGGAGGAAATTATACCGTTGGATATTTAACAACACTATCAAAGCACATTAAAATGAAGCCTTAAATGTTATTTTAGCAAAGTAAGTCATCCACCTGGAAATCAGCATCGAACAGTTGTTCACTGAGGTCACGGGATAAAGCTTCCCCACTGGGAGCGGAGTAAGACTCCCCCTCTGACTGATCACTCAGATCTTCCTGGTCATTCAGGGATCCTCCTCCAATGCTGTCTGTGGCATCATGAGGGATCTGAGTGTCTAAGAGCACAAGGAAGAAATGAGAGCAAATTTAATAAAATTGTAAGTATCAACGTATTTTTGATTCATGGAAAACGTTTGGTCATTCAGTGTTTGAAGTAGTTTGAAGAAACAAAAATCAGAGGCTTATCCCTCTTTGAAAAAAAAAAAAAAAGGTTTCAAAATATTAACATTTCACCTTCAGCAAATTATAAAAGAGTAAATTTTACCTTCCCAATCTAGTGTCTGGAAGAAGTTGCTAGAGTTGGGGTCATTGCTGACGGATGATTCTGATTCGGTGGCGTTGGCGCCATCTGGGGTCTGAGCCGGCTCCGGAGGCGACTCCGACTCATAAAAAGCAGAGGAACCAGGCTGTCGGGGAAGCTCGGGCTTACCTGTGGTGGTCACACATCCAGTTCATAGAAATGAAACTGGTTCTAATGGAAGGCTTGCGTGGATAATTCTGTGTTTCACTTCACCCTATGCGAGTTTTAGCTGTACTTTTACTGTAACAAAAATGGTTGAAACTCCAATTAAAACAAAAAACATTTTATTGTCCTGCTAAGTACAGTTCAATAAAATATCCTGGGTTAGGTTTAAATTCATATTATGACCTATTATAACTAATATGTTATAATTGGTTATGACCTATTATAATTAATAGGTCATAATATCCATGAAGAAACAAAAAGTGAGACTGTTTTCACTTTGCAGATAAAAAACAATTATAGAAAAAACAGTTACATCTAAAAAAATTATCATGGAAAAGTTAAGTATTTTTTGACATTTCAGAAGGTGAAACTATTGACAAAGGTATCTTATTATTTTTTAATGCTTTACAGAAAGTATGATAAGTAAATCAAATCCAAAACCAACCAAACTTGCTGAGGATTTCCTGCTGCTCATCACGAGACGAGAAGAGTATTTTGGGGTTGAGGCCCTTGGTCTGGAAGCCGTCCCATGGAGGGGACTTGTTGTTGGGTCTGTCTCTGGGTTCCACTTCAATGTCAAGATTAACCTGGAACAAGTCTGGGTATTTCTCTTGGATGTCACAGGCGTCCAAATCGTACCTGATAGAAAAAGAAATGTGGAGAAAAATGTTAGAGAAAAAAAAATAAACTAACGCTCTTGAGTTTTAGCTCTCCTGTAAATAGTAAAAAATCATTTTCATTTGAGTAATAATATTCCAGTTTGTACTGATATTAATTAGCAGACAGTGTACATACTTAGCAAACTTGACAGTAGTTGCGTTTCTTGGGATAAAGCCTGTGTGAAACTGGATCTGAAACATTTTCATTGATGCCATCTGGAAAAGATTTTTGACATCAGAAAGTCAGTCTTTTGGCCAGAACAGTGTTTTTTTTTTAATTAGATATGAAAGTACTGATAAAAGGAAACTCAAAATCCTGGTAACATTCATTTAAGCCTGCACCTTTGCCTGGAGACGCCCACCCAGTGTGGATCTAGCGTGATAGATCACCACAAGTACGTCTCCTTGAACTGTAACATTGAGGGGAATCTCTGCTCTGCCATCTTCCATCTTAAAATCCCTTGGGGGTAATAAAAAAATAAATTAATTAAAAAAAAAAAAGACAATAACTGAATAAAAAAAGCAATGCCGCTTTATATCGGTTAAACAGCAAAAAACATTACAGGTCAACCATACTTCATCCTGTCGTACTCCTGTGAAGTGGAGAGGACCCTCTCGTCTCCAACGTAGACTTCGCAGAACGGCCTGCACCCGTTGCGCTGCTTGTTGAACAACGGCACCGGTGTCATGATGATAGAGTGAATAACTACCGGCTTGCTGTGAGGGATTATGGGCTCCTCTGCCATCATGTCACACATATACTCTATGTACCTAAAACCAAAACGCAACATTCAAGAGCACTCCATCATTTTGTGAAAGAGATCAAAATAAATGTCGGTATATAAAAATCAATCTGGAGAAATTTGAGAGGAAACCAACATTTTCTGCACACTGGGTTTCGTACCTTTTGTGTGAGGGAGTTATGCCAGGCGGGCAGCGTTTCATAGAGAACATGTAGACAGCAGCCTCAGCTGTAGTGAAGAGGCGACAGAAACACAGGAAAGAGCAAACTGCCACTGCTGATGCTGCTCGGCCGTCCTACACAGAAAAAAACGATCAAAATAATTAAAAGAACGGTAGCTGACAGCAGCTTTACTAGTAATGCAGATCAATCACACACTTGGCATGTTTAATCTCAAATACAGTTGGGGTTGATGTTGACAAAAGGTAAAGAAGAAGACACACATAATTACTGACTGAATCAGAAATGCTTACTGATCAGTCTTCATCTGTTTTGTGCAAAGTTGAAGGATGTTCAACACCAGAAATGTATTTTGGGTTTGCACAAATATGTACTCCAACTGTATCAACTAAAACAATTTTAAAAAACTTTTATAATTAACCGATAATTGTATGAGTAGCAAGTTTTTAGGATGCAGTTATGCACAAGCATAAATAATCAGTGTTCATAATCTTATAAATTATAGTTTCATTTATTAACCTACATAAAATTATCTCCTCCATTTTTGAACATGAGTGGAGGACTTGCTTACTAACCAGACAGTGCACTATACAGATGTTCCTCTGGTCCTGCTTGAGCCACACATGCATGTTCTTGCAGACGCTGTAGAGACTGCGGAGGTTGGGAGCCCGGCGAACCTGCCAGTTACATTCTGAAACCTGGACAAAGAGAGACAATGAAAAGACTGAAGTTTTTAGATGCAGTTCAACTGGCTGGAGAAATCAGCTGCATCTCATCCCCCTGCACCAATTATGTAGGATCACATTCACAAACACACTCTTCTTACCCTGTTGTGGAACCGTGAAGGCCTGTAGGATCGTCTGGAGAGGTTGTACACAGCGTAGTGGCCGGCGTGACGTGAATCCAGAAACAGACGAACGTCTTCGATATTGTTCTTTATCGCAGACTCCACCCCTTCCGCTGGAAAAGACATCACTATGCACGCAAACAAACTGATCAGTAACCCCAAAAATACATTTTACTTGTTTTAACATGAGACACTACAATGTGTGTTCACTTCAACTTAATCACATCTACTTAAACAACAGAATCACTTTCATAAGAACAACAAAAGAAATATTTTACGGAGGAAACTTTATCTACCTGCTATTCTGGAGGTGATGTAAGAAATATCCAGGTCTCCTTTGGCATAGCTGAAAAACAAAAAGCTCACTTAAAAAAGAGGCAGAGCATATGAAGGGACAAATCCATGTTAGAAAATACTTCAAACAAAGGAAAAAGTTGCTTGCCTAATGCCTGGTAAAAGCTAGTGATTTAGTAGGTAAACTAAAGACTAACAAATAAAAATCAAGAAATAGAGACAATTCTTTTGTAACATTCATCTATCTTCCTGGTTTCTAATGGCTTCTAGCATTTTAAAGCAGTTTGATTGATACATTCCTCCTTCACTATAAATTGAGTTTTCTAGGCACCACAAACATTTGCCAAAACACTCAATACCACAATCAGAATAAGTGTTCTTTGTTGTACGACACACCAGGCTTTAAGACACTCTTACAGCATGTTCAAACCCACTGCAACATATTAAAAGCAATGCATAATGGTTCGGAAAGCAGAAGTGTCAAAGCCATCAACTTCAACTAAAGTAAATATTATGGGATGGCATCAGGACACACAGTGGGATGCTGGTTAAAGACACATGAAAGGTGAAAACGTTACTCCGTAAGCAGTGGGGTAAAAAAAAAAAAAGCTGATTATTACAGTTTACTGTACAGATTTGCTCATTCAAAATTTTAAGCATTCATTTGTGACCAACCATTCCAATGAAAGATGTATGGACATTCTGAGTTAAATCACTCTTTAAAAAAGGGAAACATCTCTAAAGGTTTTTCAAGGGAACAGAACTGGGAGGTCAGTGAAAATGGAATGTAATAAAATTTTTTATTACATTTGATAAACTATTAATGATGGATCGTCCTCTTACTAATTTAAGTTTTTTTTTTATCATCAGTCAGATGACTGGTTATATCCTGACTTTTTCTCTTTCATTGAAAACTTGTCCTCACTTTCATAGTTCCTTCTGAATGCCTACTCTCAGAGACTTCTTTATTCCCCTACAGCACCCTTCACCTGCTGTAGAGAGGGACAACAATGCAGCATTGGCATTGTGTTGTAAAAACTAATCACCACGTTAGCAATTAGTTATCCTTAAGAATAATAATAAACTCTGGTTTGTTCACAAGCCTGAAAAACTGATGATATGGCAGGAACTACATGATGAAGTCAATCGATGATCAATACGAGATCGCTTTCATCTCGACTGGCTCCGGCTGGTCACTGGCCATTTGGAAACTCAAAATTCCAATCTTTTTCCAAACAGTGAACACACCACACCTAATAATTACACGGTCATGGAGGCAACATACAAGTTGTCATTGCAAGGAAGAGGCTCAAAGTAAGTCATGTTCAGCATCAGTGAAGCTTTTAAATAAACTTGTTCAGGAAGGCTGAACACAGTACAGCAAGGCTGCCATGTTTTATTATTTTCAGCTTTTAACTTCTGGAAAAAGCTGGATTTGGAAACAGTAACCTTTTGGAAATCTCAGTTATGGTAAAGGCTTGCATTATCTAAAATTGTACAGACATAAATGCTGTTTTAATAAAACTAGCCAAATTAATTCCTATGATAAAATGTTAACAGTTTGTCAATCTTAGAATAATAGTAAAATCTGGTTTACAGCAACTGCTCTTACACAGTGGTGTGTCATATCAGCAATTAAATGCTTAAACCAGAAAAAAAAATATTTTAAATGCTGTTTTAATAGCTTCTGATTAAACAAAGGTCGCTCATTCACAAAAACTATACATGGGTGAATGGTGAGTAACGAGGCAACTGTGAGAAAACTTTAGGTTTTAAAAATACCATAAAGTAAACACCCTTTAAGTTACAGCGCAGCATGGAAAATGTAATTAATCAAGCAACATCTTATCACACAGAATGCAGATGGCTGAAATATATTTTTATTTTCCAATCGTTTCACCCCAAATTAATACCCATCTGTCAGCAACACTCAGCCGACTTATTGAGTGTGTGATGTTAGGATCATGAAGCTGTGATAATGAAAACAGAGCAGCAGAAGCTTTAGTAAAAGGTTTTATCCTCTAGATCAAACACATGCTACAGGACACGAACGGCAACGAATGAGATGACAAACTTCACCGAGCCATATTTACCTCGGGTTGCTAGGAGATGTACACAAAGTAGAACCATGAGGAATTGGGACAGAAAAAAAGAAACATAAAATAAAAATAAACAAAAACAACTACACAAATGGATCAAACAGATGAGGAAAAATAACCGAAAGAAGGATCAAAGCTGTGCAACAAGTGTGAAATTTAGCTATTTGCTTTTTTTTTTGGCAGAGGCTGTGATATGCACAACCACTGCCAAGGTAATCTGTTACTACTCCTGTCAATCCTAAATATGAAAACAAAAATTTGGACAGCTGAGTGACTAAATGTTCCTTCCTTATGTGGAAAGCCACTCAGGAAGGAAGAAGTCATTACGTCAAAGTCAAAATAAACAAATGATAACCGCTTGAGATAGGCACAGCCTCCCTCTGAACCCTTCAAGGATAAGAGTGCTTAGGAAATGGATAATGGCAAAATAAAAAGTCAGAGTTGGTTATGGTATGAAAATGTACAAGACAAATGCCTTAATTCTCTGCATGTGAGCAAGCAGAAGTGTGTGTACACAGATTTGTGAACATGTGGTGCATTTAAGTGTTCATCTATTTTGTGTGGATTGTCTTTTTTATTAATATATATAAAAAAAACATGAGCATATGAAGTGTTTGGAACGTACTAAAAAAGAAACAACAACAACATGCGTCTGGTGGTCCGATGGAACTAAAATGGATCGTTTGGCCATGATGATCACTGTTAACAATGGACTAACTGACCTAAATCTGGAAATGTTTGGGCTCATCTAATGCCAGAAAGAAAGAGAAAAAATATACAGTGTAGGCAAACATCTTGTTTTAACTGTGTATATATAGAGTATACAACAAGTACATATAAAACATAGCTGGATGGGTGGGTATATAGAAGAATGAGTAGGTGGTGGGATGGATGAAATGATGCTGATAGACAGATGGATACCATTTTTAAACAATGGGTTGTAGAATAAAGCCTGGAATTCCCTTTCCCCTCCAGAAAATAGTTGTATTTCTATTTTTATTGATATAATCCCACACAGTGCAAGAACCGTACACGTTATGCCAAGTAAGAAAGTTCACATGTAAAAAGCATTTCATAATAAATAATCAAATAGAAAATATAAAGACACTCATCGCAACAAAGTTGGAGCACCTTACCTGGCAACTGATTGGATGACCTTAGATGATGTGTCTTTGATGTTGGTCAGGAAGCGCTCTGTTCCTCCCCTCAAGATGTCCAGGAAGCCACTTCCTGCTTGATCAGGATCATACACTCCTGGGCATCACGGGAAAGAAGAGAAGTGAATGTGCTTTTTGTAGAGTGATAGACAACACCACACATGCCCCTTTAAAAGCATCAAGTGCTCCAATAAAGAAGAGAGGCAGAAAACAGCTTGGACAAATTTGTTGGCTTTATACTGTGATAATTCAGGTTCTTGATGTTTTTTTCAGTAAGATGCAGATGGAGCTAATCGTCAGAGGGAAGAACAAACACACTCTGCTTTTCAACAGATGGTTGATGGGCAGTACAGAAATCCTCTTATTAGGCATCAAGGAGGTTGCATGTGTGTGTAAGTGTGTGCGTTTGCTGAGAAAGATAAGCTCATTACAGTAGTTTTGGCAAATGTACACAAAGAAAAACAGAACAACAGGGTTTGCATTTTCACAAAGTTCCTCCTGTAGAGAAATGGGAAAATACTTTTTGCCACAGGGAGTTTTTCCTTACTTACGTTTTAATTGTATCATTTCAAATGCTAACATCAAAAAGATTTTCAAATTTGAGAGCTGCCTTAATGGCAAAAAATTTATATATTTTAGCATTCGATCTAAGTATACATTTAAAATACATGTCGTTGCTTTAAAAGGGGGAACAGCCATTATTGTTCCACATAGGCCTGGGTCAGTGGGAGTTTCTCAGAAAGAGAAACCTTCAGTAAAAATATACATTTTACATCATTGTCTTGTTCACACAAAACATAAAATATGGTCTAGCAACAAATATTCCTTGCTGCTGTCAGCTGCTTCACAGAAATGCTACTCTTAGCTTAACAAATGTAATTTTAAGTAAAAGCAAAGGTTGTCAGCTTTTGCACCATGACTTTATTTTAGCAACAGAAAATATTGACAAATAACCGAGTTCCTCCTAAACCCTTTGTACAGCTGCCTCCTTTCAGCCAGCTGACCAGCAGCGTGCATCAAACAGCTTCAATGTAGAAAAATAAAACTAAACTGGCCATGCCAAATTCTGAAATGTACTATCTTGACTTAGATTGCAACATTTCTTTGAATTGATCCATTTTGTTTTCTCATCTGTGTTTGTGTTCATTTCCTTTAAAAAAGTTGATCTAAAGCCGTCAGCTTTCACAGTTCATGGAAGACGCACTGAAATGTCAACACATTCGGTAGATTACCAGGAATAGTGGGAAACAAAGCTAGAAACCATCACTTAAAGCCTTGGTAACCATGCTTCCTAAACATCTCCCTCTTTGCAAAGTGATATGTAATCTGTCACTTTGTTTGCATGCAACAATGGAGATTTAGGGATATTCTTCTAGCCTGTGAAAGCATTAAAACCTGTAATCTTCAGAGATCCCAACATTACTAATCAGACTTACCTGCATTGTTAGGGACACTCTGGATCTGCATGGGTGGCTGCACTTCGTTGTTTCCGAATCCTCCGTTCTGCTCCAGCAGCTGCAGACATTCATAGCCATCATAAACTGGACGCCAACAGTAATACGTACTCAACATTGTTGTAGGAATGAAGATGTAAAAAATACTGCAAAACAGGCAACCAAAACTGCTTAATGAGAAGAACAAGTTGAAGATATGAAAAATAAGAACTCTTGAAAAGTATCAACAAAACGATATTGAGCAAATTAAAAATCCACTCCTTCACTGTGAGTCGACTGTGAGTCGACAGCACTGCGTTTCCATCGCTCCTCAACTCCTTAATTGTCTCCCCTCTGCTATGTCTCAGTCTGCTGCTCCATATGTCTCCACTGAACTGCAGCAGAGAGTGGAGGAGGATCGTAATCTCCTTATGTCCAGCAGGGAAACCGTTTCTTAGCCCTAATCAGATCAGCGATCGCCAAATCCACCGACACCCCCGTCACCTCCCATGAACAAGCTCTGTCTGGTCTAGATTCAGGTTTATGCATAAAGAAAGATTCAGGTGAACTTTTGGTTTTGCTGCTGGCCAAAACCAAATAAGTAATTTATTTCATAGCAAAGATTTAGTGGAGGATACTGAACACTAATGAAGGAATTATTGCAGATCAAAAAGTTGGGGGAATGAGTCCCAGTAAGACTTGCAGATTTCAAACTGAAATCAGCTTTCACAGTAAGTACAAGGATTTGAGTTGAAAATTATAAGATTAAACTGAAATTTTAAACTGACTGTGTTCCCAGTATCAGAAATGTTTTCTGTCTGGACAACAACAATGCCACTAAACAAACTACAATCATTTTATGTTTCTAATTAAATTAAATTCATGGATACCTCCAAGTGTCTGCCTGTCTGTCTGAAACTGTGGGCTCAAGTAAGAAAGAAGCCAGAAAAGGAGAAAACTGACTCCTTTGTGCCTCCACAGAGTGCGTGTGTTGCATGAGACTTAGTAAAAGGAACTGCATCAGCAATTTGAGAGGCACACAGCGGAAGGGGCCGTGTGACTCTTTCAGGCTTACAGCTGGATGAGCAGTATTAGCCAATCAGGTAACATTTTATTTGATGGGTTGTGAATAAGATGGTCATGACACCGTCATAAACGTGACATAACACCTGTCATGAATATGAGTCAGTCTTCATTAATATTTATGAATGTTGTCGCAAAGTGTCATTCGATAAATTATGACACTTTTAATGCAAAGTTGACATTATTCAAAATATCTTTGTTATGACAACTTTGTTATGATCTGACATAAATTTGTTATAAAAGTATTACCAATTAAACTTTAAAAATTATGTAGCTTTATGTTATTCAAGCTAAAGTTTAATCATTTAATCAAATAAAGTGTTACCACCAATCAAGACGATTTATCAAAAATACACAAATTGATATCTACTTTCTATTCGAACACTCACTTCTGTAACTGGAGACTTGGGGTTGACGTTACGAGCGGCTGCAATCTCCTGCAGTTGGTTGACCAACTCTGTAATGGATAGCCTCTCATCAGGGTTCACCTTCAACATGGAACCTAAAAAAAAGATTAAAAGGGTATAAAGATGGAGCAGGCAAAATTATATTAAAAAAAGAAGAAAAAAACCACTTCTCGTCTGTAAATATTACACATGCAGCAGTACATACGTATAAGGTCATGAAACACAGTGTATTTGGCATCGTTCTGTGGAATGGAGTATTTTCCATTGACTATTTGCAGTTTAGCTCCGTCCTCAAAAGGATGCTGCTTAAAACACAACAGGTAGAGGATGCACCCAAGAGCCTGCATGGGAGAACAGATGGTCAAACTGGAAATTCAGAATTCAATTTACTTTCAAATAAAAAGTGAAGCAAAAAAAACAAAACAAAAAAAAAAAACAAGAAAAGTAAGAAGTTTCCAAGTCCTGACCCAGATGTCCTGTTTCTCGTTGATGGGAAAGTTAGAGTACAGATCAATCATCTCTGGTGTTCTGTATGCTGGAGTGGTGTTTCTTGTAATCTGCAGAGGGGGAGAAAAAGTAAAATTATTTCAGATACTGCCAGATATACAAGCCAGTCATGTTGTTTTTAGATATTTTCCAATAAATTAGTAAAATTTTTTATCCAATTCACCAAGATTTTCATATTGTTTGTTTACTTCTGAAAATAATAAAATTAGGTACTTTTCATCTACAACACCATCATACAAGCTGTTTGCGCTAACATATATTTACCATCATCGGTTTGGAAAGATTAGAAGACAATATTAGATTTACAATTTCTTGTCTCTGTGTGGTTATGGTATTAATAGCATTAATGTCATCAATCTGTGCTTCCTCTGGCGAATTTAATCAAACATTTCTGGTTCCTGTTTAACACCAAGATGTCATTACAGTGTGATACTAAATAAATTGGAATCAGTGAAATAAATTGAGGCTTTATCTAATTCAAGTTTGTTCTTTTTTTTTTTTACATACATAAGGAACATGTATTAAAACTCACTTTGGTACATTAAGTTATTAAAATAAAGTTCTGCATAAATTGACTTGTTTTTTGTGAGTTTCTTGAGGGAAGAAAAATAGGATTGCACATAGCTGCTAATATGATTAACAAATGCATGTTAACCCATAATATTGTTATTATTTATCAATTAATGTGCTTTCAGAAAGGCAAAAAAAATAGTAATCTACATTAGAGTACTCCAGTATAAATGAGATTTTGCTCATCATGTTTAGTTGTGTTATTTAAAAAAAACTTGCGAGAGCAAAATTGTAAATCACATGAATATAATGGTGTTAAGAATTTAAATTAGCTCAGTGAGTAATGAGATTTCAACCTGATAGCACAGTATTTGATAAACATAAAATGATTCCTATGAAACAAAAATTTGAGGAATTTGGGCAGTTTTGTCGCATTATGTGAGCAGAAGCTTTGACAACTAAAGAGAAAAAGAAAACAGGAACAGGCTGTGGAAATGAGGACAAACAGAACATCAGTAACTCCTGTTTGTATCCAAAGGATCAGTGTTTCTTTTTTATTTTGAGAAGTGTGTGTGTACCTCATCCTCCACCATGGACCTCTTCTGTGCAGACCAGCTGTAGTCAGGATAATGTGACACTGTGGTGGCGCTGCCAAAGTCACACAGCTTGATGGTGCCCTGGTTACTAATCAAGAGGTTCTCAATCTGCAACACATCAGAGGCCGTCTCATTCAGCTCCACCGCACAGTAACAGGCTCATCATTCTACGCCCATTTAAAGAATCATTCTTCCTTCAGCCATCAGAGCCGACCAACCTTAAGGTCTCTGTGGATGACCGGAGGTTTCTGTTTGTGCATGTGCTGCACGGCTCGACATGCCTGGTAGAAGATTTTCAGCACAGTGTCACATGACATGGGAGCTCGCTGCTCGACGCGCTTTATGAAGTCCACCAGCTGACCTGAGGCAGAGCAAGCATATTTATATAATTAATGATTTCCAATTTTAAACCAGGCCGTTTATTAACACTAACGGTTCAGACAAATGTTCAAATCAGGGCTTGGGTTAGGGCTTTCTCAAAATGTATGCAGTTTAAAAGAAGGAAATATGTTCAGTATTTATTTTAAATGATGAACAGAAAATGGGGCGGAATCTACCACAGTGTTTTGCATCTGACTAAAATCTGAGCTAGGTGTTTTATTGATATGTTTTTTTTAACATACAGCTACAATAAGTCTGCAGATTGCTCTGATTGAAAATAGCTTACAAAATAGTCACTGTACTTGACACAGTACAGAAAATAATTTTCCATATTTCAAATGTGCTATAGTTTTTTTTTCTAAATAACTATTTAAACAAAGATAAGATATAAAGATAAGTTGTAGTAAACAAGGATTTGACTTTATGCAGGTATCACAGCTGGACATTCTTTCTGATTTTCAGCTGATCAAGAAGTTGACCTGTTTTGAAAGATTTAAATGAGTCAATGAATAAAGAAATCTGAACAGCTACACAATACCCAAACCGAATTTAATTCATTTTGACTTCTTTTGTACATTTCTAACCAAATCAAATTTGATGCAAATCTCTGCTTTGTTCCTTATGAAAAATGTCTGAAAAAAAGACAACTGAATATTAATGCATACTCTTTGTTTAAAGAGGAAGGTGCAGGCTAATAAAGTTGTAAAAACTGCTGAATGAAAACTACGGCATTTGTAACAGAAGAAAGGGAAGCAGAACAGGAAATGAAAAAGCCACAAAAGAGGGAGACTTTCATCACCAGTTCCTTCCGAGTTGCTGAGAAAGTGCAACATCATCCAAACTACGTTGGATGAATATGTAACCCCTCGTCATGTCGAGGCAGACAGCGGAAGATGTAGCAACACTTAGGAAAAGGCCTGTGTGCAGAAGTGGGAGTCGGTATTTACCTTTACACAACTCGGTGAGGATCAGAAACTCTGCCTGCCCGGTGTCCGACTCCTCCTTACTGATTGATGCAGCTGAGCAGAACTGAACCATGTTTGGATGACCTGATAACTTTTTCTAGAAGAAGCGAGAGGGCGAAGGATCAGAGAATAAACAGAGCTGTGATGTCAGGCCTGCTCTCAGATTTGACTTTTTAAACTGTGAAAACTACATCTTTAAGCACACTGTATAAAGAGACATGTTTATTTCTTCAAATGTAACAGCAGTCAGTGTGGCCATACAGTTCTGATTTCATCACAGGACATGACTCTGAGGACTAGGGTCTCTGTCCCTGAGAACATTTAAAAACTAATCTTCATTTGTTTCACTGTGGAGAATGATACTCGTTTACAGGCAGCAGCTTCACAAAGGGTTTCCTTGATACACACATTTTACCACAAAACACACTCATCTCTGGGACACAGAGCTTGTCTTGTGAATAGCATGGTGGCTGGACTTTCTAATGCTGTTTATAATTGTAGTTGTTTTAACAGATGAACATGGCACATTCAGGTAGATGGAAGTCAGACCCAAAGATGAATCAGATTTGGAGAAGTCCTCAGAGAGGTTCTCTTTCTGATATCTTGGCTTTTTTTTATTACTATTTTTACAGAAAGTCGCATGAGGAAGTTTGTATGTGAGCTGATGCCTTAAAATATATCCACATCTGTGCCTCCATTTTGCTCAAATGTTAACCAATAACCTCTTGGCGTCTGAGTTACATGATGCTGGCGTTCAGCGAAAATAAACAGAAAAGACTTACACTAATTTAATGCCAGAGGTATAAAAAAAATGAAAAGAAAGTATCTTTCTATGCTAATTATTAGGTTCCTACTGCATATCAAACAGCATCTAATATATTGTTTTCTAACCCTGGTCAACAAGGCACTCTACTCTGCGTGTTTCAGATGTTTTCCTGTTTTAACACACCAGACTCAGCAGTTCAGTGGCAGTCTGTCAATCAGCCATTGGCTGAAATCAGGTGTGCCAAAGCAGGGAAACATCTAAAACATGCAGACCAGTGCAAGCACTGCAATGACAGGTTTTACTTTCACTAGTAAGCTATTGCTTAACAATAATAATGGAAATTTTGGTCAATGGATTTGTATCAAACTGCAACAAAATATGATGAAATAGCCTTTTACTTTAAATATGCAAATAATAATAAAATTGAAGACGCTTCACACTTTGTATCGTCTTTAGGAGTTTTTCTCACATATGTAAAAAAAATAAATAAGTTCGATTTACCACCAACTACTATTTATATTGTGTATTGACTCTTGAATTGTAAATGTAACGCCCGGCTTTGCCTATAAAATAAGCAGCTTCCAAACCCAAGGTTTGTTCCACAAACCTCAAACGTGATTTGACTTTAACTTGGCTGTTTCGCATGACAACATCTGTGCTCTACTGAAACAGAAATTTTAAATGTAATCTTAAAAGAAACAGTATGGTCAATCATACCATGAAGCAGACTTCCTGTATAATTTCCTTGTTCTTTTCCTCCTCATTGGACAGCAGCCTCTGAAACAAAAACATGCAAACAAATTATTTGTAGAGATACTTTTCAGAAAGTACAGACACAAAGTTTTGTTTTATCATCATACATGACTATTTTTTGAAATCCCAACATCTAAGGCATGATTTTGCAACATCTAGAGAGAAACACAAATAAATTGCTGTTTATTAGTAACGTTAACCAGAGTAGGAGTGCTGGATGCCACTGTAAAAGCTTAAATAAATTATGAAATAATTCACTGTTATTCCAAATATGTTTTGGAATAATAGTGAAAACCTGTTTAACTACAGTGCTGTGTATTGTAATCCTTTCTCACACACTGTAACGTCATCACATCTCCAGACATAAACAGCTGAAGATTATTTGAGCTCCCAGGATCAACCGCTGAGAGATTTACAGACTCACTGATTTCAAATCAACCACAAAATCTCTCACTGTTCCAGTAGACTTTACAACATATATTGGCATCAGTATTAAAAGTGCGTTGGAAAATGCTCAAGTAATGGGCTAAAACTTTGAACTTGATATGTTTCCCTATGTGAACACTTCAAAAGAAAGTTTCAACGTTCTCTTAAGAGAGGAGGAATAAGAGCGATTACAGCGCAGATTTAACAGAATATAACATAAAAAAGAAGTATAAATCACTGCACTCTCTGAACATCTTGAAAAGCAGGTGAAGCTTTTTTAAATATCCAAGGGATTTAAGAGTGGAAAAGGTTCAAAACAGAAAATAAAATAAAGGCTAAAAAGTGAGTTATTTTTCTAAGGAGCTCATTGTCATCTCATCTGCAGATACAAACTGAAGATCATAAAAGCTGCCACTATCAGTCAGTGAGAGCCTTCCAGAGTCACTCATTTCAAACAGTTATTTCCATGTTCATGTTGGCGATATTTAAAAACAAATCAGTTTGAAATATTCAGTCCTGAAGATAACTCGTCTTACCTTCAGTGCATAGTCCTTTCCACCGTTCATGTCCTGGGCTTCATACACAAAAGCAAATCCACCTAAAAGAAAAAAAAAAAAAACGATTATTAAGCAAAACTATAAAGAGATAATAGCATATTTATGTTCTACTGTAGTATTCACAAGCAAATAACTTACATTCGCAATGTTTCGTGTATTGTAACTATAATACTTGATATAATGTCCAAAAATAAGCTATATGTGTTTAAGTTTAATTTGCTCTGACTAGATTATTCCCAGAGTTAAAATGGGAACTCTGAGTTTTCTTTGACAGACCAAAGAAAACTCATCAAGCACAGTTGATTCCACAGTGGACTGAGTTCAGTTCATGATCAGAAAAAGTCCTCAGAACTTCAGCTGACGATCAGCTTGCTTGATTCTCCCACAAACACTAGTCTAGTCTAGAACGGTACAATCTACAGCAGGGGTGTTAAACCCCAGTCCTCGAGGGCCACTGTCCTGCAGTTTTTCGATGTGCCACAGGTACAAAACACAGGAATCAAATGGCTTAATTACCTCCTTCTTGTGTAGATAAGTTCTCCAGAGCCTTGCTAATGACATAATTATTCTATTCAGGTGTGGTGCAGCAGAGGCACATCTAAAAGTTGCAGGGCACCGGCCCTCGAGGTCTGGATTTTGACACCCCTGATCTACCGTCTTATTTGTAATTGCTGAGTTGCTGCACCAGACTAACTTGAAATGAAGCAAATCACTGAAAAACAAACACAGCAAACTTTCTGGCACCAGCTTCATTCTTAAACCTCGAGTGCCTAAGATAAGGCCTGCTAAAAATAAATAAACTCAGTTTCATAGAGGGAGTAGTTAGCTCTAAGCCAGAGGCTCTATTCAAACAGCAAGAAGAATTATGTTTTACTAATTATAATATTGCATAATTTAACAACAACTGTTAAATTTCTATTCCAAATTTAAAAGTCTGTACTGTTGGAAGACAAAAAATAATTTAAACAAGTGTATTGTCCCCATAGCGATGAGTAAATCAACAACCCGCCTTGAGTTCCTCAGCAAAAAAATACTAAAGGAATAGCTGCCCATCTCTAATCTTTAACGATTTATTTACCCAAGAATGCCCTGCTCAGGTGTGTGTGTAAGACGGATTCATTATCCCAGTCTTGATTCAGTGACCTTGTTTGGGATTCAACCCAGTAACCTGATAGTCACAGACTTCTTTCACATGAGCAGGACAGAACAAGCTCATTTGATTTCTGAGCTCAGGACTAACAATGCGTTCAAATGTAGTTGATAGATGGCATACAGAGCAACAGCCATTATTTTTTTCAATTTGTTAGTAGCAGGAATGAAAGTTGCTACCTCACAGTGGCCTGAACAACAGAAGGCAGAAATTTGGAAAATCTATTTTTCCTTTTTTCCAATTTAAGCTGCAAGATTTCTCTGTTCACTGATTTTTTAAAATTAATTTAATTAAATCTTTTGTGGATTTGAAAATAAATAAATGCATAGGTGAAAATGTAAGAAAATCATCTGGTTGGAGCCATTTATTGTATAAGCCTAAAAAGATCTTAGTGCAGAGCAACAAAGAAACCTTTTAGACAGCCAGACTCAAGTCTGAAAGGGGAGGGGGAGTTTTAATGTAAAACGATCTGCGCTTCAACCAGTTTAACCTGTGATGGGCCATCCAGGACTGGCTCAGTTAATGCACTGGACTGTCTGATAACATTAGTACAACATTGTTGTCATGTTACTGCCAGATGCATTGACTCATCATAACATTTTACTTGTGTCTATGTTGTCATATCTACATGTTAAATAACTTCATTCTGTTTTTTCTTTATTTCTATGAATAACTTTAAAGAGGAATAAAAGCATACAACAACATTTATCAGTAAAATTAGTTGTATTCTACTATAATTCAAGTGGGACTAATTCATCTTGAGAAAGCATGAGAAAGATTAACAAACTATTAACTTCTTACATTACAGGTGAGTATACAAATAGTTGTGTAAAAAATATATATAAAATACATATTTGTTAAAACAAAGTAAATCAGTCACTTATTGCTAAATGTGTCACACTTTAAGGTGCACATTCCAATGCATTTAAGCAATTTATTTAGCTCTATTTAGACATTATGTCAACAACTGAATTCAGGAAAGTGATAGGCAAGTATTCAAAGTATTCCAAAGCTTTTAAAAATGCATGGGTTCAAAATCGCAGCATGTTTTGCATTGCAGCTTCATTTCTATGAAGGAGATGCCAGAGAGAGTACTGCAGTTTAGTTTGTCATTCTTCTGTTTAGCTGACTGAAAAAAGGCTGCAATACTTTCACCTCATTTACACAAAAAAAAAAAAATATATATATATATATATATATATATGACTGTTTGGAAATACTACAAACAGGGAAGGCAACTCCAGAAACTAAATGTGAGCCAGCATTTAATTTCATTGATACAACACTGCATATAAACAACAGTTCGCAAGATTCACCTTACAAACTGCTGTTTAAAAGCATGTCTCATTGGCAGTTAACATAAGGTTGTTACATTTCTATCAATCTTAAAAGATCAGAGTTGTAAAGAAAAAAGTATTCTCATAAAACGCCTCTTTAAAACTGCAAGGGCCCCTTATAGACAGCAGAAAACATTTGTTTACATCAAAACACACTTATCTCCACGCTTCAACATGTCTCTTATCTTAATTCTACATATTAAAACGGGGATAAAACGGACCTGTGCTAAGGGAAACGGAAAAAAAAAAACTCAGAGATAAATAAAACTCTTAAATTTTGCGTGACTTTTTTGGCGTTTAACCCCTGTTTCTAATGCGACCCGACAGCTGGCTTTAAGGTATGACGAGACAATCCAGCAAATATCGGGAATTGCTCAAATTATTTGGGAAAATTTAATAATCAGGAAGTGTGCCAAATCTAGTGTTATCTCTGTTACTTTATTGCTGCCACATCTACACATAAAGTGTGTTGCCCAAACATGTAAATAGCTGTCAAGGTTCATGAATCGAAGTTATCCAGCGACATTCAAGATACGAAAACGAACAAATAAAACTAAAACGTGTTTTCCTTCGATATCCACATTTCAACAATTAATGCCAAGTTGATCGAAACCAAATTATCTCCTGGTGTTTGCTCGGTGAGTCGCGGTGCTTCATTTGCTAACCAACTCAACTGACGTTGTTAGCTCGTCAGCTAGCTTCAGCTACCTAGCATGCCTGTTTGCAAGCCGTGACAGTCACGTCCGTGGCTTTGGAGCAAGTTCTCACCTTCAGCGATCACCCGTTTTATCCTCAGCTTCATGTCACCGAGCTCAACGACTTGTCCGACGAAGTCATTCTGGTCCCGGCTGGCCCCTCCGGACGAGCCGGGCCCGGCTAAGAAATCCAGTGCCGACTGAAACAGGGACATTTTTTTTATTTTTTTATCCGGCGTCCGTCTTCAGGCCGCCCCTTGAACACGAAATGAGCGTCCGAAATCCCTGCTGTCTCGACAGAAACACTCTCCAGCGGCCTATTCAGTTAGTAGAAGGTGTTATACCCCGGGGATACAAGTCCTTCATCTAACGCAGACATCCTCTTCCTGCTGCTAAACTGACGAAGCAGCCATCATACGGCGCCGACTGCTTCCGTGAAGAGTGAAAATGACGTCAAACACGATTCGATCATGTGACTTAAAAACCTGACGAGGACGTGAGCCAGCGTGGGATCAGGTGCTTCGTTTCAATTGAAATCTTAATAGACAATAAAATAAATCAAAAATAATTACAACTCGTAAATGTGATCAAACTAATTCCAGAACACAATGGGGAGGGGGGAGGGGGGGGGGGGGAATAATAATCAGACACATGTGATTTGGAGACCCGCAAAATTCAATACATAAATAAATGAGGTGTGTATTTATTAATTGAGGTATGTTCTCCACAAGAAACAAATATTTAAGTGTTTAGTTGGTTATATATCTGTATCACAGATATGTATTGCTAGTATTTTTTGTCTCTCAATAAATATTTATCAGTATGCTTCTACTGATAAATAAACATTAACCGTTTTTAGATGTTTTCTTGGTGCAGTCTATTATCAACCAGAGACAATGTACTCTTCACTTAAAGATGATCATAAAACCACAATGAACAACCGATTGAACCAAAATTAAAATTTATTTGACACATGTTGCTATTTCGAATTAGTTCTGTGTTTTGTTATGTTCTGCTTGGTGACTGGTTTTCTGCTGCCTGTTCAATATATTGAGGATGCATTTTTATTTCAATGTGCGTACTAGACAATGTAATGTACAATGCTGCCATCTAAAGGACGGGTACGGTACAACGTCACCCTCCCATTTCAGTGTTTCATTGAGGGACAGCATTGAAAAAGTAATGACAATTCTTCTGTTGTGTATGTGTCACCATGGTTGTAAAGCAGGAATGTGGGCTTGATGTCAGAATACCTGCGTTACTGGTATGGTAGAGCATTATCTATAATCCCCACATAAATGCTAACTACATTTGTAGTTAGCATTTTAATAATTTCTTTTCTTTTTACATGTTGTGTTCTGTTTTTCAGCAAGTTGGAAAGGGTTTGTCATTGTGAGGCAGCAGTGGTATGAGGCTCAGTGAACAAGTTATTTTGGTTATATGTGGTCCTTCCAGTCAAGCCAGTTAGAGGCTATAATCTTTAAGTCATATTCAAATTGCACTTTGAGAGAAAGAGAAAGGTAACTGCAATGCCCAAATCCCTGTACAGACAGCAGAAATAAGTTACCTTTTTGGGAAAACTTATTTTTAAGATAACAATCCTGTGCAGTTATATTTTCATCCATTTTACCATCAGCCAAAATGTTTTTCTGTCCCTGCTAAACCTCCCCACAGCATGAAATGCTATGAACAAAATATTGAGATAATTAAGGCAGTGTTTTTATCTGTTGGACTTTAATGCTTTGCTTTCATTATAGCATATTTCATTTATTCCTGTGTTCCTAATATTACATCAGTGTTTCAACCTTTGACTATTGTTTCTCATCTGCTCATTTTCTCACCTGCAGAATGTGGTAATCCAAGTCCCTCTTTTTTTCTCCAGAAAATTCTGTTCATTAAATCTGTTTTTTTTTCTACAATACTGCTGCTGTCATAATCTCTGCATTTGGGCTGACAACAATAACAAATGACAAAAACATCCCAAAAGACTTAAAAGAGTAAGACAAGCTTCTCACAAAGGACAACATAAATGTATTAATGCATTTGGTTATGTTGTGGACTCAACGGGCCCAATAAACGTTATTTTCCTCAAAAAGTGTATGACACCCTAAAACACAGAATGATGGAGAGAGCTACAGTTTGATTAGAAGAATCTGTTGATAATTAGTCACACACGTATGGCCTTGATAAAAGAGTGGCAAGAAGAAAACCATCGGTGATAGAAAGCATCATCCATTTAGGAACTTTCTAAAAGCTTTGACTGGAACAAGGTGGAAGAAGTTGCTCTGCTCAAATAAGAAGAAAATTTACATTTTTGGCCTGCACAATGTTATGTGTGTCAGGAAACAATACCGTGCATCATCACGAACATATTGGAAGATGGGGGGGGGGGGGGGGGGACATTATGATGTGGAAATGCTCTTCAGCAACACTTAAGCTGGTAAGAGTTCAGGGAACAGGTGGTTGCAAAATGATGCTTACAGGATGGTTTTCTTAGGCAAGCTGGATGAAGCAAAGCAATCCCTAAAACAAAACTAATATCAAGCAAAACTACAAGGTGAAAGGGACTTTATTTACGAGTGAAGCAACGTTTGGATGAAACATCCCTTATGTAACTCTTAAAAACTCTGATTAGAGGCATGGAATGAACAACAGGCATTGAGGAGGGTATTTTTTCCGCTTTCTTATTGGTCACACCCCTAAGCTCATCCCTCGTCCCAGGTCCCTGACTGACAAGCTGCAGTTCAAACACCTCTTTCAGCTTTTCTTTGAGCAAAGACAGCAGTTTACCGCTAGAGTTACGCCTCCGCACATAGAGCGATCTGTCGGCTGATGTGGGACCAGTTTGCTAAGGACCAATGAATGATCCGGGGAAGTTTCCCGCGCGCACACCAACTCATCACTTCTGCGCGTTCACGTGCGGGTGACATTCAAGATCTCTACAGCAGCAGCCTTTTTATTACCTACCTTAAACTTCCAGTACTGTGTCCTTCATATTTATTTGATTTAAAAATAGCATAACAGGCTCAGTAAGTAAAATGAATAAAAAAATAAAACAACAGTAGAACAATGAAACTTATTCATAAACCAGAAGTGTGGTGCATTTTCGATTAAAACATGCTTGTTTATCATTCAGTGAAGTACGTGGAAGTGGATAAAGTATTGAGAAGTTTTTAGGTAAGAATGACACATCAAATACCATTACTCAAATAAAATTAAAAAGCACAGTGCATGGAGAACTACTAAATCAAATTAAAGTGTCATGAAATTCTAGTTTACATTTTTTATTTTGATGACGTTTCCTCCTTTAATCGGTCTAGCAGTGCGTGAGAGATTATTTTTACTTGGCCAAATTCAAACCTAGCAACTGTTACATTTCATCATCCACCTTTTCTGACTATGTAAAATAGTCGCTTTCGGGATTTCTGATTTCTGAAGGTCCTTCTGAAATCCCACGCAACAGTTTCAAACACTTTCGATCTTGAACACCCAGCACACCAGGCTACGTCATGACGATGGGGGCGTGGTCTTGAGGCTAACATTGACACCCCCTCACGCTTTGCCTTTGACTTATTATCTAGCCGAGTCCCGCAGTCTGGAGCCATTCAAACGAAGCAGCTAGCTGGTGAGCCCACTACATACCTCACAACACTTCCTGGAACTGTCTGCTGTTTGTGAGGAGCTCGGGACTACGTCGTGTTTTGACTCCAGTAAAGAGGGACGCAACAAAGATGTCCAAAGACACAGAAGGAAAGGGCGAGAAAATTATGGATACGGAGAGCAAGGTGCTCTGGTACCCGGACTCCAAGAGGAACACACAGATGGATAAATTCAGGATACAGGTCAACTCGGACTACGGACTTAATCTGGGTGAGTGGGGAGGAGGGAGGGAAACGACTGGTCCAGGCTCATAGTAGGTGTGTTGGAGACCGTCTAAGTCGGATTTCATTGAGCCTACGAAGCTGCAGCCTGAGTTGCAGAAAATAGAAATAGTTAATGGCGCTGTCTTCTTGTTAGCATTGTTTCATCCAAGATCTAGACCTGCGTGACTGTGCAAAGTTGCCAAATCTAGATGGGTTGGAAGAATCAGCATCAGAGGACTTTTGCAAAGCATGGCTTCCAATCGCTTCGCCGCGCCCCTTTTTAGTTGTAATTAGGAGCTTATAACAGTAGCTTGGCCTGATTGTCAAGGCTGAAGAAGCCAGGGGAGGAGAGACAGTGGCCTGCTTCAATAGTTTATGTGAAAACTGACACTGCTCTGTGGAATGCAGAAAAACGTGATGAAGACAATGCATGGAAAGCTGCAATCGAAAAGAGATGCTTACCTACATACATACCTATGGCACAAATGTTGGTGAAAATAATAAACATTAAACAAAAATAATATATTAAACACTTTGTTTTGTACAAAGAGGATGGGATGCATTGCATGTCTCGACACAATTGGTTCCCAAACCAAACAAACCAAAGTAATCTAAATTGGGGATACATAATTTCTTAAGAGTTGCAACTTCACCTAAAGGTCATATTTTTGAGGATGTGAGGCAGCCAGAGTACCCGGAGAGAACCCATGCATTCTCATATAGAAAATGTAAACTCGAAGCAGAAAGACCCCAGGCCAGTCTTTGGACCTTACTGGTGCAAAGCACAGTGCTAGCAACTAAACCAAATGTGCATCTAGTTAAAAGCCATTGAAATGCTTCAAAGTGATATCTTATTAAGTCTTAGACAAACTCATGCAATTTGTTTTAGTTAATCTATTACTACAGTCTTTGAAAGGACAAAATGCAGAGAAAAAGGTGGCCCTAGTTAGCCCGGCCACTGAGGACATAAATGATCAAATCCCTCTCTCACTGTTTTCAAACTTGGAACTGGAATATGTCTACATTGGATTTGATATCACACCCAGATTAAAGTTCCTGCTTCAGAAATAAAGGGAACACAAGTAAGTAGGCACTGGTTCCTGTTCTTGTTCATCTGCATCATTTTATAGAGGGAGTTCTAAAGTTTTTCCACTCTACTTCCCTCTAAGGTGTTTGTTTCAAGTAAATATTGATGTACTTGTCTTGAATAATTCATTTGGGGGTATCGGCTCTAAGTGACAGTTAATTCTTTTGTATTTACCTTATTAATGGTTGTCACAAATGTTTGTATTTCTTTTAGACTCAGTTGTACTCAAGGCAGTCCACAACCACTAACATTTTTAATGAGTTGCTGGTTTTTTAATTTTTATACAATAGTCTGCCCAATGAAAGACGGATGCTTTATCTATAAACCTATAGTTTTCTAGTCAGTACTGTGGCTTGCATCAGTGTTGCAGTCCTGTTTGTTTTTGTGAGAAAGCTTTTTTTCGTTAAAAATTTAAGCCATAACGACTGATAGAAAATGTTGCTCAGGTGACGTAATATGTTATCCATTTCCGTTCTGTTTGCAGCTGAGATGCTAAGGTTCATGAAAAGAGGGATGGGACATTGTGTAGTGGTAAAGAAAAGTGTCACAAAAAGGAGAGTTGGCCATCTTTGTTATAGTTTCGTCAGTAGTATAAATATGTTCTTAAAATTTTGCCACCTATTTTTGTTGTACTTCTCCCATGACTTTTAGGTTCTGTTGCAAACATTGACTTCATTGAGGACTGTTTCAGGAAATCATATTTGATGTGTGTTTGTGTTCAGATGGGTGGTATGTTTCCAAGAAGAATCATATGTTCAAACTGTGTGTCTTCTAGCAAACTACAATGATCTTTACCAGTGGTCTGTGGACTCGTATCCAGAGTTCTGGGCAGAGGTGTGGCGCTTCTGCGGAGTTGTCAGCTCCAAACCATATGAAGAGGTAAGCACACATCTGAAAAGTAGTCGAATATAAAGCAAAAGTCACATTATTTCAGGTTCTGCTTGGTTCTTGAAAACTGCAGCTGCAATCAGTTGTCAGACTTTGCAGACTTTCCTCTGATTTGATATAATAAGGTATTAAGCTACATTAAAATTAAGTCATCATATGTCTCTGATGCAGATCTTAATTGTGAGAGTAGTCATGCCCATTATTACCCACTATTGCAGTTAGTTATCTTGATAATCTGTAGTTTCAGGATGCTGACATGACTTTAAGGCAATAAACTAACGCAGAATTGACACACCTGTTTTGTACACATGGATTTTATGTAACCCTGCACTAAATGACCACATTTTCTACCTGATATAGTCCTTCTGATATTCATCCTGGAAGACCGGACTGTACAACAGGAAATGAGTCATTTTGGAGCAGTGATGCACTGTGGGTGTGGCTGTTCCTTCACTGGCAGCTTGTTTGGACATTTATTCTAAATTAGCTTCCTTCTTTGGAAAAGTATTGAATATGCAAAATTGGAATATTGACTTGAGAGTTTACTAAGTCAGAGAAACTTGACAGAACAGACTGAAATGATTCGGTTTTTGACTCTTTCTTCCCCTGTGTTTTTTGTGCCGGTCATACCAGGTGGTGGACGTATCCAAGCGGATCTCAGATGTTCCAGAGTGGTTTAAAGGAGCCCGACTTAACTACGCCGAGAACCTGCTTAAGCATGCCAATCAGGACAAAGTGGCTCTCTATGCTGCAAGTAGGTAGACGTGAAAAGCAGATGTGTTCTCATGTAACATGTATCATGTTACATGAAAAAAAAGAAGTGAGTTGAGGGTGCATTGGAACACTGGAGTCGGTATGGTGGTGTGCTTCTGACGTCATTTTGTTATTAGATTAACTTCTGCTCCTTTCCCTGCTTTTCAATGTCACTTACTAATGGATAGGACTCTCTTTATTTATGTGTGTGTGTGTGTGTGTGTTCTCTGGAGAGTGTTTTGTACATGCCCAGCCTTCCTGAGGAGCTGTAATGTAATTGTAGAAATACCCATTGATCAGGATGCTGTAGAGCCTCTGTAAATGTCAGTAAGGTATTACATAGAGAGATAGGGCCTGGTTTCTTGTCTGCTGGGATGTTCTTACCAGATAATCACTCACCTGCAGTTTTATTTGCTATGATATTTTCCTGTGTTGGTCTTATCTATTGTGTCTGTCCTGACATTTATATGTCTTTCAGGGTAACAATATTTAGCAATCCCTTATTCACAACAACTTTCAAAACCTAAATAAATCTAATCAGATTGGTAGTTTGTATTGAAGGTATTTGTAATGTATGCACTTTTCTGTCTCTTGGTTCATGTATTACTTTTGTTTCTGTGTCTGTGTAACAGGGGAAGGGAAAGAGGAGATCGTAAAGGTGACATTTGGCGAGCTGAGGCGTGATGTGGCAGTGATTGCTGCAGCTATGAGGAAGATGGGCATTCAGACTGGAGACAGGGTTGTAGGTGAGTCTCAGTGTAACCATCTGTCTTTTGGCTGGAAAGAAAACAAAAATTTCTAGAATTGTTTTTTTTATGGTCCTTTGTAACAGTGTTCATAACTGTTTTTTATCGCTTTCTAACCACTTCAATGTTTTATTCTGAGAAATATATATTTTTTGAAGTATTTATTGTGAAAGGGTTAAATACAAGCACATATTGACATTTTTATTTTTGTCAAGCCTAACCAATCATTTATTTGTATAGGACATTTTAGCAACAAGGCAGTTCAAAAATGCTTTACTTCATCAAAGCACAAAAATTAACATTTGAAACATTACTTTTTACCAATTGCCACCATTACACAGATTGATTTATCATATAAAATATGATATGGATTGATATGGCTTGCTGGGCATTGTATGTGACTTGCACTTTTTGGGTCATAATTTTTTTTTTTACCTCTGCTGACATTCTGTACTTATTTCTTTGTTGTACATTGCAGAAAGAGTCAGGTAATTTTTTTTCTGAAAAGTTCAATATATGTTCGTGTATTTCCTGTAATGAGGGTGGATTTCTTTTGGTACTGGCTGCAGCTCTCTATGAATGTCACTATTTATTCAAAGTTCATATTTGTGCAAGGAGGGATGGCTGCATATTTTACTTCAGTACATCCTGTTAAAACACTGTCACACAGAAGCACACATTTATGACATTAAACTTAACACTTCAATATGCTCCAGTATTAAGTCCATATTATGTGAGGTATAATTTAAATGTTCGGCTTTCAATATGGTGCAAAATTTTACATTAACTTGATTTTTAGCCTGATTACTCACATGTGGTTCTCAAGCCAACTGACAGTTTTTTTCTGATATCTATTTCGATTTGGATGAATAAAAAGTTGTTAAGAGATTTAAAATGAGTTCAGTTCAATTTTAACTTGACAAAGAATTAAACTTTTAACTAATCTGCACCAAAAGTAGATATGTCATACAACAAACATCAACTGATATATTTCATGTCAGCATTGGAGGAATGTGTATTACTCTGTTTAAGTTTTGCCGTAAAGAAAAATTTCAGGTAAATTATTTTTCTCAAATCTTAACTTTTAAGATGTGTAAAGGAGTCAAGTTCTAAGTGATTTCATGACTTTCTAGCAATCAAGAAAAACCCATTTGAGATTTTTTGTCTTTCTTACCAGTCTGAATAATGTGCAGTAGGTTTTTGTTGCTAAATTGTATGTTTTAAAGCATGCAATTCTACTTTAAAGTATTGTTAAATTTCATCAGCAATATTTGGTGCACATTAGTGTTGTTATTGCATCCCATTTAACTCCTGAACACTGCAGGATCCTTTTTTTTTGACAGGAATATATATTTTGTTCCAACAGGACTCTACAGTTTTCTTTCTAAAGGTATAACATGATAAATACAGCTGCAGTCTAAAAATAACTCACATCCTGTTTTTCCTGACAATATTTTTATGCAAAGCAGTTGGTATTAAGTGCAAAACTAACACTAGAATGTTTACTTTTCATTTTTGTGTGACTTGTTGATAACTTGGTTGAAATGTATTTCAAACTGGCTGCAGTTATTCATGTGAAAAAAGAGTAGATTAAAAGTTGTTATGGTTGATAAACTTAGTGTTTTGCAGTTTAGTAAAATTTCTTACTTGTATACTAAAGTGTGTCAAAGTGTTTCAGCTGCTCTCTGCTGAGTCATCTACCACTTGGATGAAAGTTGTCAGGGTACATTGTGCAGTGGCGGTGACGTCACACAGGCAGACAGGAAACTGCAGCCAAAACAGTCTCTCTTTTCTTGAAATATCTTTGCAAAGTGTGAAAATAATTTTGTTAGTAAAAGCCAGATTAATTTTGTCAAGAAAATAATGAACAGGCTCTAGAAAACAGCTTTGCAAGCTTTAATATGAAATGGTAAATTTTTACAAAATTGTTGCCCAACAAACTTGTTAAACAATTTTGACCACTTGTTGAGTTGAAACCAACCACCCTTGAACCTGTGAGTGGTTGGTTATACTACAGACAGATTTTAACTAAATATTTAAAAATACTTTCTGACTTAAGTTAGCTATTTGACATGTACCTTCTGAAATGTTAAAAATCTCTGAAGCTGCTGTTATCATACGACTTGGTCAGCTGGGTGTATGAATGTTGGTTTTTACTATATAAAGGGGAAGGGTGGTGGGACCGTAGCAGCAAAGAAAGAGGGAGATTAAAAGACTCTTGGTTACACTTTCTTTTTCCTTCATCTCCATAATTTCCCTCACTTTGGTGCATGTGTGTTGGACACAGAGATGTCCTTGTCCCCAGATTGCATCTTCAATGTCTGCAGTCTAGAAGATATATAAGCACTTAAGCTAATGAAATCAGCTTTGCTTTATAACAGAAGCAAACACACGCACACACTCATAGACATTTTTCATTCATGCAGCGTTTAAACATATTGATCTTCTCCTTCTCATGCCTGATATAACTACACAGTGTTTAAAAACCTATTTCAACATGCAACCACCTATTTTTCTCTGGAATTTGTTGTACAAATCCTTTTGGTCATGTTATTGAAATACTATAAAACCTCAGTGTTTTTCTATCAATGAAAATGTGGGAAAAATGTCAAATCAAGCAACATTAGCAGACTTCTTATGTAAAATTGTGTTTTCTCAAACAATGAGCCTGTGACAATTTATTAAAACCCTAACTTTGACTTGAACAACCAGCTATGCAAGTTGTATAGTTGTATAGTTTCAACATTTCTAAAAGTCTGTCATTCTGGTATTCCTGGTGATAAAACACTGTCAAATGTGTAAGATGCAATCCAGGAAAGATATTTTGTCTTCAAATTCCATTTAAACAAAAGACTGATACATAATAGTGTGACAGGGCTGGTTACAATTCACGGTGCTTACTAATTTGTGACAATCGCCTGAGGTGAACCATGGGCTTTGTATTGGTGCTGTTTGGGACTTTTCAGTTGATTTTGAGACATAAGTAACTTGTAGATCACAGAGCAAAAGAATGATAGATAAGAGGTTCAAATCAGTCTTAATTTGTCTTTTTTTAGGTGAGATCTAAACAGATTTTAAAGTTTAAAAAGTATCTAATTTTATTTTGTTTTTTATTGTCAAAATTAAAACAAGGGCGGTGATCTGTCAGCCAAATGTGTCATTCTGCCGCAATGAACTTCCTGCTTAGAGCAGGAGACGGCGCAGCTAGCTGACGTGGCTCATAAGTCATGATTCATCAGACGTCACAGTTTCTGTTTCCCTTTGACCATTCAGATTGGAACTACTGGTTCCTACTGGAACTGTGTTATCAATCAGATTAGATATATGTTATCAGTGAGACACCCCCTGTTTAAAGGTAGCTCAAGAGCTTCCATGTTGAGCATGGGTAGTCTAATTCTTTTTATGACATAATAAAGTTTATTCTATCTTCTGGTGAAATAAAACTTCACATCAAATGTGTGTACAAAAGCTTGAATGCTTCAGTGTTACTTATATAATGTGATGTAGAATCTTGCAGAGCCATGATAAAGCTGTGCTGAGATGGAAAATGAACATTTGTTCACAACACATTTTTTTCATTACTCCTCTTTGTTTTCCATTAGATAGCTGATGTCTTATTGTCTGTGCTAATGGAGGAATTAAAATGGTCAGAATTTTTACATTTTGTTTTATTTTCCAAATATGTTTGAAATACACTAAACTAAGACTGACTAAAACTCTTCAAGCACTAATTAAAAAGTTATGATGCAGATAGATGAGTAAAGTGGTTTAAAACACATCCATTAGTTTTCAGAAAGTGAATTTATCCATTGGTTAAATGTTTTTGACTGCTAAAATATGTCAGATACAAGGAGTGCTCCTACGATTTCTTTACTTTTCTTAATTTGCTCTCCTTCCCCCCTCCCATCTTCTCTTTCATCAGGTTACCTGCCCAATGGCATACATGCAGTGGAAGCCATGCTAGCAGCAGCCAGCATCGGCGCCATTTGGAGCTCGACGTCGGTCGATTTTGGAGTTAATGTGAGGATTAGATGGATTTATTGATATTAAATTTATATTTCTGATAGAACTCATGACATTATTTTGGTTTTTAACCAGAATAATGTCATGAGTGGGCACATATTTTCTCGCAGCACTGCAAATGTTTACTTTCATTCAATCTCTTTAAAGTCAATGTATCTACACTAACACATTTGAAAAATGTGTTAATGTGTTATATTAAGGTTTTTTAAGTCTGCTTATAGTGTCTGATCAGTTGACGCCCCCTCAGGCTGGTCTGATAACTACATTTTGCAATCCTGTTGAAAATGCTTCCATGCACCTACCTGTGATTCTGTTTACCATGTTGCTTACTGATAGTATTGTTTTAAAACTTAGGCTAAACATGTTAAGTTTTATTTCCTGCACATTTTTCTTTCATTAATATTTCTACAGAATCAAAAGTTATTTTAGTCAAATATTTGTCCTTACTCTCCGGTTTTAATTCCTTACTTTTTTCCTTCTAGGGTGTCCTTGATAGATTTTCTCAAATTCAGCCCAAATTGATCTTCTCAGTTGCTGCTGTGGTGTACAATGGCAAAACACATGACCACATGGAAAAGCTGAGAAACGTTGTGAAAGGTATGTTTCCAAGTAATCCAGTGTTTCTGCTTTATCTTCTTGAGTAAAATAAATTTAGAATCATGTTAAAGCCAACAGATTTGAATCAATTTCTTTAACTGAGATTTATCAATGGTCAGAATTTAACATTTAAGCAATTATTTTCTATCCATTGAAGAATTTGCTTTCCTCTTATAAATCCATTAGCTTTTATGTTTTTTGGACAAATATTTGTGTATGTAGAGAACACAAAAGCATCAGTATCTGTTCCTCTTTCTTGCCATCTCAGGTTTACCGGACTTGCATAAAGTGGTTGTAATTCCCTACGTTTTGTCCAAGGAAGAGACTGACCTCTCCAAAATTCCCAATAGGTGTGTGTAAAAAAAGTTTTGTGGAAGTTTTAAATTATTTTCTTCTTTTGGGAAAAGGATGCTTGTAATATTTTTGTGTGTATGATGTAAGGTGGTAATTTTCTTTTGTTTTATTATATGTACAGTGAATTCCTCGATGACTTTTTGGCATCTTGTGGCGACAGCGACCATTTCCCCCAGCTGGAGTTTGAGCAGCTTCCTTTTAACCATCCTCTGTTTATCATGTACTCTTCTGGAACTACAGGAGCTCCTAAATGCATGGTCCACTCAGCTGGGGTAGGAATCAATCATCTCTGAATGCAACAAAAAAAAATTGATTGACTAGTCAATTCCTCAAGCTGTTTTTATTTGTCTTGTTTGCTGAAAAACTGTTGTGCTTTTAGAGTCTCTCCTGGGAACTTGTGACGTCTGAATTTCAGTTTAAAATACTAATGATTTTTTTTTTGTATTTGTTTATTTATTATGATCTCAGCTATTGGAACTTAATTTTCTATCTTAATTTATTTGTGTTGATAATAACTACAACAGTTTGGTCTATTCCTGAAAATCAGATCCAACGTTTTACCACAGTGCTTCTGTAATGTCTTTAATGCGACAGAAAAATAGCTTCTTTTTTTCATTGGATGTGTCGGTTGAATTAGACTCTTGGAAAGGTCTTTGTTATGGACTTTCTTCTACTTCTGCTGATTTAATAACTGGCACATTCTTATCTAGCTGTTTGTTTTGAAGAACAATGTCAGCAGCACTCTATTCTTCGGGTCTGAAATCCTTTTAAGAATTAACCCGTCGCCTGCTAACTTAAATTTTTAATTTGACTAACTGTGGTCGACCGCTGACTGGGAACAATTAACTATTGTCATTGTGGTGCAGTGCCTAACCCACTATCACATGTAATTGTTGTGGTTTTTCAAATGTCAGACATTTTAAACAAATAACAGCAGGAATGTACTGAGTTTGAGTTTCTTGGGAGCAGTGATGGTTGAAAAGTCTTCCAGCTGCTAGGATGCAACAGTCTGTTAAGTTCAGCAAAAAGCTTCATCCATAGCACTGAGACTTTCTCCTACACTGATGTTATTTCAGTTGCTCTGACTCCCTCCACTGGTGCAGGATCCAGGAGGCATCCTAGCACAAAGCTGGTCTTGCTCATGAGCTTATCTAATCCTCTCAGCTGTAGATAAGCTACTGTCCTCACAGACTACACTGTAGAAGACTGCTGATGCCTTCACAGATTCAAAAGAAATGGTCTTAAGGAGTACCCTCTGCATTCCAAGAGTCTGCTCTGACTCTCAGTGTAAAGTCCATGAGCGTCCAGTTTGTTGTTCAGGCCAACACCCAGGTACTTATTAGATGATTCGGCAAGAAGATGATTACTTTTTAACATATGTCCAGGTTGATTTGGACTCTTTGAGTGACTTTTTCTGAGCCCAAAAAACAAAAATGTATAAAAAAAATGATCAGTTTTTTTTTTTGCTTGATTTAATAGTTAATTTTAAGTGAAACATCTCTGTCTTGTGAAGGACTGCAGTTCTGTCAAGGGTGAACCTGTCTCTCATCCAGTGATTGCTGGAGATTGGCAGCAATCTCTGCTACAAGGTTTAGATAACGGATAGATGGGTGAAACATGTTGAAAACAAAGTGTAAGAAATCCAAAAGTGGGCACATATTTTCTCGCAGCACTGCAAATGTTTACTTTCATTCAATCTCTTTAAAGTCAATGTATCTACACTGACTTCACACAATACACAATTGACACATTAGGGTTGTGTTTTTGGATGCTAGAGAATATTTTATTTAGTTAATTATTGTTTACTTCAGTAGTTTTTTAAACCAAGAGGGTTTCTGCTTCTATCTACAAAGTTTTTTCTAAACAGCTGATGAAAGTTTTGTGATTTGCTGAATGATAACATTTTGTTTCCACAGAGGAACTTTGATTAAAACAAAACAATTTTCTATCAGACTTTAAATCGCCACAAGATGGCAGCAGAGCTCCATGAGCGCAGCAATTGTTCTTTGTTGCACGACGTTGAATGGTTGAATAGTTGAATGACAATTTTCCCTATGAGAGGCAGATAAATGAAATTTTAAAAGGACATTATTACATAAAAATTACACTGTTCATATTTAGTTAAGTACTCCTGCTCAGGCATTTCAGTCTTTTCAACTTTCCCATTGTTTTTGTTGTTGATGTGGTTATTTTTTATCTAAAACTCTTCACTTTTTAGATAATTTTCTCTCTCCCAGTCCACACATTTTCTCTTCTCTCTCCCCTAGCATTTTTTCTCCCTTTGTCCCCATCTCGCATCTCTTTCTTTTGTGCTTCCTCCCCCTTTGCATCCGGACGATAATTGGACCGTAATGCACTGCCGGAAACGTGTCGTATTGTGACAATAGCAGTCCTCACTGCCTCAGCCAATTAGCCGTGGTACTGTTCTGCTTTCTGCTTTGTTACGGCTTTGTTAACATCCTGCCAGTGTCAAAATGGCGCAGACCAAACGGCGGCGATGGCAGCTGAGCCTTGCCAAAGTTTCTGTGCAAAATTGCACACACTCACACACACACGTAGGTGAAGCACCTGTTATAAAAGTGTGAAGCGAAGACCCAAAATTCACAATTGCTCAAAACAGTTTACACTCTCCTCCAGCAATAATGACCTAACCAGCTGTGAAGAGTCAGAGACCTTTCCCCAAATAGTTTGGTTTGTTGAACAAACCATAGACAGTAGGTTGAGGCTACAAGCACTGATGTTAGGGTTAGTGCTATTTGGATAAATGTCTACACAGGAAAAATATTTACAAATTTTACTGGAAATCTTTAAATTTTTTTATGTTTTTTAACAGATTTAATTAAAAACTGTCCTAAACAGCAGCACCCACAAGTACTGACACGCCGGGTAAAGATGTGTGAAAAGCCTACAATACTTTAATTATACAGGCACACAAATTGGAGAGAAAAATGTTCTTAACAGTCGAGCTATGGATGGATCACAGGGAGAAGCCGAAGCCTAATCAAGCATGCATTGGGAGAATATAAAAAACTCCATTCAGAAAGACCCCAGCCAGGATTCAAACCCAGGAGCCTTTGCTGCTACCAACTGCGCTGCCTTGCAGTCCCAACACCAACTTGTTTTTGTGTGTGTGTTTTTTTGCCACCACTTTGCAGAATGATGGTAAAGGAGGTTAAAAAGCCTTAAAATCTTATTTTTGTACTAAAGCTGTACACATCTTTGCAGGGGGTCCCAGTAATATTGTAGGGTTCTGTATATTCACTATGTAGATTAAAGTCTCTTGTGTTTAACAAAAATGGAGCTCTGTTATTTGATCCAACTTTATTTGTTCTTTGTTTTAATCTGCTGTTTGTCAAGCCATGAAATTTCTGATCCTTGTTTCTGCATCTTGCTCTCTGTCCCTGCAGTAAAGCTAACCTTGTTGTTTTAAAAGTGTGCCATAGATAAATTGGTAATGGTTACTCATAATCAAAGACAACATAATGTTCTTTTGCAAACTAACTCATTCCCTTGTCTCCTCAGGGCACTCTCATCCAGCACTTGAAAGAACACATTCTCCATGGCAACTTGACCTCCAGTGATGTCATCATCTACTACACTACTGTAAGTTGTGTCTAAATTAATTCACTTAAAATCCCCGACATTTAAAACCAACTGGAAGACATTTATTTTATGCACTATAAAAATATTTTTGTTTCTGAAGGCTTCAAAAGTTTGTGACATCTTATGATAACATCTAGACACACTTCACTCCACTTTCACTGCAGCAGATCTGTGAGGAGGATTCATGCTGCTAGCCCAGACAATCATTTCCACACTTTTCTAGTTCAGAATTGATGTGCACATGAATCCTAACTACAGCTAAGATCTCCTTTCTCAAGATTGTTGCTAATTGGAACCTAGTTGTAATTTTTTGATCAAAATTAGTTGTTGAGCAAAGCTTCATGTATTGATCTTGTGGTGTCACACATTTCTTTTCCTTTCTTTATGCTTCAGATACAACAAACTGAGTGATTACAATTTGCTTTAGAGAACCACCAACCAACCACCTGAAGAACTTATCTCTTATTTTGACCAACAATGTCCAGCTATGTTTAGAAAAATTATTTGACATCTTAGCCTAATCTGGTGCTAAAACTATATTTTCATTTCCTCCAATATGAATGTTTAAATTTCAACCCCTATGTAAAAAAAAGAAAAAAAATCAGCATAACTTTATCACCTTGTTAATTTGTTCATAAGTACCATTGCATCAATAATAAATTCTATCATCTAAAGTAATCAGCACACAGATAATGTGAAAAAACCCAGAATGAAAACAGGATGCACACAAATTGGTATGAATTTTGAGAAAGTAAATAAGTAGCCAGTCATCTCTTCCTCCTTTTGAACAGAAGGAACTTCCTCGTAGTGTTCAGCAGACAGAGGAACTGAGATTACATCTTCAGGAAATCATTCAATTCTTTTAAAAAAAATAAATAAAATAGTGAGCTAGACTTTAGACCTGGCACACACTTTGTGATAAAAATCATCCTGAGCAGTCTTGTTATAAAATCTTGATCCTATGATGTCACGCCATATGATGCCAGATGCAAGACTATGATTTATTTCTGCAGCAAAATCATGCCAGAGAAATCTGACAAATATGTCCAACAATGCATGGCATGTAAGTGGAGGTTTTTGCTTCCAATATTAGAGTGGGACTCTAAAAAGAAGCGGAGGAAGATGAGGAGAAGGAGGCAGATGTGGAACTGCTTATGTGCAAAAAATAAAAATAAAAAATAGAGAAAGTAATAACACAGCAGTCAGATTTCACAAGTTCTTCCAAAACTGTTAAAACTCTTTTGTATATTTGTTACATGTGGAATTTGCACTTGAGATTACTGGCCGAATAAGCAAACCTGGACATCAATGATTTAATATGTTGATGAAAACATGTCAAACTTTAGATTTTATGATTGTTATGTTTTATTTGGGTCAGTTAAATTCAAGTTTTAATTCCTGAGAAAAAAAGGTGCCTATGTTTTCCTCAAACTCAATTTTATCTTCTGTATGGAAATGCATCAGCCCATATCTTGTTAAAACTCTGCAACCTGGATCAATCTAGCGCCTCTCAACAAAATCAGAAAACAAAAAAGGTTAACTTTAAAAAAAAATAAAGCTTTTTTTTCTAATTAAAAGCATAACATTTGGATTTCTGTTGGAGAATTGTCTGGTTTTTCATCTCAATGTGTGGCCCACTGCCCATAAAATGTAGAAGTTCAAAATATGTAAACTTTTCATCCTCCCTTTTCAGAAAACAACTCAATGTTTTATTGAGTTTTAGAAGCAATTAATTCTATTATTGAGTCTCCATACTTTTTCTGTGAAGAGTTCATTTTGTCTACTAGTCCCAAATCACCGCAAAACTTTGATTTCTGCTTGAGGTTGACGATTAGCCTACTTTCAACAGAGAGATCAACGGTCTGACCAAAAGTGTCACCACCATTTGGTATTGTTAAAGCCGCTGTTTTAGCCCTGCAGATGATTTTTCACAAAGTGGAATCAATATTCGCATTATTAGTACCAATGGAGAGCGCCGCCAAAGCTGCACCGCAGCATGCTGCCAAATGAGAAACGCAATCATGCGAATCGCTGTCTGTGGGAGTCGTCCATTTATCCATGTTGATGACAAAAGGAGTGTTTATTTCAGATAACTTATCAGTGTGGCTGGATCTGTGTCTTTGTGTGTTTTCTTAGACCGGCTGGATGATGTGGAACTGGCTGGTGTCTGCTCTGGCAGTGGGGGCCTCAGTGGTTTTATACGATGGTTCACCGCTAATGCCAACAGCCAATGTGCTGTGGAACCTGACGGACAAGCTGGGGTGAGTTAGCAACGCACACATGCACAAAAACATACAAACTGGATAGAGTGACTTCAGGAAAAACAAGGGGACAGGAAGAGACCATGGCATTAAAGAAAGATAGACGTGTGACAAATAAAACTCCTTAATACCTAAATCCCAGCTCAATATAATTTAAAAAATTAAATATATTCTTAAGTTGATCAAATTGTGTTATAACTATTTGTTATTGTTCATTCACCGTCAATGTAATGCCGATTTTGTTTGATGGTATAAACACCTAACTGTGTTTAATTTGTTTTTTTCCTTTTAAAAACACTGTAATGTCTAAAAGTTGAAAGTGAAGATTAAGAATTAGTATGCCTGTTTATTGATTAATGACATGCAGGAAATTGTAGATGTACAAATAGAGAGAGCATTTAAAAAAACAAACAAACAGAATCAATCAACTGCTTATATAATTGAGAACTTGTACATGCATGCATGCATGCAGAAGGACAGTCATGAATAAAGATTTTTTCAGGGTTTAATGGGTTTTTAAATGGCAGATCAAAATTACTTAGTAAGCTTTCGTTTTCCATTTACTGACTCAACATTTATTGGAAAAGATCTAAGAAGGAAAGGGTATTGAAAATTAAATGTAAAGAACAGGACAGTTTAGGCATCATTGGTGTGTTTTTGAAATATAGACAACATCAAAAACATGAAACAGCTTCTGAATTTAGTAGTACATTTTATTCTGTGCAGAATCTTTTCTTCTTTTGCTACTCTAGTTTTCCAGAGTGATATAATAACAAGCAAATATTTGCTTTTTAGTTCTTCTCAGAAAGATAACCTGCAGTCTGTTGCTAAACAGATGCAAATAAAAATGTTTCAACTCTATTTTTAAAGCAGTGATACTTTTAAAGCAGTGCTTGCAGCTCAATCTGCTTTCACACTGCAACCATTCATGACTGTTCCTGCTTTTTACAACTGAAAAACAGTTAAATTTGTCTCTAGTTAAATGTGGAGATCTTTATTCAGACAGCTGAGCATCACTGCACAACAACAGGTGTGGGAGAGCAGTGCTGCGTTACTTCAGGCTTCATACAAGCTGCAGATAACCCCAGTCATCTGTGCTTTTTCTACTCTGTCATTAAGGAGTCCTTAAGCTGTTGGAACAACAGTTTGATGTTTAGCAGTTTAAAACACCCAGGCTACACCATAATAACCAAATCATGCCTATGCTTCAGTTAAATGAGCTCAGCTTTATGTATTATGGATTTGATCCACTTTTAAAATAGATGTGGCTGTAAGTTCAGTTGCCAAAGCTTCTGCTGATCAGTATAAGAACATTTGTTATAACCCTAGTCTCTTTACAACCCTTCTTTTTTTCCATTCCTAAATAAATATTTTCACACACCACCTTCCTTAATAAAACACATACAATATTTACGACAGATCTTGTCTTGGCTAAATGTCCTTTTGCTCTTCCCGTTCCCATTTTCAATACCATCAACACTATTTTATAAATCCTATTGATTAATCTGTAAGAGCCAAAGTGTGTAGATGTGTGAGCTGGATGAAATGTGCTGTGATGGGTTTAATTTGTATAAGACAAATAGTATGAACATATTTTTTTCTTCACCATGGGTTTTAAGATTGTGTGCTTTGTCAGAGTAAATTCTAAGCATTTCCAATTAAAACTTTAGAAAAGTTTATGTAAGTCGTAAAGGAGTTGGATGATTGCTGCCAAAATACAACGTGCCAGTACTTTTAGCAGCCGTGTTCTTAATTGTCTTTGTGAAATGAAGCCCCTCAGCAGTTTTTAACATAACGGCTTGTTTTTTTGTTTTTTTTATTTAGTGAAATTGTCAGTCTGATTATGTTGTATCCTGTTCCTTCAAGCTGCTTAGGCAGTTAGATAGTTCATACCCCATAACTTTTTCTCATTTTATCACATTATTACCATAAACTCAAATGTATTTTATTACGGTTTTATGTCAAACTCCAACACAAATCAGTACATAATTACAAAGTAACATAGCAATTCTTGTTTTTTTCTTGCTAAATGTATCAAACTTATTCTGATTGGATTTTTACAGATTATCAATTTAATTTACACACCACTTTGGGTCTATTATTTAAAATGCAATGAGATTTGATTGGAATGTGACAAAAGGATTATAAATAGATTTTTTTGTGCAATTTAAAAACCAATAATATAGCCTAATTGTTGATAAAGTTTTGAATTCATTCTACAATAAAAAAACAGCTACTTTGATTAATAAAAAAAACAAAGATTCAATATTGAAGAACAACCTTTTGTAGAGACAGTAATAATTGAAAAAAACAACAACAAAAAAAACAATGTTATGCACTTGGTTTGTTCTTCAGCAAATGTATCAGTTCAGAATTTTGTCATTTTAGTCCATGACTGTGACTGTGCATTGCTGTCCACACTCTGCCAGTCAGATGTTACAAAAAAGTACCACAGTCAGCAAAAGTGAGACTTAAACGCAGTGATACCTGTGTGAAACATCTTTACAGATGACACATTGCCTTTAGCATGGAAGGGAATAATAGAAAGAACATTTTGACACCCTGAAAGTTTCAAAACTGCAAAGAAATACTGCTCCTGCAAAAATCTTTGACAGGAACTATTAGTAGATTCCAAAGTTACTGATGTCTGTTTAAATGTTCTTATTGAGTTGAGCATTTATAATATGATGTCATTCACATTTTTTTAATGGGGAAACTTGAATGAACAAGATTAGAATATACTAAGCAAAAGTGCCCATACAGAAGTGCTTAATAAAAAACAACTCATATGACAGAAAGATGGATAATGCCTTAAACTGTGAGAAACCTGAACCAATTAGGTGCTGATATTGCTACCTTAGACATATTCTTTAGAACCTGAAGGCAGTGGGGGGAAGATATAACCCTCTGGGAAGACTGCCATAAATTTTACAGTTTTTCCTTCTGAACTGATGTCGGACTTTTTAATTGGAGCTGAAACTGTCAGAGAAACTGGAAAATGTAAAACCAACTGTTAAGGCTTTGCCTCTCACCTTGAATTTTGTTAGTCATTGTTGTGACGCTAATAATTTAATTGCTCCCATGCCTCAATTTTTTTTTAGCTATTTACCTTTAATGCTACTTTTAAAATATTTTTGATGTAAAAATTGATAATGATTCATGCAGTATTGTGTTAGAATGTTGAAAAGTAATCATAGTGAAAGACTGATATTGGTGGTATTTTTGATCACTACTTGAAATGAAGCTATAAAGAGGCTAACAAAGAAACACCATAAAGTTAATCAAGTTCTATCATCTACAAATGAATTCCTGGGAATCTCCCATTTTTTTTCTCATAGATTTAATTATTATTATTATTTTTTTTACAAACTTCTGGTTGAAGTAATTTTATTTTTAAATTAAGAAAACAAATTAAGTTATTATTTTTTCCACCTGTGTCACTGTCAAAACTGCAGACCCAGTGACAATCCATAATTTATTTTCAAGATGAGTTCATCATGTTTTTATTTTAAATGTGTGAGACATTTCAAAGTGGTTACAATGCCATGCAGAATCACGGCATCATGAGCCTCTGTCTCTTCAACCCACCTGGAGTACTTGTTGGAAAAAAGCTCTTAGTTTCTGTTAAAATCCCAGGAGACATTATAAAACAAACATTTAAGGAGGCTTATGTGTTTAAGCCTCCTTAAACATTTAATAATTTGTTGTTGAGTATCTGTTGCAACTTTAATTAACATATTTACATTTGGGCAAGTTGTTAGAAAAGTCTTCTTGGCCTCAGTACCACTCTGTGCTGCAATTTTCCAACAGTGAGCTTTGGAGATTTCATTGCCCACAAGATAAAACATTACTTGAATGGCATGTTTCCTTCCTTTCACATTTTAGAAATACTACAATGAAAAATAATTTTTAAGGGTGTTTTACATACCTCGTCCAGGGATGCCAGTAATTTTGAAGGGCACTCCATCCTCTGACAGAGACTGCAATCTCTTGATACAGTGTGAAGCATAGAACATCTGAATGCACTGACAACTTCCCATGAGCAACGTGTACATAGGAAAGATTTTAGTGAAACTATCCCGCCGGACCAAAGTGGAAACAGAATTGAATGTATTCCTACGTGTAGCAAAGAAAAGGTTACAGCATTTAATTTCTGACAGGTTCCATGTGTGAATGTGACTCCTGAAGCTCCTGTGTTCTCTGAGGATCTTCTTGTCTCTTCAATCTCTCGTCCATTTGTGTCAAATCCTGATGTGGCGGTAGATTATTTTGAACAAGACTGAAACTACAGTTTATTCATTGTTCAGTTATTGGCAATGTAAAATGTGAATTGTTCTTCTTTAGGACAAAAAACTAGTAAAGTTTAAGTTATTGTGTCATAATGTTCAGTATACCCACACTAGGAAGAAAAATAATAAAAAAAAAATGTATGCAATTTCTGAATAAAATGTCTAATTTCTTAAAAATGGGACACTATAATTGCAAGGCTTTCTTATTGGCCTATTTGCCACTAGGGTGAAATTAGTATTAGTATTAGCATGTGTTAAAATTACACAAAGATCCACTAGCTTTAATATATGCTAATCTTAAAACTGTGTTCCATCAAGCAGCAGTTTTGCGTGGTTCCTTTTTGTCGAGGACACCTGTAAAGAGAGCAAAGGCTCTTATTGACTTACTTGCCAGAGAACAAATGGAAAGGTAGTCTAGAATAGACGCAATGAAAAGTGGAGCTTCAGCTGCTGCATCACAACACGGAGCGGGGACGCATAATGTAATAATTGCTCTGAGGTGTTTTTGTGTCTGATTGCTTTTGAGCATCTCTTATTGATTTAGCAGCTTCCAGTTACACGTCCCCCTTGAAACGCACACGTTGGGTCATGCTGTCACACAACCCTCAGAGGCAAAGACTCACAGCTTCTCCTCCTCCCTCCATCTTAAACACCCAATTAGCAGCCGCACCTGGCCACCTGCCTCCAATCAGAGCGGCGGGGCTGTTTCCATGGCAGCAAGCAACGAACAAATCCAGATGCAGATAGGGGGTCAGGGATGATGGATAAAAGAGAGAGGAACTTTGTGTGCAGATGACAAACAGATTTGGGTGAGGAGTGTCATCTGTGGAATCAGATGGCTGCAACTAAATGTGGACATCAGGTACTAACTGTTCTAAAGGGATCATGCCTTACTAATTGGATTAATTACAGAAAGTTTAATCCGCAAATATGTATGTGTATATTTGGGGTGTATGGTTAAATTTTGACCAGTATGTATAATTAATACTCAGTAAATTCAAGTTCTCGTTTATACAACATACATTCTCATAAGTTTTAAAATTCCTCCATCCCAAAACTGTTCAAAAACATCAGTGAATTATGATCATTGTCGGCTTTTGTTCTTTTGAATGTGTGTAACTTCTGATCAGAAAGTACATTGTTTTATTTTACTCAGATGTATTAAAACTGTAATAAAATGGAGTTAATTCAGATAACCACATACACCATACATAAACCTAACCATGCAACTTATTGTTCTCTTGAAAGAAGAAAACAAAAATTAAAAGGGTTAATTCTATGCAAATTTACCAACTTTTATGTATACGGTGTTATACAAAATTGGCAAAATGTCTCCAAGAACTTTACTGTAGATTTTCTGCCTTATTGCACAAAATGGCATCATGTGGCTATAATCAATAGAGAAGTTAATCAGAATCAACATGACCAAGGAGTAAACGCATCAGACACGTGAACGCATCACTGGCTTCATTCCATCCAACACGCTTCTTCTTGGGACCTTTACCACTTCACCCCATCTCACCTCCACCCTGGTCATTCACCCCATCAGCCACATCTATTAACCACAAATGGAACAAATAACAGCTTTCATCACAAACTGATTCTTGGCCATTTGATCAATAAAGCACCAAAGGATTGTGTCTTCCACATACAGATAGATTTGGGGATTATTTTTCATTGGAAGAATTGTCTATTACAAGAAGAGGCAAGTTGATTGATTAAGACTTCAAAAATAACTTGAAAGGACAAGAATGCAGATATTCCCATTCACAGAGACATTAAAAGGCCCTTTTGTTTGGTTTCAAAATTAAAACCGCCTGTGATGAAAAGTGACGCTTCGCCCCTTCATGTCTTCCACATGTTGTGCAACTGTTGTCAGCTGCCAGGGTGACTTCCATTCACCGAGAAGGAAACTTCTGAAATCATTCAATTTCACGATTGTTAAGTGCAAACATTTTGTCAATACTTTTCCTAGCGGAGCATCTAAAATTGAGACATTTTGTCCTCCTTTTCTGGCCAATACTCTGTAAGTCTTTTTGTGTTTGTTCAGGTGAAAGTCAATTCCCAGTCACACTTTTCCTCATTTTTTATCAAGGCTTAACTGAGCACGCGGGCTGTGTTTCTGCATCACCTTGCTTTACATTTACACAGTGACTCATTCTTCTCCACTGGGAGCTTCCAAGTACAACAGGCAACTGAGCAGCTCCATTGGAGCAGATGGGATTAAGGGCAAAGGCTGCTCAGTAACTTGTGCCCCTTTTAGGCTTTTATTTACATTCAGCTCAGATTCAGTGAAGCAATAAATGGAGCAATACCACGGTTCTGGCTAAGCAACAATGTCACAGTCACTCCAGCCGTCTGGCATTGGCTACTTTTATTTTAAAAATGGTTCATTTATCGATTTCTTTACCATTGAATAATTTGTAACTGAAATTTGTGCAGATTCTCAAATAAATTACCTTTCTTTTACTAGTGTTTTTTCAAGTCTTCATTGCTGTTAATAAATAATAATATGAAATTGTGCTTCACAATTTAGAGTACAATGCATGGAAGTAGGAGGCTACAAATGTTGACTAAGATTCTTGAAACCTCTGACGCAAATCTATTCCTTTCCCAGAAAGCTAATATTCTGTCCTTAGAATGACCATTTGGGGAATTATTCATTTTTCTTTCTTTTGCTCCAAATAATTCATGTCTGTGTTCCTTTTTCTCATTTCTAGCATCACCATCTTTGGCACTGGCGCTAAGTGGCTGTCTTTGGTGCAGGAGAAGAACCTCAAACCTTGTGAGTAACTAACAGCACACACACTTTGAAGGGCAAACAAACATAGATATAACAAAGAGCCTCCAAGAAAAAAAAACACTCAGAAAGCCTACTTAGAGCAGTGGTATTTTCTTGGAATTTACTGTGACTAATGTGTTGTGCATTTGTATGCAACCCTGTATGACACCTTTAAATAAAATCCACCACAACAAATTGTTTTCAAGAGTTACATTATGGGTGTAGGGCATCTGTCAAACATGGGAAAAACAGTACTGTGGTCAGATCAAACTACAGTTTTACTACTTAGGCCATAGAAAGATTTATGTATTCTGGAAAAATAAACACTGGACATGGTCTTAATATCCATCCTAATTATCCATCCCAGAATAATTAGTATTTACGCTGCACAGAAAAATGTGATGAAAGATTTTCTGTGAATGTTGTATGAATAAGTGTTCGGTTCTTTCGATCCATTCTTCCTAATGTTGACCGAAATAAAAAAAGTAATAGTCGTGAGAAGTGATTCAACAAAAGTGTGACAAATTTTCCTGATTTTTATTTGTCAAAATTTAGAAAACTCTGTATTATTATCCTTCCAGATTCAATTACACCCTATGTTGTGGTGATCTTCATACATGAAACCTCAACAGAATTTAACTAGAGTTTTGGTATTTGTGAAATATATGAGAAAATAAGAATGTTAGAAGTATATAAACTCAGAATTTAATTTTGTTTTAATGGTGCAGTGTCGAAACTTGGGCTGTATTCACATATTTTTAACTGAATGGAAAAACAATTTCAAAATATTTGTCTGAACATTAGCAGGAATTTTAATACCTGTAGTTGATATTTATAAATCCTCAGTAAAACAGGGAAGTTCAACTCCTTTCATTTAAATGCTGTTCGGAGTTCAGAATATGACCGATCTTTGTGGCTCTATTTTATTTCTAGTCAGGATTATAAGTATTCAAAAATAGCAACTGTTGTTAAAAATAGTGTTTATAAATTTCTTTGTTTTTCTTTGATTCTTGAAACAGACTCTTGTCATTTGTGTAGATAAACTGTCTCCCTGCACTTCAGACTAAATACATGGAGCATCAGAACTTTTCGAACGAAACCAGTTAACGTAGCATGAGCTACAGAACTGGTCTTGCACTTTCGTGTTAAAGTCCTGAAAGACACCAGCTTTCTTCTTTTTTTTTTTTTTTTGCCTTCCTCTTCCCAAGCCACTTGATCCAGCTGGCATTGTGTATGTGTCTGGTGTGTGTATGCACGTGTGTCTGTTTGGATTCTTATTAGTAAGAGACCGAGGCAAAGGGAGATGTTTCTAGCTGTGTGAGTTTAAGAATTGGTGTGTGTGTGTAGCGTGCAAGCATGACTCGACTGGGCTTGATTTAGGAAGCATCTTCACTGACTGCCCCAGTGGAGAAGCCCTTTTCCCTGAGCTGACATTTGGACTGGACACCTGGAGGCATGGTGGGGGTTGTAGAAGTTCCCACTGTGTCTATGGGTATGTATGTGTGTGTGTGCACTTATGGGGTGAGGGTCGGTTGCTGGAAGCCTCTCGGTTCACAGGGTGTTATTGGCATGTGGTTTGGGCATCTGTGGGTAACATAGAGCATGTGCATAGATCCTGGGGATGACACCTAAAGTGTGTGCATGTGTGTTTCAGTAAATAGAGGCTTGTAGGCTCTGTCACAGCAGGGTGGCTAACTGCAATAACACAACATGTTGGGGTGCCAGGAGCCACAGCTGTTCGCAGGTGCTTGCCCACTTTTTTGTGTGCTGATTCCTAATTTGGTTGAAATTATTGCTGCCTGCAACTGTATCTGCTTTTTTGATACAGCTGCTACTGTGATAAGTGAATTACAGCAGTGATCACAGGACAAAGCATGAAATTATTTCAGAAAATTGTTAGCAGAAGTTGGGTGTTGTTTTGTCATCACAATAGTATTTCAATTTCCTTTTTTTGCAAAAACACAAATTAGTCTGTAGGTGGAGTTTAATGAATGGGTGAAAAAGAAGAAATTTCACAAACCTGTAACCAGGTTAATTTGGAAATTAATATTACGACATACCTAAACAGATTTTACTGAACCTGCTGTGCTCATGTGAAGTAGAAACCTCCCATTTTACAGCATCAGGTTGAATACATGCTTGTGATCTTTTAGTGGACAACTGATGAAGATTATTGTGTGACCTGATGCTGAGATTTAAGCTTCAGGGGAGCTAATTGCAGAAATTACAGACAAATTATTGTTTTAAGATTACTAATGTCAGGCTGTTCCATCACTTTTTATCATAGATAGCATGATAGAAGGACAACAGTAGTAACAACCAATATATGCAGAATGCCATCTGTAAAATCCGTGTATCAGAAGCAAAGAATTTACTGTACAATTCAGGTACAAAACTTGGGAAGGGTTATTCAGAAAGTTTTAGAAGACCTTCAGAAAGTGTGGACATCTATTGATTAACACCACTTTAAAAGGTTATCAAAAGTTTGGGTCTTTGGAAAGAGAAGAAATGAGGTGTTGTATAAAACTTTTGTACATTACTTAACATGCTGTAAAATTACCTGACAAATTTCAATAATTTCAGAAACAATGTACTAATCTGTGTTCATTCTGTTTGAAAATTAAAAGAGCAACTATTTCAGAAGCAGTTGTTAAAACGTTTTTGTACTTTAAAAAAAAAAAAGTAACCTTCCTCTCTCTCAGCGGAATCGCATGACCTTCAGTCTCTTCATACCATACTATCCACTGGATCGCCACTCAAACCTCAGAGCTACGACTACGTCTATCGCTGCATCAAAAGCACCGTGCTGCTGGGCTCCATCTCAGGTAAACAAACTATGTTAACTCTAGACAGATGGAGATTTGAGTTTTCCACAAAAAGGAAAACAAGCTTTGGTCTTTCAATCATCTCCTCTTTACTTTTTCTCATCGCTCTACTTCTCTTTCTGTCTTCATATGTGGTCAGATTCTTTCTTGTTCAACTAAATTCTTCTTTATGGTCAAAGTATCTAGAAAGGATCTGTAGAGAGATGCAAAAAGGCTGATACTGAGACCTGTGAAATAGCTGAAATACAGCTTATAAATATTCTAGCTGTATGTTACAATGTAAATATGTGGATATATTTTTGTAATGAGTAAAAGCTGAACTTGTAGAGAAAAAAAGAGTAATGAATTCTTCTGGTTTAGAATCTCTAAACAGCCATTTATATGACAAACATGCACTGAAATACAATTTGACAAGAGTAATAGGCTATAATTTGTAATCCTCTGAAAGAAAATGTGAAATTTTCTTCTGCAGAAGAAATGGTTATCAAGTTCTAATAACTGCAGCCAAATATTCAAAGATTTAGGTATATTGCAGGTGAAAATCTCACAAAAGACGACTGCTGGTTCACCCCCTTTTCTGCCTTGTCGAGCAGAAAATAAGGAGCGAGACTTTGGGTGAGGAGTCTCAATAAGTGTTGCAGAGGCACTGAACGAGAACCAACATTAAGCAGAAATGAAAAATGTAGAAAAGTTGATTTAAAACATCCACTAATTTCAAACCTTCCACTTGAGAGATTTCCAATGTTCAGTAATTTGGGATTTTGTGAAACCTCCAGGATCAGAATTTATTAAGATGATATGTTGGATACGGCTTATTCTCCACTTTCGTTCAAGTGAGTTATAAAGCTACAGCAAAGCAAGTAGTCGGAATAAAATATGCCATTCTTCTAAAGAACTGTTAAATAGGAAGGATGGTCAGATTAAATGTGGCGTAGTTTTGCCTTCTTTAAGAAGCTGATTGATCTCAAGTTATAAACTCAGTTTCAAAACTAAAAACTGGTTTGTAGCACGGCTCAGCATTCTTTTGTGATGCAAAATTAGCAACAAAGCATATGTGACACTAACACAAAGGGCTGGCGCAAACAAAGAAAATTTCAGCAAGATAATATATATATAACTGCGTCTTCGTCACAGCACAGTCATGCACCGAAAAACTCACACACAGCCTCTCTCAGCCTCCTTTGTGATTTTGACAGGTCAATAGAATGCTATCTGTCTATTTCAGTGAGTCCTGAAACGTTTAACATTTAGCAGAGGCTGGGTGACTGACATCGAATGCACATCAGCATATACACCCACACTTATGTACGCACATATTCACATGCACCCCGACGAACACACAAGCTCCCGTTGACATGCAAGACGAGAGAGTGGACATGGGCGTCGACCCGAGTGCCAATCATTAAACGGAAATGTTGAAAGGCAAAGAGCAGAACTGTACACAACAAGCACGACTGGAGTTATTTTTCATAACTTTCATCATGCTTGTTATCACATATTTGAAAAGTGCTATTAGAGATTTTGACTATTTTTTGATACAGTCTTTTCCGAAATCTAACTCTAAGTAATTTACAAATAGACCATGATGTTTACTTTGTAATTGTTAAGAAAGAAGCATGTTTATTCAAGGATTTTTTAAATTCCTGCTCCATTTTCACAGTGTAAGACTGTGTTTGTGAACTGCTGGTGTTCATAATGGGCCTTATGTTACTAATTAAGCAGCTTCTAAAGACAGTTTGTCTCAATTGTACATATTTAGAGTTAATAGGGTAAAAAGAAAACATTGAATCCACACAAAATTAAAAGGATTTTTTATTTAAAAACAGTCACTTTCTTTCCACTTAACTATTGTTTATGACTTTCTGTTGATCTGCCACATGAGAACCAAAACATGTATATTGTTGTTTGACATTGTAACAATAAAATGGGATAACCTTCTTGAAAAAGTACTTGCAAGGTGTAATGAATTGTGTTTTATGAAAAAGGTCTGATTATGCATAATCATTATACTGAAATTAAACTGCCTGTTCAGTCTTTTGACTTGAATCTATCTTAGAAAAATTACCTGAAGTTTGGTCAAGCAGGTCATTTTTAGAGAGTTTAAATATTATTTCACAATCTAAATTGTTATACTGACGAATAATATCATGGATTCATCATTTCAGAGTGAGATTTTGTTCTCCGTGTTAATGTGGGTTTGTTAATCGGAAAAACTGGTCCCCTTGTCGCCAAGGGCATCAGCAGGCTGCAGCCCTCTTGGCTGCCAACCGCCCTAACCTTGACCCCCGAGGTCAACAACTCCGTTGGTGTGTGTGTGTGTGCGCATGTGTGATAGGACTTATCACAGCATATGTGCCACTGTGACCACTGCCTGGTGGCATATGTGAAGGGCCGCTGTGTAGATTTCACCCTGTGCCACTGTGTGTCGACTCCAGAATATATATACAGACTTTGCAAGCAGTTGTTTGAAGCTTGTGGATATTTTATTTGCATTATGAACCATTTTCTCAAAGATGCTGTGTATTTTAGGGTGTTTGCGTGTGTTTGTGTGTGTCCCTGCCAGCATGAACGTGGCTTTCTCCTCACTGGGTGGTTTTAACACTGTCACTGCTGGATTCCCTGGATTCTAATGTACCTCCGTCTGACTGCCCATATGTCGCCTCTCTGCTCCCCTTTTACTCTATCTCCTTCAGGGACTGCTTGTTTCTGCAAGTTGTTTGAATCTGTGACTTTCACAATATGCTTTCTTTGTACAATCTACTTTTTAAAAAAATCAAAAGCAAAACATGAATGCAGCCGAAGATTAAAAATGGTGGTTGATACGTTGGTTTGTGGCAGTTGGCGGCTTTGTCTGGCCCTGAAATGTCCCAGAGGATGTTCAAAGCCTTTACACCTCCACATACACACACATTCATAGTGAAAAAACACCAACTGAAGAGTGCTGCTTGGAGCATAAGATCAATGTGACAAGCTAGCTTCTTGTTTATACACACAATCTTTGCACAAGGAATGGCACGGGAAGCATCCCAAGAAAGCCACAGCGACTTTTGCTTTTAAATATACTTCTCTGTGTATTTGCTTGCATGTTTGTGCTCACCTATGCAGATGAGAGTAACAATAAGATAATTGTCTATCTTCCCACTATAAGTGTGTTTGTGTGTAATCAGAAGACAATGTTTCCTCTTTCTCCAGGGAGCCAATTAAAGCTCAATAAAGAACCTGGCAGACAGACACAGAGACTGAGTGTAAAGAACGGATCGAAAAGGAAGAAAAAGAGAAAGAGAGGGAGGAGCAATAGAAGGGCAGAAAGCGAGGGTACAAGATGGATGGATGTAGCCTGTGATACAGAGAGGAGCGACGCAGGGAGGTAGAGAGCGAACAATGGGAGGGGAGATGAATAGAGTGTGTCAGGAATAGTTGATGATTGGAGGCTAGAAAGAGATAAATAGGTATCTGTATGTATGCGAGTGTGTGTGTCATCGTGACAGTTTTAGGAAGGTGTTGGAAAGGAGAACTCCTAAATAGGTCAGCGGAGGTGGAGCAGTGCGCTAACACCGCCAGTTTGCGGTAGCAGTTCCAGACAGATGCTACGACAAATTGAAGTAATGTCCCCGGCCCAGTGGTCTCTGGAGACACAGAGATGCTGCTGTAAGCTTCAGGTACAGTAGCTTGTGTGAATCAGAGCAGCAAACAGGAGCAAAAGTTTAAAAAAATAAATTACTAATTTAACTTGATGTTTGGCGTGGGACAGTCACTGGTGGCAAGTTACACCAAGATCTAAAAAAAAAAAAAGTTAGTTTCAAAAGTGCTAAAAAGTTGTCACTCTGTTCCTGCTGGGAGGAGATGTCAGAAAATACTTTTTTTTTTGTCCTCATTTGTGCTTGGGGCAAATAGTGACACAGCAATGACCTCTTACTCCACATTGCTGGTCAGCTGGCTGAACAAAAGCTTTTTTTTCTTGCTTGCAAAAATTATTACACTTTTTTTTTTCCAAAACCAACATCATAACAAAGCAACCAAGGGTAAACTTTTTTAAAGCAGCCTGTAAGCTACAAGCAGCATATCTATAAACCAGATGATGGTGGGTTTACAGAAAGCTTAGCTAATTAACCAGCTACCATCAGCTTGTTAAACTTCTGTTTCTCTTTGATGAGCAGAAGGTATAATTTACTGTGGAACACACTTTGAAGCACCAGCAAAGCAGAGAAAATGTATGATTTAATGATTTAAATCTAAATTGATGATGTTATCACCAACACTTCCAATAGTTTAGTAATCTGTGTTGTGGGTTTATGAATAACCTCTGATTTTGTTTTAAGTCAAAGCAATCTGATCATAGTACACATATTGGACAACAATTGCATTGTAAAAACTTCAAACCTGTGAAACTATGTAATTTTTACTCAGTTTTTCCAGACCTTTAGCATCTTATGCACTTCCATGCCTCCTTGAGCTGAATTTGAAGTAACTCTGATAGATTGGTACTATAATGGTTAAGAAAACATAAAACTTTCGATAAAGAAAGGTCAAGAGTTTGACTTTTCTAAATCCGAACCTCAATAAAACAGTTGTGTTCAGTCAGAAAACATATATGAAGAATATTCAGTGAAAAGTGAGAAGACGAGTAGTGAAATAAATCTACTGCTACAAAATAAACACAACTTGTGACAATTTTTCATTAACAGCTGTTTGTCTTTATATCTCTCCCCAGGTGGGACTGATATAGTTTCGTGTTTCATGGGCCAAAACCCAACGGTTCCAGTGTACCGGGGCGAGATCCAGTCACGAAACCTCGGCATGGCTGTGGAAGCCTGGAGTACTGAGGGTAAGACGATGTGGACATGTTTGGTGTGGGAGAATCTCCCAGTAAATGAATGGCTTTCTTTAGCCAGGTTTAGCAGCTGTTCAATAGCTGTAGGAAAGCTGCAATATCGATGAAAATGAATAGTAAGCACATTTATTTCTCATGAGATGCCCTTGAACTTCTAATTTGCTTTTGAAGCACAACAGCAAACTCAATTTTTAAGAAGATTTAATTTGAGGAGAACCTTATGTGCATCATAGATTAATAAGTTATGAAAGTATATGTCAACTAATAAAATATGAGGTAGAGTGAAATCAACTTTCCCTGGAGAAATGCCGTTACAAATAATTGGGAAACAGTATTTCTAATGGCAATGCATCAAATACAAGTTTTTTTTCTTGTAGTAGTTTGTTGGGAGTTTTGAAAGTCCTTTATATTTTTTCATTGATTTTAGCCCATCATTCCCCAGCTCCTTTCTGCAGGCTGTTTCTGCCACCTCAAAGGAAAGTGGACTTGGGGATCATTTGAAGCCGTTCAGCCTGGGATTATTTCAGTCAGTGTTTAAGGCTTTAACCCTTTCCTGCGGGCGGTTAGGGCTGTGTAGAATCACACAGTGTTCTAGGTGGTGTGATGGACGTATTCTGCTGCTGTGCACAACTATTAATTACTGCTCAGTTAATTTATCTTTAGTATTTGTTGCAGTACAAGCGCTAAAATGTTACTGATGAAAAATGTGATTTTGTGTGTGTTGGTTATCACCAGGTAAGCCAGTTTGGGGCGAGAGCGGTGAACTTGTCTGCCTGAAGCCAATCCCCTGCCAACCCACTCACTTCTGGAATGATGAGAATGGGAGCAAGTACCACAAAGCTTACTTTTCTACATTTCCTGGTAAACACACAATAAACATTCAAATAAGAAAACCCATGTCAGATAATCAGTTTTTATGTGATACATTTGAGTATGTAATGGTAAAAGTGATGGTTTTGATTGTTGCTGTGCTTCAGGTGTGTGGGCCCATGGAGATTATTGCAAAATCAACCCAAAGACAGGAGGCATCGTCATGCTTGGGAGAAGGTCAGTCGTTTCACCATTTTGCTCACAGAAGATCAGTTATAGTAAATATTGAAACCACGTATTTTTTTATCACTGTAATTTCTTTATTTAAGCAATGCAGCTGAAGATGTTTTTATTTGTATTATCAGTTATTACAGAGAATAAAGTCAGGTTTTGATGCTTTTCCGACTACAGTTTGTATTCAACTCAAGTTATTTAAATAGAACCAATTCATAGCAAATACCAGGCAAACATTCCTAATTCATTTTGAAGGACATATTTGGTGCAATACCACTGTAGTCACGATCAATAGTATTTTTAAATTTATTGATGTTTATTGGTGCTCACATGGAACAAACAGTGAGAAAAAAAATGTAAAAACAATTACAGTTTTTTTGTTATCTCAATAAATAAATGTTTTATCATAAATTACTTTTCCCTGACAACAATAATCAACCATTTCTAACTTCGTATGAGACATTACTGCTATTTTTCTGCATTACTGCAGAAAAATTCACCATTTTGAATTGTTTATGGAAGAAGCTAGTGGAAAAAAACCTTTCTTTTAGCTTTGCATATTTCACTTTTTGCTCTTTGTGGTAGTGGTATATGTATAGCACACATATTAAACCTGTGATTGTACTGCAGCGATGGCACACTGAATCCCAACGGAGTTCGCTTTGGGAGCTCAGAGATCTACAACATCGGTGAGTTTTAAGGACAGGCAAAAAGGAGGGCAAAATCATTGTTATGATAATTATTAAGCTAAGATCCTCTTTTAGTTCTTAGGAGCAAAAGAAAACAATTGTCTAAAAATGAAATTCTTCCCACCTCCTGTCTCTTATGCTCTTCTCATTTTGTATTTCCGTCTTCTTCTTTGCTTTTCTTTCTTGCAGTGGAGGCTTTCGAGGAAGTGTCAGACAGTCTTTGTGTGCCCCAGTACAATGCAGATGGAGAGGAAAGAGTTATTTTGTTCTTAAAGATGGCTCCTGGAAAGCCCTTCCATCCGGAGCTGGTGACAAAGATTAAAGGAGCCATCAGAAAAGCTTTGTCTTCCCGACACATTCCTGCCTTGCTCCTGGAGACAAAAGACATTCCCGTAAGAGATTTTGAATATCAGTCAGATATGTATAAAACTATCAGATCGTGTTAAAGACAGCAAGAGTCAGCTGCCGCTCGAATGACAGCCTTTGCTTCCCCTCTTGGCAGTACACCATCAGTGGGAAGAAGGTGGAGGTTGCTGTGAAGCAGATCATTGCTGGCCGGGAGGTTGCACAGAGAGGAGCGTTCTCCAACCCTGACTCACTGGACCTCTACAAGAACATTCCTGAGCTGCAAAACTATTAGACATACATGACTGAGGAGAGACTCTACAAACATCAATTTTCATAAAACTGTGTTGGTAGAGGGAGGGATGGCGGAAAATGGAGGTACTCTGGGATTTATGGTTAGCAGAAATGGGAACAACTGTTTTTAAAATATTAAGGTATTACATCATTGCGTAATAAGCTGATGGTACAATGCAGAGAGACTTTACACCATGAGGTACACTGGTTGATAGGCAAGCTTTTAATTCTGTCTTTATGCCGCTGCTCATACTGTGTCAAGCTGTTTAAATAAATGTTAACAGAATTAAACTCTGGCTGTATTGCTATGTGCAGTCGGCTTATCCCGTAAAGCTTGCTATGAAAACTTTAAGCGCAGCATTAAGTGTTTGCGTTCACAGTTTGATCATCATCCTTTAAAGAATCTCATCTCTCTACAGTTCCCATCTCTACCCCTGATGCTGCTTCAGAGAAGCTTTAGGAATAAAACCTGGGAAGGTGTGCAGAAAAATACTCATAAGCTTCCTTTCATGCCAGCAGATCATTGTTCTGTGGTGTGCATTGCTTTATTGATGTATGTGTGTGTGTATATGCACAAGCATATTAATAAGACAACTAATGTATATTTTTGAAAGATGAACTTGTGTTTATAATTATGCATTCAAATTTAACCGTCTAAACATAACCAAAGGTTGGGATTCTGTTTGGATCTTGCATGAAATGTCAAAGTTTACTAAAGATAATTAGGAATCCTGGATGCACTCACAGCACTGCCTGTTTTTCACATCTCTTTATATGGTTACATTGAAATCTTTTCTGACCTCGGTTGGTTCAGTGTTTCTTCCTACTTGAATATTGTTCTGTTTTTTTCAATATTGATATGGAAGTTTTCCTTAAGGGAATTTTCTTTTTGTGCATTTGATCTTCATTTCTTATGCCCATTGCAAAAGCATTCACCTTTTTTTCTCCGTCTCATTTTCATCACAAACCTAAATGTATTTTATTGGGGTTTTGTTAAAAGATCCATGCAAAGTGGTGCATAAAGTGGGCAAAATGATACATAATTTTTAAAATGATGCATTATGACATATCCATTATGTTTGAAACAAAACTGTAGCACTGCTTTTTGTTGGACTTTCATCTGGAAGCCTCTTGTGCATTTCCACCAGCTTGGCACCTTTATTATCGGTCATGTACAAAATAGCCCAAGTTTGGTCAGAATTAATGGAAATCTTGTCATATTCTCAAATGTATGTAGGTCTGGTGCTTTGACTGGGCCATTGTTTTGCTGCCCTTAAGATTTCCTTCCACAAATGTTTGATTTTTAGCTCCATCGTGTTTACTGTCCCTCATGTGGGTTCGGGAATAGTCTTATAACTATTTGTATTGTATTCTCTAAACCATCTGTATTCTCTTGAACTTCAGAATGACAAGGTACTTTCTCTTGATTTACACATTTGAATCAAGAAGTGGTCATATTGTGACCAAATGTGAAACTTTAATGGCACTATGGTTTTGATCAAAATTGATCTGCATTTCTGTACAGGTAATTTTTTTTTGTTCTTGTTGTAGTGATTATCTACAACATCATATGTGTCATAGCTGTTTAAATGTTGTTTCTCTTTAATAGATGTTAAATTTTTTTACACAGGGAAAATGTATTTATTCAAAGCCTTTTTTGGTATGGGTTGGAGATCTGATGAATGAACTGAAACAGCTTTGCTTGTTTGCAGTATAAAGTAGAAAAAACTGGCAGTCACTGGAAATGTGCCTGACATAAATGTGAATTTTTGACATTTCACAGACAGGGAGCGTTTTATAACATTCACATGTTTTCTGATTGTCCCAGTACTCTGTGGTAGGTGGCTTGAATGCAAATAATTTGTGTTTCTGCTCTTCATCACTAACATATTTTCAAATTAATTTAATTTTTCACAGGAGTCCTGTAAAATGAAACAGTATCCCCATACCAGTGTTTCATTGACGGTTTGTGATGTTATTTTGTTCTGTTTAAATAAATAAATATTGGTTCTTTCATGGACAAAAGGATCAGAGATTGCAGGTTCCCATTTTACTACATGCATCGGTGTTTAAGTCAGTACTGAAAGCAAAAAGATTAAAATTATTGTTCTTTATAATACTTCTATTCCTTTGTAAGCTCACGTTTAGTTAATTAGCTATAGTTTTCTGAGTTAAATGAACATAAACTGGATTAGTGAACGGATAGTTTTTTTTTTTAGTCTAATCAAATCATATGTATTTATGAAGGATACTAAAAAAGGGAGCGATTGACAAAAGTGCTGTACAAGAGAATAAGTAAAACATTAAACTATTTTAATGTTTAATTTGAAGATTTGGTTTCCATGCTGACTTTGAAGGAGCTCTAAACTTGATGTCTTACTAAGATGTCAAGGACAAAAAAGGAAGAAAAAGTCCAAGACATGCAGAAATTTCTTCTTGTTTTTGCACCTTAAGCTAAACCTCAAACATATTTTTTATGTAATTGGGAACTATGTAGAAGTCTAGTTTGACTTAGGAGTTGCTTCCCTGTGTATTTGCTAATTAATGCTAATTTTTAAGTTTTAACCAAGACTTTCTTAACTGTTTGTATCAATATTTTCAGTTTGGTTCCAGTTTATGATAAATGGAGTATCCCTTAATCACATCAGCAAATCCTTGCTCATCACACTGATACCGGATGATTGGTGTTGTCGTTTAAGTTTGCAGTTAATGATGAAGCTTTGGGATGAAGGTAAAAGACAGATGGATTGATCCAGGAAAAGTTTCTCTGCGTGAGTGTTGAGTCCTTTCTCGTGAAAGCCACTCATTTTGATCGATGGCTCTTTAAAAAGTAAACTAGGCAGTTTTGAAGATTCCTGTAACCTTTATAGGCTAAGTGTGAACGCTCAGACCTGTCAGTCAATCTGATTTGGAAAGAAAAAGACAAAAATAGAAAGGATTTGGAAGTCTTGGTTGCTATCATTTTGTAGAAAAAAAGGAGTGCAGAAAGAGAATGACAGGGGGTCTGGATTTCAGAGTTGAGTGCTTTGCGAAAACGACTGGTGACAAGCTAAAGTGTTTGCCAAATTCACAAATAACCATCAGTGATAACAACCTTTTTAGCTGTTTTTCTCTCAGTCACATTCATCGGTTCAACCAGAGGGAACAACAAAGCAGAAAAATATAACAATGGCTTCATTTTGTACTTGACTGATAATTCAGTTTTGATGGTACTACTTTAAAAAATAAATTAAAACCACTCAGATTAATGACACACCTGTTTTAATGATTCACACGTTTTGCTTTTGTTGGTTATGTACTAGACTGTCTGCATCCAATGCCTTTACTCCTCGCTCCCCAGTTCCCAGCATCATTACCTTTGTCTCTCCTTTGTGTTTGCTCCTGAGGCCTTTCTTAAAACCCTGTTTTTTGCCTCCTCTTCTCTTCTCTCTTTTTCATTCGACCCTTGACCCTGAAATCGATTGCAGAGCAATATCTTGGAGGATTTAAAAAAAAAAAAAATCCACATTGCAAAGATGCAGCTTGGGCAAAATGGCCAGTTGTTTCCTCTACACACTGTTTTGCCTTTAATTGCATGAAATGATTCGGTAAGTCAACATTGCAAAAATAAATGATTTAAATGTCTGAGTCATCCAGAGGTTGCAAAATAGTTCAAACTGAGACTGAAATAAGATTTACTGCCTGTAGTAATGCTTAAAGCCTCGCCAAAAACAATTAGATTTAGGAACAGACTTAGACTTTGTCAGCCTGCAGCTAGCTATCTTTTAATGAGAATAATTTCACTGTAGCTCTGACTGGACAGCATGTTCAGGGACTTGTCCTGGTAGAAGGCTACTGAGAAATAGCATCCATACAGCATCATGCTGCCACCACCAAAAATTAAGAACTTTATAAAGTATATATCCTTAAAAATGATCTGTTACTTGTGTTGATCTATTTTTAAAAATTCAACTAACATACATTAAAGTTTGGAGTTTTAGTTATGAACACCTTTGCAAGACTCCAAATATTTATGCCTGCTTTTCTGCATAAAAACAGAAGTGGGTGGTATCAGTGATTGTGACAAAAGCACATAGATTTTTTATATGAATTTTCACATATAACTTTTAAAAAATGTGAAAAAAATTGTTCCTCAGGCCTTCATAAAGACATTGTTGTAGTTTTTATGTCATGTTGAAGGCAACGTTGATACCCCAAATAAACACAAAATAAAATGTTATTCTTAATGTAACTGTTCTCAGGAAGTTATGTCACTATTTTCAGCCTTAAACAGAAGGAATGCTGTTTTAATAGCTAAAAATAAACAAATACATGCAAACACCTCCACGGTCGGCTTCCTTTATCAAACTGCCACAGAGGGAAAACAGGGCAACAGAAAACTTCGAAGGGGGAAAGAAAAGGAAAATTAGATGCCATGGAGGAAGAAAGGACTCCTAATAATCAGCTAGAGACAGGTAAGGAAAGGAGCTTAGAAACTAGAAGTCAAACCAAACCGAAGGCAAAGAAGAGAGAGAGAATTGAAACTGACAGAGATAAAGCTTTTTCTGAAGTCACACATGTAAGCCACCCAGGCTGAATGCCATGAACATTTTTATAGTCCTCCAATTCCACCCGTCAATCAGTCTCGCTCTCTTTGCTCTGCTGTTTTTTTTCTGTGGGATTGCTCAAACGTAGGTGGCTTCTTTGTCCACACAACCAATTCTCTTCTCTTCACTACTGAAGCATGATTTTTATTACTTGAGTAAAATATGTGTCTTTGCACAAATTCTCTGTTACAGCTCCAGGAGACATTATTGACTTTCTAATGTTTCCAATTAAATCACTTGAAGCACTTGGTCTTTTGCAGAGTAAAGCCAGGAGATGCATCAATTGAAAGGTGCTGGTGAAGCTGTTATGCAGTGTCATCACAGGCTGGGATTAGTTCAGTGAAAGTAAAATGTGTCTGTTTGGAAAAAGCAAAATCATTGCTTGAAGAATTGCACTTGAACATGTCAGCCAGAAATGTGTAATTTCCTCCTCGCTCACGGAAGCGGCATCAGTTTAAAAGTCACCAATGGAGTTAGGTTCAAGAAAAGCTCAAAAATTATCTCAAAATCTTAAAGGGATCATTTAAAGTGGAAGCACTTGCTATTTTATATATAATTCATGCAAACAGTCTTTAAAAACAAGATTCTCAAACTTAACATCTTAGTAAGTCCAATATCTTTAAACTATTTTAAAAAATTCAATTATAGTTGGCAATATTTTTTAGCTTGTTGTGTTATATCATGGAAGCTGCTCGTATTGTTTCTTCGCTATTTCCTGTCTTTGGCATTTTGATTAATTCATGCCCTTTTCAGGTAGAAGATTTTGCATTTTGCCCATTTGGATTCACTTCCCTCCTGTTTCCTGCAATCTACCTATAATCTAACACAAGACTGTATGATTAAATGACTGTAATAATATCTACCAGCAGGAGGTTGTTCAGACCTAATTTGGTTGGATCAGGTGGGTAAAATTCTGTCATATTTCATAGAATTCAACTGTGTGAATGTTACTGAAGGAGGTACTTGCCCCAAATTTTTAGCACAATCCTGCAACCATAAAACAAATATTTAGGAAGAAAATGCTAATAGCAGGCTTAAAGCTGCTTTTAGACACACATCCTGTAAAAGATCAGAGAGTTATTAATGCATAAAATGGATACCTGATACCCAAAAAATGAGCCATCACAAGAAGCACCTTTAACTGTACTTTCCAAGGAAGTTTTTAGTCCTTGTGGTTCAGGTGATCAAACAAAGCTTTAAATCTCAACAGCTGCTTTGAGTTTGAACACCTGAAATTGGTGCAGTTTAAGTTTTGTCAGAATCGGATCACTGACTTCAAAGATTTAGTGTTTGATTGTGAGACAGACACAGCTGGATGCATTTGACGCAGACAGATGGAAACGCGGATGGATCGATGATTGAGAGGAACATGAGATGGGAAGAACAGAAGGCACTGTTGTAGAAATGTCTTTCTGCTACAGAAAGGTGGAAAAATTGAGTTCTGTTGACATCAAAGTTTCTTGTAAAGTAACTAGAATGAAACTAAATGTAAAAGAAAAACATTAAATACAGCTTTTCAACTTTTACAAATTTGTCTTCAAATTTTATGATTTGTAATGCTTCTTCCGGATATCTTGTGTAAACTGCTGAACCTGTTATTGTGTCAATTGACACAAAATTTGAATGAAAGACTCCAGAACAATATTCTTTTATTTTGTATTCAGCTTGCCTAAATTGTCAGGTTGAACTTCTAGTAAGTGCATCTAACATGAATATGTACAATAAGGGACACACTAAAGAAATTAAACTCTCACAGGCCTCTTAGTTAAATCCACCTCTTTAAATGCCTGTTAACATAAACAAATCAGCCAATCAGATGGCATTAAATGCATTTGGCCTCCAGACATGACTGGGTTTTAAACTGAACATAAGAACATGGAAGACAGAGGATTTAAGTGACTTTCAACAAGACATGGTGCCAGATGGGCAGCATGAATATTTCACAAACTACTAATCTGCTGGGATTGTCATGAACAAACATCTCTTGGGTTTACAGAAAATAATTTGAAAAGAAGAAAATATCCTGTGAGAAACTGTTATGTGGGCTATAGTAACATCTATGTACACAAAAACATGTCAAACATTGAGGACACTTCATACCAGCTAAGGACATGAAACACTATATCTGTGAAATTGGACAATGACAAATAATAATAATACAACTTTGCTTGTTCTAATGAGTCTGGGTTGTCACTGGGAGGCTCAGAATTTGGCATATGCAATATGAACATATGGACAATGCTGGTTCTTATCAACATGTCAGGATGATGTTGATGTCATAATTTTGTCGAGAATATTATCTTGGCACAGTTTGGACCTCCTGATAAAAAGAAACAAGAACTCCTTAAACATGAAACATATTACTTGATTAACTCACATTTTAATTTAAGGAGGTCATGACAAAGTGGATCAAATCACAATGAAAAAAACTCAAAGCTGAGT